TGACTACGTTCACTCTAGGGATTCCCAAAGGCAGCGTGGCCGTGCGCGAAGAACTGCGATTGTCAATTATGCGTCGCCGCTCCAGGCTCTCCGAGCGGCTGAGGCGAACAATTCCGCAACGTATGTCCCGTTTGTTACTTGTGTTCATGATGGTGCTCAAGCGTAGGAGCTGACCCTACCCTGGGAGTCGGGCAAGTCCTCCCTACATCCCCTTATCATATCGCTTCTCTGTAGAGGGGTCATCGTATTCCGAAGCATTACACGACGGATTCTAGTAAGGAAAACCTGACTCTGCAGTCGTCGTCGATCTATCGGCGTACATCAAGTCAAGCTGCGGCACTCCCGTCTCCGCGTACCCTGACCCTTTACTTGCCAGACGCAGATCAACTTCGCCGCTCTACCTACGCCGATGCCATCGGTCGCCCCCGGTTAGCCAGATCCGTCCGCAGTCTTTATGTGCAAGGTCAGCGATACCTATGGACACCGTGCAATATCGAGTATCCCACTAGCAACAGAGGGAGGGAGGGCGGAGTAGGTCTGGTCTTACCTGTTTCAGCTCCTTATTTGATCTATTCCATTGGCACTGCACAGGACGCCACAAGCACCCATATGTTTGTATCTCAGCCTAAAGGGTCCGCGACTAGGCCCTTATCGCCCACTTAGAGCCCCAGCGCGAGCCGAAGGGCGGCACGTTGGGAAGACATGGGTGTCCACATTTCACGCCATACTCCACAAGTTTACTTGTGGCTTGTACGTCGACAACGACATCATAGGAACTCCAGAATGAAGAACGCGTGGCGCACAAGCACACAGGCCTCATGGCTGGATCTACCGTGACTGACCCATGACCTCGTGGGCGCAGATCCCTGATCCGGACGACCTTAGTGAGCTCTTCCAAGGATCATCCTGAGAGCGCGAATCGGCGATGCCGCTAAAGTAATCGACGGTGCGCTCATCGTAGTACGATCTCGGTCTAGGCCTGACGCTGTGTTTACTCACCGGTGTGGGCTTCCAGGTCGGCAAGCGAGTGCGAGAAAAACGGCCACGTCGCTTAGCCCATGGATGCGACTATGCCTTCTTGGGCTCGCGTACGGTAAACTGCCTTGGAAGGAATAGCAGACGCGCTCCTGGACGAGGGGTCAATGGAAGCCTGGTGCGGCGCGAGAACCCCGAGTAGACGTAAGCCAGCGACGAGAAGCACGCGTGCGCCCCGCCCCGACGCTGCTTGTTCGACAGGAAGGATCTTGAGAGCATACTCGACCTCGGCTATGGGGTAGAGTAAGGTATGACGCCATATCCTGCCCCAAGGCGGACTAGTGCTGATGGCGGTCAGTAGCCTCGTGAATACTTGAGGGCTAGTGCACACAGCTCTTGCCACCTCCTCTTGGTCCACCTCGTCTCATGTTCGTCTCGGATGCCTAAGTCCTCCGCCACTGCGCTCACATAGGCCTTCCTTCCTCTGGAGCGAAACTCGGGGCCCCGGCGGACGCGGTGAGGCGATACTGCTTATGCTCACGCTCCGAGAGCGTTTGAACAGCCCCGCGGCGGCGCTGCGGAGTAAGACAGTGCAACTCCTCGAATGGGACCGACGAGAACAAGGAGCGCGATGGAACCCCGCTCGCAGCTGTTGTGGTACTCTGCCGGATTCATGTTCTCCGAGGACCAGGGGCGCCGCCAGAACGATGCGGCGATAACACTCGTTGCCAAGGTGAGCACCGTCTCTACTGAATCTGCTTGGGATATGGTGAACGTGCGATGAATGTCGAACTTCAGAACGTGGACTTGAGTTCATGTAGGCGTCACTCTGGATGAGTATTCCCGCCTTTAGGTTGAGATGATCAATGTCGAGCAGTGGTATTGACCAGCACGCTATCGTGTCAGCGCCAGGGCAACCGGCACGTAGCTTCTCCGTTCTTGTGTACGTCGAGCCCGAGTTTCACCATGCGCATCCCCGCCAGGAAACGGGTGCACGTTCGATCTATCCAACCGCACGCGTCCAATCGCACGCCCGCCAACTTCGGAGCGCGCCTCCCGCCTCCCGTCGGGCGCCGTGTCCCCATCGAGCAGCACTCTTACCCGGGTCCGCCCTTATTCCCAATACGCCGCGGCAGCTGCAGCACAGGCTGCGGGCGATTGCGTGGGGGGTTTACGTGGCCGTCCCTTCGCGGCTGCTCGCCTCCTGGCGGATCATAGACTGAACGTTGAAGTCTGAAGGGACGCTTCGCGTTCCATGAGGCTACCGTACGCCGTCGCGCGCCTGGGCGTGCTCGCTCGCCCCTCGCGCGTTCGAGGCTCCAGAGCTGAGAACGACTGCGCCGACGATAGCAAGAATATTTGTGCCGCGCAGCCTGCTCGGATGACTGAACTCTGGGCTGCTTGCGCGGCGCGAATGGCGACGCTGACGGCGTGCATTTGTCCTAGGTGTCTTTTAGGCTATGGGCGAGCCACCTTGATACCGTGGAGAAGCTTTTGGGAGTAGCCGGTTGCGTGTGGGGGCCGGAGCTCGTGCGAGAACCGCGGGCTTAGGAGGGGCAAGCTCAGCATATTGCTATAAGATGAACTCGACGAGGTCCACCTGTACTGAATACAGGAAATACCCATGCCCGTTCTTTTATTTGCCTGTTTCTTGAGCGAAAGCGCCATCCAGGATGTGTGATCGAAGCCCAGTCTGGCGGGCAACGCCAGCGCAGGTAAAGCGGGTGTGTATATGGGCTACTCGGAGATGTCCCTTTCCCGCGACTGACTGCGTCTATGGGTAGCTTCAAGTTCGCTGAGTACGATCGCCCTTCTGCACTACGAGTGGAGATAGAGCGAATACCCGAACAATACGTTGAAAGCCAAATGACGCTTGATCAAAACGATATAACTCACACACGGTGTGTCCAGTTGTGCCAACCTACAGGAGAGAACCTGATGCGCTACGAGAGGAAGGACAAACTTCAGGGGTACCCGTATGTATACGGTCGGTACTGAATGGTGAAGACGGTCAAGTACTTAGTCGATGAGGCAAAGTATACACCTGAATATGACAACGTCACCTTTGAGAAAACCCGATTGGCGGCGACATCCCTCACACCCACGGATTCCACTCTTGAGGCTGGCTTTCTGACGCGTCGGCTACAAGAACAACTACAGTCAGATATCGTGTTCGGACAGCGTCGGCCGAGACACTCCCCACTCACCTACTTCTGTCGCTCCCCAGATGTCTGTCGTGTATTCTTCGCCGAAGTGATCCTTGCGCAGCTCACACATGATATTGTCTAGTTGCAAGAGGTAGGTGTAGGTGTCGAACGGTAGGGGTCCATCGAGTTGCCCGGCTTCTATCTGCCATGGGCCAATCAACGATATAGAAGCGACGCGCGGCGCGATGGCGAACAACGCCTTGGCAAACACTCCCGGGTCGTCGGGCAGGGCGGAATCTACAACGTCGAATATCCGGATACGCGTGCCGCGTGGGCCAGCGTCGAACTTGTAGGCCGCGTCAAGATTGCGAGTTGCATCGAAGAGGATGTGTACCTCGTTCAACAGAGGGCAACGCTGGACCAGGCCAACGATACCCTCCCAGGTCCCGGGGGTGATGGCTGGAGTGCCCCAAGTTTCCAAAAAGGAGAATCCGACCAGCCCAGGCCATGCATCCCCGATTGCGCGGTAGGCCTCGTCCGTCAGCCAGCCGTAAAGTGGGAGATGTAATGTGAAGGTGCGTATGTTCGGGAAGTGCAGCACGCGGGACATAGCTGCGATGTCGATCATGTAGCCCAACTTGTGCGGTGGCCAGGTATCCCCAGGGATTAGTTCCGCTTGACTAAGGCAGAGAATGTGCAGGGTATGTTTGGCGCAATGCTTGTAAAGAGCTTCAAAGAGGTCGACGACATCGCAGGCGAGAGGTTGAATCTCGACTAGGACAGTGAGGCTGAATAGTCGACAGTGCTGCATCGCTGGGAACAATGGAGTGCAGTCACGCAAGCGGAAGATCTTGAAGAAGAGTATTTGCAGCTCCGGAAAAGGATGGTAGATGGGGGGAGAGGAGAGAAGCGGCAGGAGGTCCGCGGCGTCTGAGTCAAGGTAAATCCAGGCTTTTCGCAGATGTGGTTTTGCTGCAAGATGCAGAAGGAAGCTCCGGTCAAAAGGGATGTGTTGCGAAGTGTCGACGTGGTAACCTTCCAGCTTACTGCACTGGTACGCGAACTTGCGTGCAGCTACGACGACATCGCTTGGATATTCCGGGTACATCTCTAGCTCCGTGATGGCAGGGCACAAGTCAACGACGCAGTCGAGGACTCGTGATATCCGCTCATGGATTACGCATGAATCGAGTGGAGGTTTCAGATCGCAGGCTTGCAGACAGAAGGCGAGACTTGACAGGCTGGGCCCGAGGAACATTGCAATGTAATCTGCGTGGGGGGCGTCGTATATGTTGACCCGGAGATGTGTGAGATTTGGTAGAAGCCATCGGCGGCGGCGATGTAAGCATAGTCGGTATACAACTGCGGCACGAAGCTCACGGTCCCGAGACCACAAGCTAGGTTCCTTCCAGGAGAATAGCTCCTGATCGGCGTACTCGTTGTCGTAATACCCGAGTGCCTTGATGCGCGATGCATAGTAGTCGAACCTGGTCCAGTCTGACTTCAATAGCGGTCGCAAAATGCTCTGCAAAAACAACTCAATCAGCGGAGATAGGTTGATAGACATTTCCACCCACCATCTCGAAGCGACGAGGGGCCGATGCTTTCGACTTGTCTTGCATAGAGAGCTCTTCGTAGGCATCATCAGGCAACGTCTTCATCAGAGGAGCAAGTGTGAGTTGGCGCTTCCATAGCGCGTCCAAAGATGGTTCCAGGAACGATCGACAAGTTCTCGCAAGACGCGCTGTGGAAGCGTTATGGCAGCGCAACTGTGAGTCACTCGCATAGAAGTCATCGTAAGGTACAACCTCCAGGAAGTCCAAGATGCGACGGAAAATATCCGGAAGGATTAAAGAGCGATGCATTGCGACTGTTGGAGTGGAAAAAGGCCGGAGGTAAGATGACGGTACAGAACGAACCAAAGTGTTAACAGCGGCTGATGAAGGCGATGCAGCGGTAAGCCCATCTATTTACGTAATAATGCTCCGACTCATAGTGGTGGATACGGTTCTGTGACTACGGTACGCGGCCTTTTCCCGGAACGTTAGGACGTACGGCAGCCCACCGACGAAGTGCACTGTGTGGTATCTACCTCAGCTGTGAGTACTCGTGCGCGTTGTAAACCCTTAGGCTGTAACATACTTACTCACGATCGGGGTAGACTCTTCGCAAGAACAGGCTCGTGCTACCCGGATTTCCACCATCAGCGTTGAGACCGCGGATTCCATTCCTGGGGCTGGCTATCCAGGGCTTCATCTACAACGGGGATTACGAGTCAGATACCCTCACTAGACAGCTGCAAAGGGTCGAAAGGACGTTAACGCACCTATTTCCTTCGCGCCAATGATGTCCGCCGTGTATTCTTCACCAAAGTGCTCGCGTCGTAGTCGGCACATTATCATGTCTACCTGATTACGGTAGGCGTACGGGTCGTAGGACAACGGCGCATTCGGATCACTGTGCGGATCCCACCGCACGCCGTGTTCGAACAGCTTGAACGAGACAATACGAGGCGCGATTGAAAACAGCGCGCGCGCAAAGACCCCCGGGTCCTCTGGGAGGATGGAGTCGATGATGTCGATATACCGGAGTTGGGTACCGGGCCGAGAAGTGTAGGCGTATGCCACGTCGAGGTTGCGGGTCGTGTCAAAGACGAGGTTCAGGTGGGTTAGCAAAGGGCATAAGCTGACGAGAGACGCGAGGCCTTCCCAGGTAGCCGGAACGATAACTCCAGGGTTACCAAACGTCTCGCCGAAGGAGAACACGATGAGTCCGGGCCACGCGATACCGACAGCACGGAGGTCCTCGTCGGTGAGCCATCCATAGAGGGGAAGGCAGAGTACGAAGACGCGTAAGTTTGGGAAGTAGAACATCATCGACAGAACCACGATGTCGACCAAGTGGTCTTCCTTGTGTGGTGGGAACACGTCTTCTTCAAGAATCAGCATGCGCTGATCGACACGGAACACGTGCAACGTGTGCTTAGCACAGTGCGTGCGGAGCGTGTCGAACAAGTTGACAACGTCCGCTGCCGACGGCTGGTATTCGACCTCGAGGAGTAGACTGAAAAGACGACAGTGTTGCATGGCCGCGAAGAGAGGGATGCAGAGGGGCAGGCGGGGAATTCTTATCTCTAGTACTTGCAGCGACGGGAAGGGGTGGTATATTGGTGGGGACGAGAGGATGGGGAGGTACTCGGCCGTCTCTGAGCTGACAGTGAGCATGAATTTCCGCAGTTCTGGCTTTTCGGCGAGGTACTTGAGGAAATCCCAGTCGATTGGCGGGTGCTCTACGGTGTTGACCTGGTAGCCCTCCAGGCGAGGGCAGTCACGGGCAAAACCCCGGGTAGCCACCACAACATCTTCTGCATACTCCGGAAAAATCTCCAGCTCCCGGACGGTCGGACAGAGCTGAACAAGAGCGCTGAGAACGCGAAGAACTTCGTTTTGAGTTTTAGCAGGGTTCAAAGGGGGTATGAGGGTAGCTGGGTAGAACGCGAAGGACAGACATCTCAAGTTTGGCCCCAGGAACATCGGGGCATACTCGGTGTAAGAAGTGTTGTAGATATTCCATCGGAGGTGGGTGAGATTAGGAAGAAGCCATCGGCCACGGCGGTAAAGACATAATTGGGATATCACTATTGGTCTCGGTTCGCGTTCCGGTGAGGAATAGTTTGGTGTACACCAGGAAAGCCATTCTTCGTCCGCGAATTCGTTGGCGTAGTATCCAAGGGCCTTGATACGCGAGGCATAGAAGTCGACTCTGGAGAAATCCGACTCTATGAGCGGCCTAAGCAGATACTACGTACAACAAACTCGCCGTTACTACAGGACAGCAGCTAGAGATCAAGGCAAAGTGGCACATACGATAGCGAAGCCGCGCCGGGGATTACTTGACACTATATGTTCCACTATCTCCTCCCAAGCGTCTGCAGGAAGCGTCTTGAGGAGGGGACAGAGCGTGAGTTGATGCTTCCACAATACGTCCAAAGATGGCTCAAGGAACGCCCTGCAAGTCCTCGCAAGACGTGCTATCGACGCATTCTGATCTTTTTCCTGGTCGTATCCTGAGTAGAAGTCGCCTGAGGGTAGAATCTCTAGGTAGTCTAGGATCCTTTTGAAGACATCCGGCAACAGCAGGGAACGATGCATAATTGCGCCTCACGGTGCACGACTGATCAGAGAGACATGGAGGTAGCAAGGACGACGCTCCCGAGCGCTCGCTTCCTCTTCCGAGCGCTCCCGAAACACCCCCGATGTGTCCCGGCTCTCCCGCAAGTCTGGCCGCCAAATGTGCGCCTTTCAACTGCATTCCATGTTCATACGTCCGCAACGACGCCAATTCAGGCTCTAAGTTCCAGACGCCCCCGATTCAGCCACGCAGCATATGTGCCGTGCGCGACCACGCTCATACGCAGTTGTATAGCGTACATGAGGCTCGAGCAGCCACGAAAGCCTACAAAATGCTGCACCTACTACCTTACCCGGCGACTCCTGAATGGTTTGTCGAGTAGAGAGAGTATCTTACTAATGTCAAACATGTGAGCAATGTATGAGTACACGAGGACATTTGCTGATGTCCGAGTCTAAAGAAGTGTCGGTTCGCGTGAACGTGGACTCAGAACCGGTTACGGCGCGCTTTTACGGGTTCTGGGTGAAGAGCCTCCGCGTAATAACCGTCTGGAGCCATATAGTGTGCAACAAGATACGGGTTGTATAACTGAATGCCTATCGGAGGCGGGAACTCAGTCAATGGCGCTCTCGATATCATATCGCACTCACCGCGAAAGCACCTATAGTACTTACTGCAACGATAAGTTACGCCCATGGATTCCATTCTTTAGGCTGGCTGTCTACGGCATCAGCTATGAAGTAAATCGGGATTCAGACACTCCTGTCGAAAGCCAGTGGAGAGAGCATGATTACTCACCAATCTCCTTCGCTCCCAAGACGTCTTTGGTGTATTCGTCGCCGAAGCGCTCCCGCCGCATCTCGCACATGATTTTGTCGACCTGTTCACGGTAGGTGTATGGATCGAACGCCAAGGGACCCTCTTGAACGGCCTCCATCTCCCACGGACCACTCAGATCCACGTATCCGATGCGGGGTGCGATGGCGAAAAGCGCCTGGGCAAACGCTCCCGGGTCCTCGGGAAGTGCGGAATCGATGACGTTGAAGTATCGGAGCTGCGTATCAAGGCGGCCGTCGAACGCGAGAGCTGCGTCGATATTACGAGTCGTGTCGAAGAGGAGATGTAGCTCGGTCAGCAGAGGGCAGCGCTGAACTAGGGAGGCGACGCCCTCCCATGTTCCTGGAGTGACGGCTGGGGTGCCCCAAGTCTCCAGAAAGGAGAAGTAGACGAGCCCAGGCCACGCGTCTCCGATAGCTCGGAAGTCTTCGTCTGTTAGCCAGCCATAGAGGGGGATGTGCAGGACGAAGACTCTGATGTTCGGAAAGTGTCCTAGAATGGGGGAAAGAACCGCAATGTCGATGAGATAGTCAGATTTGGGCGGCGGGTAGTTGTCTCCTTCAAAACTGAGGAAGCGCTGCGTCAGGCGGAGAACATGCAAGGTATTCCTGGCACAGTGCTGGCGAAGGGCATCAAAGAGGTCGATAATGTTCGATGCGAGAGGCTGAGATTCGATTTCGATGATAAGGCTGAATAGCCGGCAGTGCTGCATGGCTTCGAACAAGGGAGTACAGTAGTGCAGATGATATGCTTTGAGATAGAGCACTTGAAGCTCGGGGAATGGATGGTAGATCGGAGGGGAGGAGAGAAGCGGGAGCAGGTCCGCCGTATTCGCGTCCAGGCTGAGGAATGCCTTTCGTAGATGTGGCTTCGCGGCGAGGTGTTGAAGGAAATCCCAGTCAAACGGAGCGTGCTCTGTGGTGTCCACGTGGTAGCCTTCTAGATTATTGCACTGGTATGCGAACTTGCGCGCAGCTACGACGACGTCGCTTGAGTACTCCGGGTACATTTCTAACTCAGTGATGTTAGGGCACAACTCGGCGAGAACGTCTAGGACCTGTGATATCCGTTGTTGCACTTCGGGGGCGTCCTCTGGAGGCTCGAGGGACTGGGGAAGTAGAGCGAATGCGAAACTTGTGAGGTTGGGTCCGAGGAATTGCGGGAGGTGATCGGTGTACGGGGCATCATATATATTCCAACGAAGACGCGTGAGATTGGGTAGAAGCCATCGACTGCCACGGTAGAGAAAGAGATCGGATAAGAACCATGGAGAGAATTCATACAGCCGGAAAACCACGCTGGGTACATTCCACGAAACGCCTTCCTGGTCGGCGTACTCATTGCTGCAATATCCAAGCGACTTGATGCGTGAGGCATAGTAATCGAATCTGGACCAGTCCGTTTTGCACAACGGTCGTTTGATTATCTGGATCAATAGAGTGAGTAATGAAATAACGAGATATGCAGAGTCCGCAATCCTCACTCACAAAGTCGAAATAGGGGCGGCCAGCAGCGAGCCCCCGGTACGTGCGAGGCCGTTGTTCGTAGGCATCTGCAGGCAGCGTCTTCACCAGAGGACCAAGTGTACGTTGGTGCTTCCATAACGCATCCAGACACGGCTCCAGGAACGTAGTACACGTTTGCGCAAGACGTGCTATGTAGAGGTTATGTTCGCGTCCTTCCTGATATGACGAGTAAAAGCCGCTGTTCGGTATGATTTCCAAAAAGTCCAAGATCCTGCGAAAGATATCGGGTAACAAGAGGGCATGATGCATTACCGGACACTGTAATGAGATGAGAAGGACTAGGGTAGAGTCGGCCGCCCTGAGTGGTTTGGAACGAAGCAGAGTTGATATAGAGCGCTGCGCGTGCAGTCTCATGCAATCATCGTGCGATTGAAGATGCAATTACGTAATGTGAATGATACCATGAGGCGGCCCATGTAGTAGGGCCCCACGGGATTGTTACGAAGTTGAACAATAGGTGCCGCAACCAAGTCCACACGTAAGTGTCCGACGTCCGTTGAGCATGCTATGTCGACGACAGAACAACATCACAGAAAGGTGCGGTACCATCATCACCGTAGCCTGACTGGGAGATCAGCAAAAGTGATACCGACAACAGAAGTAAGTATTACGGTATAATCTCAGTCCCCTGGCGGGAGTACGTCGGTAACGTCGAGTATTGTCAGCCCAAAAGGACAACAAAGGCTTGAGTGTATGCGTGCTTGTTTGAAAATTGGTCCCCACGGCTGCTGCCCCACAGCCAGGATGTAACGTTGAGTGGAATGCACGATCGTCGATGTCAGACGTCGGCCTTGACAGCTGGAGGGAGGCAGAGATGGGTGCGTGGTTCCGCACAAGCTGTCCGTCACACAAGCCTCTCAGAATATGCAGCCCAGCAAGAATGGCGACAGTACGGCGCACATGTGTGATGCGGACGCAGCGATAATTCAAACTTGGGCGGGTGCGACTTGCATGGCAAATCGGCGAGGATTGTGCAAACAGTAGCACAGGGAGCTCGCGAGAAGTGGTGCATGGAAGCCGTAGAGCTTCCCTTTCTCTGCGAGGACCCGCGGAGAAGGTGGCGATCGCCACAGGTGCTTGTCGCAGTGCCAGTATAATTACTTCTGGGCATGTCCTTGCGGCTTTTGATATCGCCGCACTTCCATGTGTTTCGTCGGGCCACGTGGCGCGGACGACGACATAGGCGAGCTATAGAACAAGGCGACGATGAGCCGGAAAAAACTACACTGATGCAGGAGGCTTTGTGAGACCACTCACGACACAGATGGAGGATGACAAGTTTCGCAATAGCATGAGCATCGGTGTGGGATGCGTGTGTGGCGATAGGAACAGTAAAAATGCGCTGAGTTGGATGTTTGCATACATGGGAGAGTGAAGATACGCACCAACTGCGCTCTCTAATATACCCAGAGAGGAGCGGGGGGGCGGTGAACGAGGAAGGGCGGGAGAAGGGGGGTGGCGGGAGCATGGTAGCACGTACCTACGACCCGCCTTCTCGTCCTGCAAAGGCAATGATCCCAGCTGCGCAGTAAGGCTCAGGGCCGACCCGAGGAGCCCTCAGCACGGCATGGCCGAAGAAAGCATGTCGCTTAGCACAACAGCAGCGCTTGCGCCCACAGAGCAGTCATCGTACGCCATGAGGCAGAGGCAACACGCACACCGAGTCAGCGACGGGCGGCGGGGTCGGTGCAGACGAGTACGCAGGTCTTCCTAGGATGGATGTGCGCCGGCGGGACGCGCAGACTTGTGGCGGCAGGCGGTGTGGCAGAAGAAGATGGCGGAGGACACGTGGGGGAGGGGAGGAGGAGTATGGGAGAAAATTGCTCCCATAAGAGCGAAGTATGCGAGAGCGCGGGCCTATGGCTCGGGTTTGGCTGTGAATGGCGCTAACTAACAAGCGTAATTTACACCTACCTGGTTCTGGACTCTGCAAAAGTGTTGGATATCCGACCGTCCAATATTGGAGCGAAGGATTGCGATACGAAGGCGGGGGAGAGGAAAAAGAGGACGACGAGGACCGGATACGACGGCGGGGGATGGTGAAGAGTCCCTTGCCCCTCTTCATGCCTCTTGACGGCTTCGACGCAATGCGTTGTCTGGTAGTACAACGTCGCATCAGAATATTCTCTCCGTTGACGTTCGATGGCGACCAGGTTCACAAAGGTGGAATACAATACCAACGGGCGCCTATTGGCGGAAGTAACTTCGCGTCCGTACCGCGTAGTTGTTCATGTCCATTTCCGGGAGATATCCCTAGAAGTAGCGGTCAGACACCTATACAACACAATCCCGGGTACTATGAATATGAATATGAAAGTCTCCCAAATCCGACTCGACTCTGCCTTCAATGATAGGGGTTCCCGACACGAATACCACGGAGAAGACCCCCCATCCCGCCCGCTCGGTCGACAGGAGGCAGCTCTCACAAGGGCCCAATCTCAGATAGATCAAAGCGGTAGAAATACAGACACAGCACCATAGATGCCGCCTGCATAAACGCCGCGCGAAGCTGTCGAAGCTCCGCGGGTAGTCGATATGCCCGACGAATCGCGCTGCGGACACAACGCTAACCCTCGGGAAATGCTCCATCCTGATATCTGGGCTCTCTTTCTGGACGATACTGAACACGCGAACACGTTGTGCACGGCCTTACTGCCATTTACTAGATCCCATATGGGACGGAGAATCGAGTGCGAATGAACAGGCGGTGTTGACGGCCGTGCAAGAGAATGATGCCTCGTGGAAGGGAAAGCTCGCCTCCAAAAATATTTTAAAGGAGAGCTCGTAGGGATAGACCAGGGCAAAACCCTCTTACGGCCCTCACCAACCCCACAACTTGTCGCAGCAGGCTGAACGACAACGTGGTCACCAGGATGCCCAGTATCACCAGGACACCCTGGTAGCCACGTAAACTATAGATAAATAGCATATCTGCTCACCATAACAATGCTGAATCGCTTCGACTATGCTCGTCGACGACAAGGCCAAGGGGTTCGAAGTCGAACATCGGCGCCTATTGCGTTAGCTTGACGACGCGGACAACGAGCTCGAACAAGCCGTTGTATTGGGCGAGAACCTGAGTCCCATCGGCCAAAAAGACAACGTATATGAAGACCTATGTTCGTATGAGCTTTCAGATCTCTCTGTTTAGGATTTCACAAACCAGTCTCTCAATGTGGCCGTTGAATCTGAGATACTGTCGTTTAGCACACACGTCGAGCTTCTGAAAGAGCGATCTGCACCTACCATGGGCATGCGGTTCTTTGAACGACGGAAGGGCTTCATTTCGCAGCAATGATCTGCTCACGAGCTTCGTGGAACCCACGACGAGCGGAAATCGTGGATGATCGTTCGTACACAAGTGCAACAGGCGCCCATAACCTTCCTCCGCCTCCGCCCGTATGTGACAAACATTGCGCAGTGCGCACATGCATGTAGACCCGCAGGAAAATGATATCGTCCCATGCATTCACACGATAGACAGAAGAATGCGCTTTCGAGTTCGCAAGACTGTATTCCAACACGAACGGATAACGGATACAAGTACACTATTGGGCACGAATGATACACATTTGAATCGTAAACAATCTGAACTGTACAGCTAGCTAACGGCAACGGGCTCGCCACCCGCAACGGCCGGGCCACCTGAGGCGCCGCCGCTACGGAGTGTCCATGAGATTTGTGCTACACGCGTCCTTGGCCGCACGCGCAGGGCAAGGACCGGGCGGTCTTCGCTCGAGATGGCGGGCACCCGCCCGAGTGGAGCGGGTCGACCGCTTTCTCCGGAGGGGCGCAGCCGAGGACGGGGAGAGTCGATAGCATTGACGATGGACGATTGGAACGGAGCGTGAATGGGGAAAAGGGGTGGGGATGGGGGTGAGGAGGGGCGGAGGAAAGAAGCGAGAACGAATTCAAATGCGAGCATAATTTGCAGAGCGGATCAGAGCATTGCGGAGGACATTGGATGGGGGTAGGTGGGGTGGTGTGGGTGTGGGTGTGGGTGTGTGAACGTGTATCCGGGTGGTTGCAAGTGGCGTTGATATGGAGTAGGCAGGTCCTTGAGCGAGTCCACCGGAGGATGGCGACAAAGAGGCGGTAGAGAGATGGCCGAGGACGTCGGGGAGCGGTGGGGCAGTAGGGCGGCGGAGGAGAGCGCAGACAGGCGGCAAGGGATGTGTGTAGAAAGGGGATCGGGCGTGTGGCAGTCGAAATAAATAAGGAAGAGCGCGCGGGGAGTGAAAAAAACAGAACAGGATGCGAGGTTGAATGGGGGAATGATCATGGGGCAGTCCACAACGGTATCCAAGAAGGGAGGACAGGCACGCATAGCGCGGCGAACCCGCAAAGTCAATTGGAAGCGAAATCCACGTCCGACAGGCCCAAAGACGACACCGCGGGAACGCGAACGGGACGAAGCCAAACGCCAAACACCGAACACCGAACGCCAAACACGGGGAAACCCAAACAAGGGGCAAAGAGGGGGAAAACGCCTGCCCATATCCGCGACCCGTCCGCGACGCGCCAGCGAGCGCGAGACCACGACTTTCGCCGCGCGCCTCTCGCAGCTTGATCTTCCGTCTTGCTGCGATCCACCAAGGTACGCCACACAGCTAGACCCATCCTGGATAGACGCGACTGGTAGAAGAGGGGCACGAGAACCGCGGGGCGAGGGCGAGGCCGACCGCGCGCCTGGATGGCTTGACAAATGGGACCGAGACACGACATTGACTACGAGAACAAGAACGGGGACAGCCGTGAAGAAACCCCGGGAGCAGTGATGGCGCCAGGATCCGCGTAGCTTGCCTTGAATGGGCGAGGACGAGAGTATATATGGGAGGAGGAAGGTGGTGGTGGGACGGCCTGATCGCCCATCGATCACAGCGCGGGTGCGCGGTCACGCCCTGCCAGGAAGGTGAGACGCGCGCGCGCGGGAGGCCGAAATTGCTGCTCTCGGTAGTCGAAACGCGTCGTGCCGTGCTTGCTGCCCGTCCTCGCCCCTCGCCCCCTCATCCCAGATGGGGTGAGGAAACCACGAGGTCGGTCGGACCTCCTCGTCGCGCGGTATATTAACCAGCCGCTCTTCGCCCGCTTCCCCGTCTCTCCTGCTTTCCCTGCCCACCTCTGTCACCAGCCACAACACCCCCCGCACGCTCCAGCACCAGCCGCTCAGTTCGCCTGCACGACTCCGGCAGCTGCACTGGCGCGCCTCTCAGGTCTAACGTCGAGCTGGGCGGTACGAAGGACTGGGGGTGGCGACACGGCGTTGCTCTTCTCCACGGATGGCAAGGGCGCGTCCGCCACATCGTCTGACCGCATGCGCTTGCCAGATCCCGGAGCTTCCCGGTCGACCAGTTCAAGCTCCTCGCTCGATCGCTTCCTCTGTCGTGACGGTGAGTCTACGAGTGACGCGGTTGCTTTCCCCACAGGTGTCGGTGCGGCCGGCGAAGAGAGGGTGCCGTCGAAAGAGCCATGCCGCCTTGCCCGTTTGGGCGGGGTCCCGCCACGTTCAGACGGCTGTGAAGTCGGGAACGTGACACCTGGGTGCAGCTCGTCGAAGGCGTCATTGTCCAGTTCTGTCGACGGTCGTTTCCGCGTAGTCGCAGTGACCTGGGGCGTCCCATGTGCTTCTGAAGCAGGCGTGTCTGAGTCGGGTACGGAGATCGTTGCAGACAGCGATAGCGACAACGACGTTGCATCGTCACCGTCGCCGTCGACGTCGCCCCGCTCTGACTCGCCATCTTCGTCTAGCGACTCGTCTTCGCTCCCATCCAGGTCGTCCTCGTCGCCTTGGACCACCGCGAGCTCCGGCTCTAACGGCGCATCTTGGATTTTGATCTGCACTGGAGGAGTGGGGTTTGTCGGCGGGGATACTTGCGCCGCCACCGCACTCGGGTGGAGCTGAGCCTGCGTCGGCACCGTGCTCCTCAGTGCTAAGTTTACGTTCAGCATAGCCCGCTCGCAGATCGAGCATTGGCACTGATATAGCGGGGCACACGCCTCGCGCCACACCTAAGCGGCAAGACAACGGCGTCAATGATCAGGGTAGCGTTAATAGCGTCAGAGATACGCACGTATCCGAACGCCTCGATGCTGTAGTACGGCAGGTGCTGAGCCGTGACCGGTACGTAAGGGATCATACGGATAATGTCCGGCGACTTGAGAAGAGGGGAGGTCAAGACGGGTGGCGCGGTCGTCATTGGAGAAGACGCAAGAGCATCGTCTTCCTTGCCGCTAGGTGGTGGCGACGGTGTCGTTTGTAGAGTGGTTGTCGAGAGCACGGGGCTCGTCGTGTGCGAGCCTGTAGAGTGGGATGATGACGAAGAGTCGTCTTCGTCCCTCTCCTTCGCTCGCCGGCGCTCCGCCAGGCGCTCATTCGCCCGTCGCTCGAGCCAGTCGATCCCGTTATACCACGACGACTCGTCTCGAAGCTCACGCATGACGTCTTCTAGGGTCATTCGGTTGGCCCTCACCGCAGGATCCGTGCCATCCGCAGCGCATTCCATGACGATTTTCCGTACGATGTTACGCATAGCCGGACCCAAGATTTCGCCCATCTGTCGTGAGAACGTCCGATAGGTCATCTCGCATAGCGTGTACGATGGCGGATGAGGCGAGAGGTGTGTCTTCGGTCGTGGATGCTCGAGCACCTGCGCATCGTCGCTTTGACCCTCGTCCAAGGCGCCTTCAAATATCGTCTGTCGGTTCCAAGGACACGGATGCACAGCCGGCGCGAGTCGTGGCCGCCCATTCGCTGTGTAGTGAAACCAATCGTCCGCAGGGCTGATCCAGTGACCGTCGAGGATGCGGTTGCGCGCCCAGTCGTTAATCGCGATATCCTTGACACCTTCTTCCGTCAGACTGAGCATTTCCGGGTCGTCCGTCTCGTCTTCGCTGAGCTCCTCGTCGCTGTTGAAGGCATCTCCGCTCTCAGTCCGTGAAAAGAGCCGCGACGAAGCCAGCGCCTGCTGCAGCATGTCGCCCAGTTTCGTGTACGACCGCAGCCAGTGCTTCTCTTCCGCAAGTTGCAATACGTCCTGGATCGTGCCCTCGCCCAGGTCTATGAAGTTCTCGACCGCCGTGCGCGTCTCCCAGTCGAGCGTCGCCCACCTGTGAGTGCTCACAGCTTGACGCCATTCGGGGCGTGCGCTGACGCGCAGCCAGAACACCTGCGCCCGACATGACCGGCAAGTCGTCTCAACGTTCGGCCAGGTCTGGTGGTCCTCGTTCTCCAGGCAGCCCACCGGTACGCCCTGCGTGTACTCCTCTTCTAGTTCCGCGCGCGGCGCTTCCCGGAGACACACCCCGCAGAACGCCGTAGCCTTCCGGTGGTCTTTGCACAGGAGAACGGTGCCGGCGTACTGGGTAGACACGGAGCGCTTGTGGCTGCCCGCGCCAACGCCCTCCGAGTTGTACGGCATGTTGATCCTGCAGACGGCGCAAGAGGCTCCCAAGAGGGAGTGGAAATGGTGGTACATGCTGACCCGGACGAGCGTGGTGCTGTTGTTGGAGCCGGCGGTAGATGAGGGTGGCTGTCTGAAGGAGAGGTGGTTCAACGCTCCGAGAGGGTCGAGAACGGCGCAGGCCTTGTTCCAGAACAAATGGTGCTCGACTACAAAATGCGTTAGCGGATGCGCGAGGCTATGATCGGGGCAGGAGGGAAGCTTGAAGACACGCCGCTCGCACGGCTGGCCACTAACGCGGAAAACGTCCCGCCTGCTAAAGCCGTAGACGCACGCATGAGAGCGATTGCTTTACGGAACACAATTGCAAGATATGTTCCGGAAAACAACCACTGTTGCACGCAGAACCCGTGGCTAGTAACGTCGACTGCCACACAGCCATATTACCCTCGTGATAGGGCACCCAACACACTCCACTCCAACCAGCCAGTCAACTCCCAGTGCTACACCTACCCGCTGCTCACGCAGCACTCCAAACAGCCGAAGTACGAGCGGCTTGTGCGAGGGGCGACGCCGGCCTCTAGCCACACACGTCCGACCGCCGAACGCGCGTGTCGTGACATAGCTAATGTAGGCGGTGCCATTTGAACCCGCGACACGGAGAGTACTATAAGCGAACGGGACGATGACGACCCAATACGCCCGGTACGTCCCAGACGTCGAATGAATGGGCATCAGGCTGTTGTGGGGTGAGGATGAAGACCGCAAGAGACACCACTCGCACTGCTTGCCATTATCGCGGATACTACCCCAGGCTCTTGAATCGGTTGCTCTGCAGAACACATCCGCGTTGAAAGATGTTCGCAGAGCAACAGAACGAACACGAACGCACGTACTGTTCAAGTCAGCAGAAGCGTCAACAGCCACAGCGCCCTGTGCGTAATGCGATCGCGCGACGCGTTCCACTCCCAGTCATTCGCTATTGGCACGTCCATAGTCGTCGCCACATGCACAGGCATCTCACTCCTTGCGTAGGAGGCCGTAATGGCGCATTCAGACAAGGCGGCATCGGGTTCCAGGTATCCAATACCGGAAACCAATGAACGGTGCCACCTTGAAGCGCGACGCGGAGAGCGAGGAAAAGATGCTACAGCGATATCCGCCTAACTCTTCCAAGGTACCTGGCAGACCCCAGAGGAGAGAAAGCAGAGACTCACGATGAGGCTTCCACGTCGGGAAGATGTCCATGACCCTCTCAAACTCTCGCGCGTCCCGGAGCGTCGTAAACGCGAAGCGTTGTGGCCATAGTTGGGGGGCCTCCCATGTCTGTGGGTAAAAGCCTGTCGTGTAGACATCGAGGAGGTAGTGTGTGGCGATCAGCCTAGACGAGCGGGTAAGCCAGGCGGTGGCGCGGCATGTGGAACACGACATACCTGACGATCTCGGCCGGGAGGTCGAGCCAGGATTTCGCGGTCTTTCCCTTGCAAGGGGTGTTCATTGTGCGGTGGCCGACGTTGCGAACGTTGTCGACGACGTTGAGAGTGTCGAGGGCGGCGTCGGAGGCGGTCGACGCCATTGCGCAGGCGTCACGGTGTGCGGGTTGGTGACAGATCGCGACAAAGCAGTGTCACATCCCAAATTGACCCCGACGCCAGGAACCAGATATTCCCACGCACGGACCACCTCCATCTCGGCCCGTGCTGCCGTCTTGATGGGCGTCTATATTCTGGACTTAGCGTGTTGAGCACAAATCGAGTCTTCCCATCACTCTTCTCGTCCCTCCTTATACTGCAGCGTATGTAGACGGGTCCTCTCTCGTGCAGATCTCGACCATAACAAATACCACCGAAGCAAAATAATTGTGTCCTCACGATTTCGAAGTTCACTACTCCTAATATTGCCAACAATCACGTTCGCGCCAGCAATCCCATCGTCCTTTCCGCTACTGCGAGCGTCGCTCTCACCAACCCACCAACCGCAGTCAGTGTAAAAGTGCTCTGATCTTTTCTAGATAAGTCGTAAGGCCGCGCAAGCACGGCAGAGCCCGCTACCGTTATTTTATAATATAAAACCGTGGTGATTGTCGGCACACAAATCTTAGGATGTAATGTCATGAATTCACAAGTTGTTGAACGTCATGATCATCTATGCGACAGACACATATCTGAGAAAATTGCATGCAAAGTTACGGCAGCTGAAGTGGTTCACGGAGGAGTCCGTGGTACCCGAGCGAAGGGTCTCCGGCATGCAAGAAGAGGTGTAGTGCAGGCTGAGCCTCACATCAGACATGGAGGTGTCTTGCGAGGAGTGTAGCGTCGCGCATGAACGGATCGTGTCATGCGCGGAGGTGACTTGTCGTGTAAGGAGCTCGTCGTGCGAGCAAGCGGATGTCGCTCCACGATATTATGATATCCAAGTCGCGCACAGCCTGAGATCATCTTACACACAAAGGACGGCTGCCTGCACACAGTAGATATCGTAGGGCAGAGGCCCTGGGCCGCCTCGCGCGAGGAGGGAATATTCGCGAAGAGCATCCGTTGGTGAAATCACCCTCGGAGTATGTCTTGAAGATGTGAGCATCCCGCCGGTTTTAGTCCCCAGCTATTCGTACGTATATTTACACCTATAATATTCTGATTAGAGATGTCTATCACGGTCGCAGAGCACACACCTTGATAGCAATTTCTTGGCGGCCATGCTCGCGGCAGGACGCACGAAGACGTACTCATGACGGGCTGCTGAGCTCGAGCTGCCTAAACGTAGACGGACGATATAATTATTACCTGCTGAATATCGTTACATACACAGTTTTAAGGCGGCATCCTTAAAGGTCCGAGTCTGCCAACTTATTGAGGACGAGCGACTCGAGAGAACCGTAGCATGATGGCAGGTGGATGAAGTGAAGCTGGGGTTGGTTTGGCGCCCTGGTTCTCACGATCAACTGGGACGCCACCGCATACAATTTGAGTTAAAGAAGGCGTAGTCACTGCGTGAACGGCAAAATAGCGCCTATGGGCGATTCCCCCGTGCATGTCTGATCGCACTGGGATCTCCAGACGTGGCGATGTGCGAATCGCCACATTGGATATGTGGGAAGGGGGCACATAGTCGAAGGTCATAGACGAGGCAATCGTCGGTGTGGCGACGCTCAGTCGCGCGCAGCGGCTGCATCCGATGCGATTTGGCATATCCCAAGATCGCGCGACCTCGAGACGAGTACTAGTCACCGCACCTATTTTTGAATGTGCCTGTACCTACGTAGCACACGGTTGGTACTATGACACACCCGTCTTATCACTCGGTTTTATTTCTTTGCCATCCGTAGAGAAATATATTTTAGGCGCTAAAACAAATCATACTTCGCGACATACAAACGAATCGAACGACGCGCTACGCTAGTCGTATATGTGATCTCACATTTATCGTCTGCCTAGGGGAGACAAACGCTAGTCTCACTTGCTACATACGCGTAGATGCGGTGATCTCTAAGACGTACCTTTTTTGCAGTATAAGTAATGGGCTGTTGCCCCAGCAAGCCCCTCATATCTCAGGCTCGAGCACTGGAGGAATCGCAGGCGTTGGACTCATTCGCAGCGGTGTGGACTGCGGATCTGAGCAGAGAAGGTGTGTTGCAGCGCAAAAGGAAGACTAACCTTATGCATCACTTACACGGAACGAGTGTGGATTACCTGCCATGCCTGATCAACAAATTATTGAACAACGATAACCACGGTTGCGAACATGACGGCGATCTGAAGAGCCGCGCGGCACACTTGGTCTGCGTGGACGACCACTGGCCCGGGCAGCCACTGCGACAATGACATGGAGAGGCTGGATATGAGAGGTTACGAACCTTGGGGTTTTGTTACAAGAGCGTTGCACAGAGGTAGCCAGACCTTGGCACCGAGGACTGAAGGTACCGACTGGACTAGGATGGTGGGGAGGAGAGAGCACGAGAGCTGGAGCCGAACCCGAGCGCGAGTTTTTATATGCCACGTATGACTCCAGTTTCGCGATGGCAAATAGAGAGAAACCGCCGCGTTGGAGACGTCGCGAAGACGCAGGGACGACGTCGTCGATTATACATCGCACGAGGATGTGGAGATGTTGCATGGCGCCTGCGCGCGATGTCTCGAAGCCTAGGCGTCTATTCAGGTGATTCTTCGTAGCGTGTACCACATCTCCACATCCTTGGCGACCTGTGCTACCTCACATCGACTTTGATGCTACGAAGGCGACTCAAGATCTCACTCTGGAGATTGTGCCGCGCGATTCAGTGAAAAACGCAGTGAGTATGAGGATCAAAGGACTGGAGCCTATGGATCAAGACGATTCTAACGCTGCTCGAGATTTCTTACTTTTGAATCATTCACTTCTGACGACATCTCATCCAAGACCCCCTACTAGGTAGCGGGAATTTTGTCAGTTCTGAAGTAAACCTTTGGGTCAGCATCTCCTCACCCTGAGCGCCGCTCTTCTCTGATGCTACCACTAGGGCGCAAAGAGAGAATATGGCCAGGGTGAACGACCTTTTCGCCGTTTCCCCGTCCCGGGTTCTGCTGGGCTTCACCACCTCCAATATCACAACTTCACCACTGATTTCGGCCGTACCTTTGACGGACAAGGCCCTCGGCGTCCATAAGGTCACCTCGGCCACGACCCATAACCTCGTGCAGCCCCCAATTCCCGTAGATCGCGACGATTCGCAGTGCGCATGGGAGGCTCTCTATCCCGAAGGCAGCATCAATCCGGGAAACAAAATCGTACCTCCCGGCGGCTTCGGCTTCTACTTGCGCGGGCCGCCGGAATTCGCACAAGCTCTTAATGATCCCGCGACGGGTGCGGAGGTCGTCTTCGGCTATGACGTCCTTTTCGAAGAAGGCTTCGACTTCAGGAAGGGCGGAAAGCTACCGGGGATCTGTGAGCCGTCGATGCATATGGCAATGCCCTCGCATAGGTCTGACTATGGACTGATCATCTCATAGATGGGGGTGCCGGAGATGCTGCGTACGGATGCACCGGAGGACGCCAGACCGACAGATGCAAGTGCTTTAACCTGCGGTTGATGTGGCGGTGCGTGGCTGCAATATGCGCGGTAGTGCCTCCTCGGCGTACACTGACGTACTGCGCGCATCCAGCGAAAACGGCGTGGGCGAGCTGTACGCCTACGTCCCGCAATCTGAGATCAACACCCAACGGCTCCTCGCCGTCCCTCCTCGCTCGATTCAGCATCCCGATTATGGGTTTTCAGTCGGCCGCGGGGCGTGGACGTTCGCGTCCGGCCGCTGGACGCGCGTCACCGAACGCGTAAAAATCAACGATGTTGGAAAGGAGAACGGTATGTTCAAGCCTCTCCTCGTGTCTCTACACTGCTCACCGGGCTGTAAACGGAAGGCGAGATCGAGGTCCTCATCGACGGCAAATCCGTCTTCCTTGCCACCGGCCTCGTCTTGCGAACGCCCGAAGGCCCCGATGCACGCGTACAGGGCCTGCATTTTCAGACCTTCTTCGGAGGCGAGTATATGCTACCGTCTGTGGCGTCACTCTTCTGACGTAGAGGCACCATGACTCGCAGGGCACAGTCAGGACTGGGCTTCGCCGAAGGATCAGCGTGCCTGGTATGCGAATGTGTCCGGGGCTATTATCAAACCTCAACCGGGAGCAGCGAGCCCGCACGACGAACTGTGATGCATCTATGCACCTGGGTGAGTCTCTTTCGAGCATTGCATAGTCTACGAATTAATTCAAGAGCATGTGCATAAAGCGAATTACATCTACGTAGTTGTCCTCAGTGCTTGCTCACTGTTGTGCTGATTTCAATGATACCAACCTCATGCTCCATAAAATCGGAAACTTACTACCGTATTCTGTAGTCGATCACTCCCGCCTCGTCCTCCGGTGTGCTTATACGAGACGCAGGACAGACATGGATCGAGGTGGAGTCGCGGCCAAGCCAGACTTGAAGATGCGAACAAAGTGGTTGAAAGCTCTGCCGCGTCGAAGCTGCCCATTGCGGACGCGAACCCCGATTCAAGGAGTGACACGCTATGTCGGCGTATTGATAAGCACATACACCATCACGACGTGGGAGGGAGAAGCGCAAACACGCTTCCTCGCATATAGCAGACCGTTAGTAAACAGCATATATTCCGAGATGTGCCCCGATACCGGGTTTCGCGCGCGTACATATGGATAGCGGGTGCGGATGCATTCTGTTCAGCAGAGCAGTGTGGGCACCTCTTCAACGACAAAAAAGCAACGCACCTTCTTCAAATGCCGAGCATCAATTCTTCACTACCTCTGGTACTCGTAATCGGCGCTACCGGGTCGACCGGCCGTAGCATCGTGAAGGGTCTTGTCGACTCGGGCAATTTCGTACGTCGTTCAGTTCACTCTTCGCTGCTTCGGGTGCATTATTGACGCCAATGCCGCCCACTCAGCGCGTCGCCGCCCTGGTGCGCGCCGCCTCGCAGTCCAAGCCCGTCGTGCAGGAGTTCTGCGCGTCCGGTGTCGAGATCCGCCTCGGGGGCACCGCCGACGGTGAGGCGCAGTTGAGAGACACCCTCGCTGGGGTGACCATCGTCGTCAGCGCCATCGCCGCGTGGGTCCTTGGAGACCAGAAGGAGCTCTTCCGCGTTGCGAAGGAGGTCGGCGTCCAGCGCGTCGTGCCCTGCGACTTCGGCACCCCCGGGAAGCATGGCGTCCGCGCGCTCCACGACGAGGTGCGTGCTCTCTCCGCACGGAGGCGAGAGGCGTCACGGTTTGTGTTCTGACATTGAGCGGACAGAAACTGGCCATTCACGACTTCATCGAGGAATTGGGCATCGGGCATACCTACATCGACGTCGGGTGGTGGATGCAGATCGCCCTCCCGCTGCCAACGCGCAGCAAGGTGCCCGACCCCTGGAAGGTCGCGTCGTGGACGCTGCACGGCACGGGCGACATGAAGATGCTCCTGACGGACCTGCGGCGCATCGGCGCCTTCGTCGCGCGCATCGTCGCGGACCCGCGCACGCTCGGTCGGTCGGTGATCGCGTGGGAGGTGGAACTGACGGAGCTCGAGATACATGAGATTGGGGAGCGCGCGTCGGGGGAGGCGGACGTGTTGAAGGCGAAGAGGGCCCATGTGAGTACTCTGTTCTTCACGACTGGCAGAGCGTTACGTTGATGTGGGCGGCAGGCGTCCACTGAAGAGATCGTGTTGGCAGCTAAGGCCGAGACGGATGCGGCTGAGGACCCGGTCATTGCGCTGATGAAGCGGTCGTACAGCCAGTACGTATACAGCATGCAGATCCTCGGCGAGAACTCGCTCGAGTACGCGACGAAGACGCTGGGGTATCTCGATGCACGTGCGTTGTATCCCGATTTGCCCCAGTACACGCTCGAGGAGTTTGCGAAGGAGTTCTATAGTTTGGAGGAGCCTGGACAGGAGTACATTCGGTACGACTGAGAGCTGGCTATGGGTCGGGATTCGATTCGTAGCTTCATGATTTCGCCGCGGGGCTCACGTTGCAGAATGAGATACATGTATACACGCGCTGGGATGCAGTGGTTACGGCTTCATACACGACCTCGGGCTGGTATATTGTGGAGTGGCGGTGTTCACGCTAGCACGTTGGCGTGATTGCTGTGACTGTGTTGTGGCTCGTGTGGGCTGTGTGGGTCGCTGAAAAGGGGCGATGTTGCGATCGGAGACGATCATCGGCACGTCTAGCTAGAAGCTCGATATTGTTATGGGTGCAACAACGTGGACCGCGCGCAGGATGTGTCGGAGATTGCAATCCGTCGTACGGATAGACATGACTATTGTCCTCCCGGCAGGCCAGCGTTGGAGCTACATCTCCGGATAGCGAGGGAGGATGCTAAGACTGAAGGCCCATATGACTCTGCGAAATGAATGGGGTGCGAGGAAAGGCCGCTTCGAAGACGTCGCGGAAATACCCGACCGACAAGCCCGAGGGCGACATTCGCGAAGGAGGTGCCCCGTCGACGCGGAGTCCGGCGCGGCGTGCTGCCGGTACCGATACCGCAGTAGGACGACGCTTGTGATTGCGAGTGAGGTACGTGCCTCAGAATATATGTGGCCTAAGTAGGTGGTGGACGAATGTGCCGGGTGCTATCTGCTTCTGCGCGCGGTAGTCTGTTGAGCGTGTGCGAATCGAAGGTGTTGCGGAAGGTAATGTCAGGGCACCTAGCGTTTTATGTGGTTAGCACGCCCGGGTAGTTCTGTCTTTCGATATCTCTTACGCCTGCACACGAGCATAGCGTTTATCGACAGGCCCATCTGCAGTAGATAGGCATGAAGTGCTCTCGAAGAACCGGTAGCGTAGGCAATACATATCACGGGGCAGAGTGCATGCCGAGGGCCTGGTTCCGACCACTGTCTGAAGCCATGCGAGAGAAGCACTAGTTTGGCTCACCTGCATATGCCCCCCGCAGAGAAGACTGGAGAGTGTTCGATTTTAAGACAGGCTTCCGGACGGGATTTGACTGATACCCACGCGGGCCAGCGCACCAGTTGGGGGATCTGCACGGCGGCTGCACGGTCTCTGCCTGTTGCGGACGAACAGCGACGGAAATATACGCGCCATCCCTCTCCAGCGGCGTCGACCGCATGTTCCTGTCATGGCCACTCAGCAAGACTCAAATGACCGTCGAACTGCATAGGCGTTGTATGTGAACCGATGAGATGACCTGCGCGCGTGCTCATTCTGCATCGCATGAAGGTACCGGCATATGATGGGATCACATGGGGCATACCGTCAATGCCGCTGCGCTGCTTCGCCTGCTGGTCTTCTGTTCACAGGCGAATGGCGGAGGAGAGGTGCATGGAAAAGGCACCGGAGGCAGCCAATCCTTCTCCGCTGTATTTGGCCGCGTGGCCGACGGGTAACGCATCACCGATACGGCGATAGGCGTCGTTGCCCTCAGCCGTCAGGGCCCCACGGTAACCTTCACGCACGGACCGACGTTCACGTACATAAACCCTCTGCCTGCCCCGCCGCCCGAGGATGTACCTCGTCGACCCCTCCAGCCTCGCCCCGAACATCTGGAGCATGATGCGGTCCGCCTTGCAGCTCATCCAGCATGGCCTCCTCTGCTTGACGGCGTTTCTTGCCTCGACAAGCACCTTCTCCAATGGCGCAGCGGGCATACAAGCGGCCTCCGCCCAGTACCTCTTGGGGCTCGGTGAGTGTTGGATCAGGGTTGGGCGTCCCGCGAAAGGCGACTGATGTCGAAAACGCGTCCAACAGGCATAGGAGACATTACGGGGTGAGCAGAGTGTCGCGTGAGGTGGGAGTATGCACTGAACAAAGAGAATACAGCCCAGTGGTGGAGACGAACATGATGGTAAGGAGCAAGATTTTGCCTCAGGCGATACCGCGAGCCTCGACCCCCCATTCGAATTAGCGCCCGAGCGGGAATTTCCCGAATCGGCGAGGCGGCGACCGCATTTGGTGCCGTCGGCCGTCGTCTCCTTCGTTCAACTCGCCGCAGCAATGAACACTACTCACCTGAATCGGCATGCCAGGGATACGCAAGTCTCTCGCAGGTGGACACGGGTCTGCATATGCGGCAGCGTAGCCGCGCATTCATCGTCGCCGATGCGTCCAACTCATCCAACCGCTTCGTTTTCATCAACGCAGGCAAGCGCTCTCCTAGTGCTCTAGTGGCCATCTCTCACGTATATGTGTAGACATCGCGATGGGTGACACGGGCGTTCGCCGCTCCATCGTCGCTGCCCTCTCTGCGCAGTACCCAGGGTTGTACACGAACGACAACATCGCCCTCAGTTCGACGCACCAGCACAGTGGTGTCGGCGGATACCTCGAGGACCTCCTTCCCCAGATCACCGCACTCGGATACGTAAAGGCGGCCGCGGACGCTATCGTTGCTGGAACCGTGCTCGCCGTTCAGCGCGCTCACAACAGCCTCGCCCCTGGCAAACTCAGCCTGGGGAACACCTCAGTAGTCGATGGGAACAGGAACCGCTCGCCGAGCGCGTATCTCGCAAACCCCGCCGCCGAACGTGCGCAGTACGAGTTCGACCAGGACAAGGACCTCACGCTCCTGCGTTTCGATGACGCGAGCGGGAGCGCGAGGGGCTTCTTGAGCTTCTACGCCGTCCACGGGACTAGCATCTATGAGGTAAATATATGCACAGGAAGCGAGCTCTGCTGCGACTGACGCACGTTGCAGAACAACACTCTGGTCAGCAGCGACAACAAGGGCATGGCTGCGCACTTGTACGAAGGTACGTTCTCGTGGAGTTCGTGTACCGAGCGACTGTCAGTCTTACTAACCTGCCGCGAATAGCGTTGATCGAGCCCAATGCAATGCCCGGCAACAACACGTTCGTTGCAGGATTCGCCCAGTGTGAGCACGCTCCGACTGTATTACCATGCCCATATACTCAATCAATTCTACAGCAAACGTCGGAGACACCAGCCCGAACACGTGGGTACTCTCGCGTTATCTGCCCCGGATTTCGCTATTGACATGCATTTAGCTTGGGCGCATTTTGCGAGAGTCCCGGCGAGGCCTGGGACGGCCTCGCGTGCGACTTTGAGCATTCGACGTGCGGAAACAAGACTGAAGACTGCCATGGCCGGTACGCTTCACAGTCCCTTCAACTTGAACACATTTTGATAACGGCAACTCAGTGGCCCCGGCTTCCGCATCTCCGACTTCGAGTCGAACAAGATCATCGCACAGCACCAGGTCGACGGTGCGCAGACACTCATGGGACAGACGCTCACCCCGGTCTCTGGCCCTGTGAAATGGGTGCACACCTACATGAACATGTACGTTTCCCTCTTCTCCCAGTGCGAAACCAGAATCTGAGTGTCGAACCTCGCTTATGCAGGTCATTCCGCTCGTTCGCTCTCCCGAACGGAACGACAGTGCAGACCTGCCCACCCGCAATGGGCTTCTCGTTCGCTGGCGGTACCACGTAAGCAAGATCTACTTCAACGGATGTATGCGTGTCTGATCGTTCTGTCAGCGACGGCCCGGGAGCGTTCGACTTCATTCAGGGCGATAACTCGTCTACGCCGCAGTGAGTATCTCCGGGACTTCTTAACGCCGCATCTAGCTGACCAACTTTTCAAAGGAACCCGTTCTGGGAGGTCGTCAAAGGTATGCGTCCCACTCTGCTGTTTGAATCCGCCCTAGGTGTCCTCATGCCACCACGACAGGCGCGGTCACGCCTCAGCCCAACCAGCAGCAGATTGACTGCCAATTCCCGAAGCCGATCTTGCTGAACACCGTACGCATCGTCACCAAGCCTATCGAAGAGCATGCAGCTGATTGGAAACATAGGGTTTCGCGCACTTCCCGTACGAGTGGTCACCGAGTACGGTCGACATCCAGATGCTCCGCGTAGGACAGCTCGTCATTCTCGCTATCCCCGGCGAGCTCACGACCATGTCCGGTCGCCGTATCAGGTTTGCGACATCCAGTCCCGGTCCTGCTCCATCATTAACTGACTACTGGCTACCACAGGCAGGCTGTGAGGGCCAAGTTGATTTCGGAGGGCATCGTGGGCGATGACGCGTACGTCGTGATCGCGGGCCCGGCGAACACATACGCGCACTACGTCGCGACCCCAGAGGAGTACACCGTGCAGCGTTACGAGGGCGCGTCGACTATCTTCGGAAAATGTGCGTGTAGCTGCTTCCCTCCATGCTCCAGGCTCGCTCACAAGACCGCCCATGTGCGCATTTAGGGACCCTGGACTCGTACATCGTATGTCTCCTGCCTATCCCTCCTTGTGATATGTGACACTGACGCCACGCAGGACAAGTACAGCAGCCTGGTCTCCTTCTTGTCCCCTAGCGCTACAGGCCAGCCGGCATCCGACCCGGCGCCTCCGGAACAGACTTCGAAGGCTATCTCCCTGCAGGTGCGCAAGTGCTTGTACGCGCACAATCACGTATTTTGCTCATGGCTGTGCCATACATAGACTGGGGTAGTGTTCGACGCAGCCGGCATCGGGCGCAACTTCGGCGACGTGCTGACAGATGTGCGCACGTCGTCGCCGTACACCGCCGGGCAGGCGGTTATCGCGACTTTTGTCGGGTGAGTGGCCTTCCGTGGTCTACCGTAACGGCACCTAAATTGAATTCGTCCCAGTGCCAACCCGAGGGTATGTGTCGAAGCTGAATTGACGGGGCTGAACTAACGTTGCGCTGCTGCTGTTCAGAATAACCTGCGCCTGGAACAGACATTCTTGTCTGTCGACCAGCTTGTGAACGGCCAATGGAAGGCTGTGCGGTCTGACTCGCACCCGTCAACGACGTACCAGTGGACAAGGACGAGCACCGTACGTCAACGAGCTACTGTGAGGTTCTCAAGCTCATCGAACCTCTCACACAGATCATTGGTACGAGCACGGTCAACATCACCTGGTAAGTGTTACGTGCACTCGCTCCCTCCGTACGGTCTTCTCACACTTCCTTTACAGGGTCATCGAGGACAACACGCCCTGTAAGCACACCCGCTTGCATACTTCGCATGTCTGGCTGCGTGCTAACCTGTCCTTCTTTGCAGCCGGCACGTACCGTCTTACCTACTTCGGCGACAGCAAGCCTCTGATCGGGGACATCTCTCCCTTCGTCGGGCATTCTTCCAACTTCACGCTCTCGTGAAGACCTCGCGCTCTTTTCCCTCTTTGGACTTTGTATTCTCGACCACTGTATACCCATCGATGTCACGTCTATGATGTTCAATCCATCCGCTGTGCATCAGTGTATCTCCGTCCATGCTCCTCCAAACCATGGTGTTGCTTCGCTAACACCTCGAACGTCACTACTTGGGCGAATCGGGGTACATCTCGCGCACCTTTTAGCGCACTCGAGTGAGTTCTCGCCGAGGAAGTGCGTGATGTATGTACTGGATATGCGACTGCTTCATGTGCAAGAAGGTTGAGTCTGGCACGACACCTCGACGACGACGTGCCAGGAGCAATCGACGAAACATTCAAATCTCGGTAAAATCTCGCTTTCAGATGTGTGAACACCTGTAGCTTAATGGTGGCTCCAGAGACATACACACATACACAGAGAGGTGCCATACAAAAAGGTGAGATGCATTATATAATTGCGTACACAAGATGCTCAAGCGCTGACGATACCACAAAATGTTCATAACTCAGATCCAGGGTCCCAATCACAATCCGTATTTATAACCTCACCACAAACCTCTACCAAGAAGCCAAACCCTCATCAACCCTTGCGCGTTCAGAGCGGAAGGCGGCCCTTCTCGCCACGGAGCTGGACGACCTCGCTCGGGGCAGCGGAGAGGCGGTCCTGCACAAGCTCAAGCATCAGCAAACGCAAGTACCGCGGCACGATCCGGGGAGTGCGCGCGCATACCTCGGGGCCGTTGAGGCGGACAGCGTGGCGGCGGCGAATCGCCTTGCCCGCGACGAACATGGCGAGCATCATGAAGAGCGCGAGGAACACGCCGAGCGACGCGTCCGCGACCTTGCTGCCCGTTGTCGCGCGCTCGGGGAGCCCGAGCCAGCCCGCACCGGTCGTGGAGCGCGCGCTGCACGCCTGCGCCCACTCGCGGTTGCTGTCGATGACGGAGTTCTGCGCAAACGTTAAGTTTGATTATGGGATCGATAAGAGAAAGAGAATGGAGGGAGGACGAACCTCGAGGCGGTAGATGAACTCAGTGAGGGGAATGTCCTCGTGGTGCTTGAAGACGTGGATCGTGCGGAAGTCCTCGTGCGTGCCGTTGCGGAACTTGAAGCGCAGGAAGTCGCGCGCATCCGGGGGCGGCGCACGGCGGAGCTCGATAGCGAGGGCCGACCCGAAGTCCGCTGTAATACAGACATGCTCGCTCGTTACCATGCACTACAGGAGACAGCACTTGTAAGTACTCACGGATGGCCTTGAGCTCGGGGTGGGAGTCGACCACGCCGGTCTGGTGGAAGAACGAGATGAACGGCTGGTAAGTGCTCTCGATGACCATCAGCTGGAGCGGGTCGCCGTTGAATGCGATGCGCTGGAGAGCCTTCAGGATGGAGCTCATCGCGGTGCGGCTGGCGACTGTCAACGGGCGCGTCCGCGGTCAGAGAGCCACGGTGATAAAGAGGGGATGATGTATGACGAACTGTTCCCGATACCGCCCATCGCCTTGTCAGAGTGGATGGCGTCCTCGCGCATGTTGGCGTACCCGCGCGCCTGTTCGATGAACGTAGGCGGGAGGCGGTGCGCGTAGGTCTTGTTGTGGATGAGCTCCGAGTTGACGAAGTCCCAGATCTGGTGCGGGTTAGATGGTGCTCAGGACGTCGTCCGTGTTTGATAACATACATTGTACTGTAGCGCGTGCAACGTTGAATCCAGTGAGCAGTGGTCGTACCGGAGTGCAAAGATTCTTACCATGTTCTCCATGGAGATCTCCCGTCCATAGACGAAGTCCTTGAGGGAGTTGAAGAAGGGCTGAGCATTCTTAGTCGCCTCCTTGAACTCGGAAGTGCTCTGCACATCCTGGACGTGTTTCTCGAACGCCTAGTCGAGATGGTCAGCATCAGCGATACAGATAAATCACGATAGGACAACGTACGGGGCAGTCGGTCCACGGTTCGAGGGAGCGGTCGTTGGAGGGCTCGACAGTCTCGACGGGGATGTACTGGTACCCGTTCAGCGGTGCCACAATGGTGGTCTCGTTCGCGAGGGTGATCCTGTTTGCCGGGTTGGGCGGGAAGAGACCCTGGAGCAAGGCGGTGGCGGAGTCGAAGACGGACGCGCCCTCACCGCCGACCTTGACACGAACATGGATCTCCTTGAGGTCGACGAGGTCGCTGTGGATCCCACGAATGTGGGATGAAGAGCTCGAGTCAAGGTACAAGTTGCGGAGGTACGTTCCGAGCTGATGCGCCTGGGCCTGCAGGACAAAGGATGGACGTATGAGCACCACATGCGCCACGAGGGGGCAGGCGGGCGTACCTCGCCGAGCGGGGTGCTCTGGGTGTAGCCCGGCTTCTGGGTAATGGGGTGCTGGTAGCACTCAGTGCGGTCGCCGTTGCGGGCGAGGATGACAACGCCTTGGACCTCAGGATGAGACATTTCTGCTAGGGATTGTGAGTAATTGAAACTAAAAGCAGGGTATGTCAAGCTGCTGAGAGGAGGGGACCGCGGTGCTGACGTCCTGGACTGTCTTCCCGACCCTTATATACACCACCGTGCGTGCCCCAGGAGAGGCGTGGGGCATGGGGGGCACGCTCAGACTGCGAGGGGTGGGTTGAAGTTGGACAGGCTCGCGATCGTGAACGTGGAGGTCCAGCAGCGGCGTCGGGCTTCCTAGCGGAGATGACGGCGATTCCTGCTATTCTCCAGCTAGTATATCCGCATATCTGGTTGATGGAAGGCGAGTCGCTCGCTTAAAAAACAAAGCCGTATGTGCGGTGAACAGTCAACACAAACGCTCGTTGAGCGTCCTAGACCTGTTCTCGGATCTAGTGTTCAATATGCGGAGTACTCGTGGTGCCTTGTGACAGCGCGCACCGCTGGCGAGGCAACCTTCTGAGGCACCTTGCGAGCCGTGAAGAGTAATCGCAGGCCTGGCGACCTCGCGTCCACCACGAGCAACGGGGACGGACAACACACGTGATGGTTCTTGCACGCTGCCAAGACATCTGGTGTCGATGGTAAGGATTGAGTGGGTCTCAGATAATTGACGAGAATTTTGTGGCTTTGTGCAACGGAATCTAGAGTGAGCGGAGATGCTATCAGTTACACATCGAGAATTCGAAGACACGGAAAGCTCTCGCGGAAAGCTCCGAAACGTCTCGATCATGATTTCATTGGTGTACAAAGAGAGCCCGAGCACGACGTATACACAAGGCGACCTTGCATAACCTGTAGCAACAACGCGTCAGACACGCGATGAGGGGCAGAGAGAAGACCCAGGCAGATGAACCAGCTTGCCTAATCTACTTCTTCCTTTTACCCTTTGCTCCTCCAGCGCCTTTGCCACTTTGCGCCGCCGCAGAGCCAGGTGTCTCCACGAAACCTTGCGTTGCCCCACCGCCCCCGCCTCTCCGCCGTCTATTGGTGAACGTCGACCACTCACTCTTCTTGAGCCACCGCTCTGGATCGGGAGGGGGAGTGACGCCTGGGACGACGCCCTTCGGCACACGCTTCATGCGCACCTTCTTCGTGCGCTTAGTGACATCTTCCGCCGGAGCGGAAGCGGCCACCACTGTCGCAAGCGCTGAAGCTGGCTGAGGTTGGGGCGGCGGAGCGGTCTGCAGAGTGGTTGACACCGCCGATGGAAGCGCATCTAGAGCTTGTAGGAAGCCGGCGTTGATGAAATCAAGGTGTTTCTGCGCGGCCTCGAGGTTGGTGAGGACGTCGGACTGCTCCTCCGAGTCCTGCGCGTGGAGTGATGTCAGTGCGTGTACCACGACCAAGGACTGTCTACAGATGCTGGGAAGCCCATTTGCCCTGGGAGCTCATGATCTCCGTGCGTAGGCCCCCCAGCAGTCACAGGTTTCAGGTATCTCGCATGCCTAGCGCGTGCCTCCGTTCCTAACACGTTGCGCACTGCCGTTTGTGGGTGCGGCCGAGATGTTATACGAGATGTGAGATTTGGACTCACAGGTTCAGCGGTATCCAGCAAATGATTGTAAAGCTCCACTGCTTTCTGATATGATCCTTGACGATACGCCTACAATTTGTTAGCGGCCTGGGCGTTTTCAAACATTCGTGATCGCACCAGTTGAGCCTCCAGATGCTCCAGTCCTCTGTCATCTTCCTGCTCCGTCTCCTTGAGACCGTCGAGTACGCTCGTGGCCTCATCCTCTCGGTGAAGCCTGTACAGAGAGTATGCCTTCTCAAAGGCATGCTGATCGCCCGCTACACCTGCCTCGCCTCCTATCAAGGCGAATGCAGCAAGATACTGGTCGGTCTGGAGTAGGAGGAAGAGCTTCGTTTGCAGCGCGTCGGGGTCGCGGGCATCGAGGCGGAGGACTGTGAGCCCGAGATGTCAATTCATCCCGCATATAGCCACAGTTATGGATTACGCACTCTTGTCGCATGTCTTGATGGCGTTTGCAAAGTGTCCGCCGTCGATCTGGGCACAGAGTGAGGTGAAGAGTCGCTTCAGCCGGTCCGCGACAGGAAGGGGCTGCTTGGGTGCGGACTTCTGGCGCGAGGCGGCAGCCTTTTGCCCGGGCTTCGCGATGGGTTTCGTGGTCGCCTTCGGTGCCATCCCTGCGAGCTGACGATGTCGCGGTCGTGGTCGTGGATGCGAGAGTGATCGTCGAGTTGCGTAGCGCTGGCGGCTACAGTACGCGAGGAGAGCGCTTCGAGTCCCGCGCGGCGTACGACCTGCTCGCCTCCGCCCATCACCGTCTGGTGATCTGCACACTCCCTGGGATCTCGACGTTGACCATCTGGTGGTTTTGATGAGCTGGGGCTTTTGCAAACGTCAGACGTCGTGAAGAACAGCGCATCAAGCGGCGTCCAGCGGCACTATAAGACCAACAGCCTGGGCGGCCCCGCGCACCCTCGCCAGCCTTCATTCGCGCCCACGCTCGTTTTCGGTCTTTCTCTTCGTTTTTCGTGTGGTGAGTGTTTCTGTACTCATGCGTGTACGAGAACACGTCGGGAACACCGCATACCGCCAGATACTGCAGCCTGGCGATCTTCAATCTCTCCGCGCCATGTCAACGACGGCGACGAGCGCCACCGCCTCAGCTTCCTCCACGGTCTCACCCGCGCAGTCCAAGAGCGCGACCGCCCTCGCGCTAGGCATCTCTCTTGCAGTGGTTGCGATATTGGTCGTTGGCGGGCTCGCGGTGTACTTCGTACGGCGGCGGCACAAGGCGAAGCGGGATGCGGAGAAGGCGGACGAGATCTCCGCGCACAGACGGACGTACATGGTGTCAGTCGACCCGAACCACCTCGCTGCTCGCGTCACGCCATTTGGGGTGGACGCGCCAGAGCTGGAGGTCCCTAAATTTGGTGCGTGTAGGATGCTCGTGTGACGTGCCGTCCAGGACTCACGGCGTTGCAGTTCATCAACCAGGGCAGAACATGCGCGTCGCGTACCGGCGCTCAGATGGCGGGTGGGAGTTTACAGCTGAACCCACCCCTAGCCAGTCACTCGACCTTACGCGGGATCTCACGATGTACTCCCGGACAAACACCAAGGAGAAGAAGTTGAGGCCCGGAGAGCTCACTACCCGCGGGTACGTCGAGCCCGATGTGGAGGGTAACCCGCCTCCAGCATATTACCACGACGGGAGCCTGTTCAGCGACAGCACTGGCCACTAGTCCTTCCATCGAGGTTTGCCACTCGGCCTCTGCCAACCTCCACACGCTATCCCCCTTCATGTGCACCGGTCTATGACCGACACGTCCGTTCCATGTCCCCCGCTCTTGCGGTCACCCATGCTCTGTATGCGTATTTATCCTTCGAGTTAACCCTTCTCATCGCGGATGCCGGATGCCGGCTTTACTGTACCAGACTACCCTCTCTCCTCCCATTCCATTCCTTTGGCATGTCCTCCCGCGCAGTGCGTCGACGCTCGTACTGGGACCGGCAGGTCGTATTTATTCTATCCCATCCGCGACGCGCAGTTGCGCTAATTCTTCTCTACCCCGGATTCCATCGGCTGGTCTCTCTCTGCCTGGAAGCACTCCTTGCGTCGTGTTTGTTACCAATACGTACGCGGTTCATATCACCTTTACGGTTGATGCTATGCTATCGTGCTCTGTTCAGCTTTCTATGCGTGCGAACGGTGTGATGCAGCCCACATAGTAAAAACGGATACACTGGCATATTTCGAGTAGTTTGACCCTCGCTTGGAGAGGTACGAATAAACTCAAGAAAAATTCAACCTTTCTAGCCAGTGTGAAGCATACGCCGGCCGCGCGACAGGCATCCACTAGACTGCCAACATATGTGGGATCTCGTTCATCGGTGCCGATGTGGATTGTGAGGTGTGAGACCGACGGGCAGATGGGTGGTAGTACTGTGTTACGCGCCTAACGGCAGTGTAAGGGAAGGCCTGGTGATGGTGCAGCTCTAGTTCCATCAACGTGCAGGGCAGGCCGCTAGAGATCGCATCGGCTTAGGCGTCTTCTGCAGCGCATTTACTCGAGTGTGGGATGGAGGGAGAGGACTTTGACCTAGGTGCGTTGAAACAGCAAAAATAAAAATAAAAGCAAGATTATAGCAGAGGCGCGAACAGTGGCCCAGGACTCTCCAGGACTTCGTTGATCACGGCGCTAAAGTTCCAATCTTGTTTCGATAGGCGTTTGGTAGAAATCCAAATCGGGAGATACATAGGCGCTGAGAGGCTCAATTTAGCGCGCAATCGTCCAAGAATTTTGGAGACGCCCGGTGCTGCTCGGCCTCCTCGACATCCTCTTCCTCGACAGTCTCTACGGCTGCCTCTCGAAATGGATTCGCATCCTGACGAGCGTCCTGCGAAGCGCTTTAAGGTATACTACTCAGCTCACATTAATTCGTACACTCTAACTCGGCCTTGCAGCACCAATCGTACAAGGCTTCTTTAAAGGAGGTCCATCTCCCCTCCGCACTCACGCAAACAAAATTCGACCACGACCTCGCGGTAGGTTTCCATGTCAATTGGGATCAACTTATGATGCTTACTTAGTCTTCAGGACAATGATTCTCACTTCCACGAAGCTCTCTTGCACTGGCAAGAACTCAACCTTGCGCCGGCGTTCCTCGAATTCGCCCGACATGCCGACCCTCTCTCGGCGTCGATGCCTCTGTTGCTGCACAATTGGAGAGAGATCGTAGAGCTATGGCTGGGAGCGTTGGAGAAAAGTAACGATGAAGGGTTGAAGGCGATACTCGAGTGCGTACTCTTTCTCCATTTCTACTACATTCACGTACGAACCGGGTGCGTAGCCTGTTCCAAAAGCTTGCGCATGACCTACGGGCAACGCTCGCCCCCGAATATCCTCGTGTTCTTAGGCGGCTCCTCAAGCTACTACCGCGCTCGCTCTCGGCTGAGGCTTTGACGGCTCTCTTAGCGACCTTTTCGGCCCTCTTCAAATACGTCCTTGTACCTTCGGTGGATTCTCAGCTTTTGGAACAAGCTTGGGCTGCATTCCACGAGGTCTTGCCGAAGTGCCATCCTGAGGTACAACGTGCAACTGCGGAAGTCTGGGGTGCTACTCTTCGTCGGCTGAAGGTCTCTCTGAGAGAGGACTGCGTCCGCATCCTGGCCGCAAGCTCCGGGGATGGACTGGGCGATGCATGCGCATGGATTTTCGTGACCGCTTGCAAGGTACGTCGTGCATATACGCATATGGTTACACGGTCAGCCATTAATGCATGCTGTAGTCGGTCTCTCAAACCTTGCACACAGCGACGGCTAGTCTCATCGCTCCCCTCATCCGATTTCACTTGACTAGTGACGCTCCGGAAACCTCATTCACCCTCGTACGACGTGTCCTGACTGCGCTCATCCATCATTGCAAGGGTCCAGAGCAGTTCTCTCCCATCTCCGACGCTATAGTTGCTCAGTATCTGGATATCGTCAAGGGCGACGACGAGGAACAGATCTCCCGGGTTGTGAATGTCGTCAGCGTAGTCTGCTCTGTCCGACAAGGCTCGCGGATGACTCGTGAGTATTTCGCCTTTACGCCCACCAAATATACTGAATGCGAACGTTGTAGATAAGCAACTCTCAGCTCTGCTAGCGGAATATCTTTCTCTGCCGATGACGGACTCAATGCATGCCTCACTAGTCAGGTTCGCGATCAGTGCGTTGACAGCGGGTGAGATGGCGTTATGGATGGCACACGGACGTAAGGTCCTCGAGCGGTCCTGGGAGCGCCCCGTTCTCGGCATGGAGCTCACCGGCGCACTCTCTGATCTCTCCTGGGGTGGATGGAAGATGCTCGCTGCCTCACACGTCTCCGGCGACACGCACAAGCTGCTGGAGACGCATCCTGCGGAGACGCTTGAGCTCCTCGCTGCTCTTCACAAGCAGAGGCGGCTGAACGACATGGACATCGTATGGAAACAGCGGTTCCAGGCATGGGTCGAGGCGACATTTGCGTCGTGGGAGCACACGAACCGGAATGTATGTACCAATAATGATTCACTCTATTCGCCGCATCCTTATTCAATCCCGGCAGGTGCGAATGCTGGAGCACGTCCTCGAGTTGTCCAGCTTGCTTCCCTCGGCCTCAAAATTCCTGGTGCATATAGTCGACCAGACGCTCAACAGCCAGGATCCACGGGCTGAGTACGAGAGCACGTACGCGAACTCAGCGTGGGTAATCGGTGCTTGTACACAAGTTCTTTCCGAACGACCCGTTACAGAGTGGGCGGATGCAGTGGAGATCACCGCTTGGACGAGCAAGATTGTGCAAAAGTGGGGGTGGTCGAGTAGGGCGCTTGAAGGTTTGGCTCCGCTTGTACGCTCGAGGTGAGTATATGCGTGATTTTACATGAGCAACAACAGCTGATGGTCCTTTTTAGTCATCCCAAATCCTCGGACTTAGTCTTTGGAGGTCTTTACTCCGGGCTCAAAACGTCGCTTCTGTCCCACTCACGATCGCTACGCCTTCAGACGCTCCGCCTACTGACGTCCCCTCTCGTTCAGGCTGCTGAAGGGGCGGCTGAAGTTCTATCGAGGGCTCTACAGGCAGAGGAAGTCTCCATAGACGTTCAGGGAGCTCGTGAGCGTGTCCTTCGCATCAATCGTCTGCCTATTGTAGTCAAGGACGGGGACGAGCTGGGTGCCGAGATCTGCGTGCTCTGGCTGATCGGTAAGCTCAACTCTATCAATACTAGCTCGACAGTTACTCACCTGAAAATAGCGCAACTCACGGTAAATCTCAGACCGCTCTGGTCCGCTGCCGCCAGTGCGCTGTCTATGCTAGCTGGCCGATTCGGCGATCTTGTCTGGGACCTCCTTTTCCGGGAACTACAGGCTGCGTCTGCGGCAACGAAGGACGCCGCTTTAGCTCCTGCGTGGGTACAAGAGGGTTCTGAGGAGGCAGGCGACGACGTCTGGGAGGACGAGCGGACATGGCGGGATCCGAGCGCACACAACATGCGCACGGTTTTGGCACGATGGTTGGATCACACATCGGCAGAGCATGCTATCATCCAGGTTTGTTTCTACAGTAACCGGTTGTGATCTGTACGTTGACTCTTCGTGCAGAGTCAAATCACTGGAGATCGCTTCGATGCAACTACGTACGAGACGCAGCTGCTCAACGTACTCGAAGAGTGCTCGTCGCTCGCAGAGAGGCACAACCGCGACCTCATCCCTTACTTCCTCACTCTTGCTGGCCCCGATGCGTCCTCGAGAATACAACGGTACAAGCTCACTGCCTGGCTCAAGCTCTTCGTGAAGTTCACCAACCCGAACGCACTGCGCTCAACAGACACGATGCGTACGCTCTATGTGTCCCTCCTCTCGCACCCAGACCGCACATTACAACGCCTCGCCCTTTCATGCACCCTCACGTACAAGCCGCCCGCGCTCGTCTCGCACGAGGAGTCTCTCCGGATGCTCTTGGACGAGACCAAGTGGCGGGACGAGCTGACGCAGCTCAACTTCTCGCAGTTCACGGCGGACGAACGCGAAGAGCTCGTGGACGTCATCATCCGCCTACTCTACGGCATGATGCTCGAGAAGAAGGGGCGCACTCGTGGCGCTGATCGCCGAGCAGCAATTCTTTCGACGCTGGCGGGCTGCACCGACGAGGAGCTCTACCTGCTCGTGGACCTCATGCTACAGCCGATCAGGAAGGAGCGACCGACGCGGGTCGGCAGTTACGCCATCTCGCCGCTGCCGGAGGACGTTTCTGAGAAGCAGCAGGCCGGGTTCTTGACTCTCCTCGGGGACCTACTCAAGCATCTCGGGTCTCGTATCGTGGCACGTTGGCCCTTACTGTTGGAAACGCTCCTCGATCTCGTCGGCAATGCCCAGGCGTCGCTCGAAATGCAGACGGACAGCCATGTGGAGGAGGTCATCGCAGACGACGTCGAGCCCGAGGACGAAGAGCAGACAGAGGAGGCGAGCGGCCCGTCGAGGACTCTCCGGAGCGTTCGTCAGCTCGGCTTGAAGCGCGTCGCAGATTTCTTCCGCTGCCCGGTGACATATGACTTCTCTCGATATATGCCGGAAGCCTTCCGCGCGTGTATATCCCCTCGGCTGTCTTCGTTGGATCTAGAGAACACACAGTCGCCTTCCGCTCTCCTCGACCTGTTCCACGCATGGACACAACGCAGCGAATATGCGGTATACCTCGTGCGATACGACGACCGCGTACTTCCGAAGGTGTACGACTGCTTGGTGGCCACGAACGTTAAGCCTGCGGTCATCTCCAAAGTCTTCGATATCGTCGAGCAGCTCCAGGCCCTCTCCCTCTCTGATACCGCCATTCTCGAGGCCGTCTTCAAACCCTATGTCTCGCAGCTCCTCACGAACCTGTCTACCTTGGTTGCGCGCTCGAAGGGTAGCACCACTGCGGTCACGGATGTGCTTGGTCGCCGCCAGATCTCCATCCTCTCGGAGCTCGCGCCCTATCTCTCGGACGGGACGCAGGCGCAAATGCTCTTGGAACTGTTCTCCCCCCTGCTACGGAAGCCTCACAAGGTGGTTCCGGAAAAGGTCAAGGTCGACATGACGACGATCTTGTGTAGCTTGTTTCCCCTCATCGAGGAGCTCTCGAACACCGAGAGTCCGATTTTCATGAAGACATACGGTCTTCTGTCGCAACTCTTCCAAACTTTGCGCTCCAGACAGGCTCGACTGGCGCTGGTGAAGGCGTTCCGCAGCCTCGCCGATGCCCAATCTTCTGTCTCATCGCTGGCTGATCTCATGGAGTCGCTCAACGCGTACTCTATCAGACGCTTGGACGAGCCCGACTTCGACCGTCGCCTCGAAGCGTTCACGCAACTCAACGAGAGCCTCTACAAGACGTTCACCTGCAGGGACTGGTTGCCTATCATCTACAACATGCTGAGCTTCATTCAAGATCCCCTCGAGCTGACTATCCGGAGCAGCGCGGCGACTGCGATGAAGCACTTCATCGATTCCGTTGCGGACAAGCAAGGCGAGTACGAAGAGACATTCCTGAAGGTGCTCTACCCGGGCATGAAGAACGGTCTACATTCCAAGACGGAGCTCGTTCGCGCGGAGTTGCTCAGCGTCCTCGCGCATGCGGTCGCGAGGTGTACGAATATCGCCTCCTTGCAGGAGATGCGCGTCTTGCTCGCGGGCGGAGACGAGGAGGCGAACTTCTTCAACAACATTCACCACGTCCAGATCCATCGCCGCACCCGCGCCATCCGCCGACTCGCTGAGTACGCTGACCAAGGACATCTTCGGAGCACGACGCTCGCCGAAGTCTTCATCCCCCTCGTCGCTAATTACATCGTCTCTACGGACTCCCTCGATCACCACCTAGTGAACGAGGCCATCAACGCTACCGGCCAGATGGCGAAGAACCTGAACTGGGGCGCGTACTACGCTCTAGTTCAACGCTATTTGAAACTCGCGAAGCAGAAAGACGCGTCTGAGAAGGTGTTCGTCCGTGCTATCGTGGCGATCCTGGATAGCTTCCATTTCCCGATGGAAGAAGCCGTCAAGGACGATGAAGTTACTGACATGGCGATCGCGGATGAGGAACACGACAGAGCCGAGGCCGAGGCGACGACGGAGATGGCAGTCGAAATCGAAGTGGACGTCGAAGCCGATTCCCGTTTGGCAACACAGGTTGCGACGGACGCCGCAAAGGTTGCTCGCATCCAAGATGCGGTCGACCGTCGCCTGCTTCCAAGTCTCATCTCGTATCTGGAGAAGCGCGACGAGACGGATGACAGTCTGCGGATCCCCGTATCCACAGGTATCATTCAAATCGCGAAGCACCTTCCTCTGGGTCAACGTGACGCGCAGATATCGAAGCTTCTCACCGTCCTCAGCCAGGTCTTGAGGAGCAAGTCCCAAGAGACCAGGGATCTTACGAAAGAAACCTTGTGCCGTATAGCCATCAGCCTTGGACCCGATTACCTCCCACTCATGTTCCGCGAAATGCGGGCTGCTCTGCTTCGCGGCCCTCATCTTCACGTCCTTGCCTACTCTATCCACTCCGTCCTCGTCCACGTCACGTCCGGTGAACGTGCTTCCACCTTCCACACTCTTGACGACTGCGTCAATGACGTCGCATCTGTTTCTGCGGAGGTTATCTTTGGCGAGTCGGGCAGAGATGTCCAGGCAGAGGGCTTCAAGACGACCACACGAGAGGTTCGGTCCTCATCCTCGAAAGGGATGGACTCCTTCGCCATCCTCGCGAAGTTCATCACCCCGCCAAAGATCAGCAGCCTCCTTCTCCCGATACGCAACATCTTGCAAGAAACCGAGACGCTGAAGGTCATGCAGCAGGTCGAGGAGCTATTGCGTCGGGTCGCTGGCGGACTGAACTCGAGCGCTCACCTCATACCGACTGAGCTGCTCGTTCTCTGCCATACCCTCATCAGCCAGAACGCTCGATTCTTGCAAGAGGTACCAAAGGCTCGGCCTCGCGGCAAGGGCAGGAGGCGGGGGACCGACGCGCTTGTTCAGGTTAAGCGTCGCCTTCCGTCGGATGCCGACCATTATGTCAACAACTCGTTCAGGTATGTTGTACTTATCGTAGTTTGGGGCTTCACAACTTACACCTCATCAGATTTGTCGTCTTCGGTCTGGACTTGTTCAATACTGCATACCGGCGGGGCCGCTTCGACTTCAAGGAACCCAAGGTGATTTCTCGCCTTGAGCCCATGGTTCCTGTCATCGGCAACACTCTCTACTCGTCACACATGGAAGTCATCGTCCCAGGGATGAAAGCCGCCGCCGCCATCGTCAAGTGTCCACTGAAGTCGATCGACAAGTCGCTCCCTGTGTTCATCCGTCAAATCATCGACATAGTCAAACAGGCCGGCTCTACCGAGCCAGACACCGTACAGACCGCGTTCAAATCGCTCGCCACTATCCTCCGCGATCATCCGGGCGCGCAGGTGAAGGAGAAGGACCTGGTCTACCTCTTGGAACTCCTCGCGCCCGATTTGGAGGTGCCCGAACGTCAGGCGGCGGTCTTCACCATGCTGCGCGCTATCGTGGCTCGGCGGTTCGTGGTCCCTGAGATCTACGACATCATGGACAAGGTCGCGGAGATCATGGTAACGAGCCAGTCGTCGAATGTGCAGGAGCTCTGCCGTAGCGTTCTCCTTCAGTTCTTGCTCGACTATCCTCAGGGCAAGGGCCGGCTCAAGAACCAGATGACATTCCTCGTCAAGAACTTGTCGTACGTCTACGAGAGTGGTCGCAAGTCGGTGATGGAGCTCCTCAGCGCCATCATCGCGAAGTTCGAGATGAGCCTGGTGCAGGACTACGGCGATCTTCTCTTCGTCGGGCTCGTGATGGTCATCGCCAACGACGAGTCGACGAAGTGCCGGGAGATGGCCGCAGAGCTGATCAAGAGCCTCCTTGCACGTCTAGAGACGACACAACGCAACGTCATCATGTCGCACATCCATTCTTGGGCGGTTCAACACTCGCAGCCCCAACTCACCCGGGTCTCCGCGCAGCTCTACGGGCTCATCGTCGATTTCCTCAAGACGGACGTCAATGCCTATATGCCATCGATCCTGGAGGATATGAACGGCATTCTGCGCCGCTGCGCGCTCTCTTTCGAGTCAGCAACTGTCGTCGACGAGGAGGGCGACGACGAGCCCAATGTCGATGCGTTGGCGTCACAGTGGCAGACGCCCTATCACACCGCTCTCGTATTCTCCAAGCTACTACGCGACAGGCCGGATCTCGCGACACAGGAGGACAAATTCGATTGGCCGTCCGTGGTGACGCTCCTGCTCTTTCCTCACGCCTGGGTCCGGACAGCTGCATGCCGTCTACTTGGGGTTCTCTACTCTGCCGTGACCACGAACGCTCCGCGCGAAGACCTATCTGAGACCTCGCCCTTCTCTCGGATCGGCATGAAGGAGATCGCGGCGAAGTTGTCTTTGCAGCTGAAGAGCGACAACCTCGACGAGGCCCTGAGCCTGCAAGTAGTGAAAAATCTGTTCTATATCGGGAAGAGCTTCGCCGCTATCGCACTTCCACCTCTTCCCACACTCGATGCTGCGGTAGAGGAGGACGACCACGAGTCCGTCGAGGAGCCTTCAGACGATGAACACATAGGCGACGAAGATGGAGAAACTGCGGCCTCGGACGGTCACCCGCTCCCGTGGTTATTCTCGAAGCTGTCTTATCAGACGCGCTCTGCGCTCATCAACCGTCGAAACACGTCCTTTGGAGCAGTAAGCTAACACGCCGTCGCTTGACTCGTATCAGGCCATTAACGTTTGAAATGCAGCCCAACTGGTCGTGCCAACCCGCCGCAGTACTGAAGTGGTTCGCCGCCATGGTGTCCTACATGCAGGCTACGGATGTCGAGCGTTTCCTGATGCACATACTATCGCCAGTCTATCGTATCGTAGACGACGATACTGTCCGGGATCCCCAGATGGGTAAGCTGCGTGCACTCTTGCGCTGCAATTTCATGCTAACCTTCATCGTAGATGAGCTCAAGACGTTGGCCATCGAGTTGCAAGACCTTGTACAGAGCAAGGTTGGCACGACGACATTCGCCAATGTGTACAACAGCATCCGACAGAAGGTCCTGACTGTGAGGCGCGACCGGAGGACCGCTCGTGTCATCCAGGTAGGAACTCGCCGTTCTTGGCTTATCTGTAAACTCACGCTGTGTCTTAGCACACGACGGACCCTGCTGCTGCGGCAAACAGGAAGTTCCACCGGAACACCTCCAAGAAGGAAAGTCGGAAGCGGAAGAACGAGCTGTATCTGTGAGTGGATATTCCTTTCGGTGACAGCGTGTCTCTCATGTGTCTATCTTAGACAGGGCAAGGGAAAGACGAAGCGAAGAAGGGCAGACTGATCCATATGTATCTGTTTCATTTAGTTCGTTTATCATCTTATTTGAGCAGTCTAGTTTCCCTGCAACACATCCCATTATCATGGTAGGTAAACACGGCAACGATTTTCGCGTTTCAGGCAACTGCCGTCGCGAGATATAGTCATGCTCTCGTGGGCCGTATGACGGTTGTCCCGCACGTCCAGTCTCGATCGTCGTCGACGAAGCCGGAACCCAGACGCTGCGGTAAGCTACTCGTTCACGTCCACATCCGTTCAGGAGACCGACAAGGCGGTGTACGTGCGAGGGTTTCGTCGCTGCGGTAGAGGTAGTTTATACGAGGTGAGCCCTGCAGCATCGATGCGTCTTGCTATATAAATTGCGTTTACCTAACAACGCCGGCCTCATCCCTCCACACACATCCCCATCCATGTCTCTCATGATTACCGCTACAGCGTCTCCCGACTCTAACTTTTCGTTCAGCACGGTCTCCTCACCTACCGAGAGCTTTGTCTCCCAGGCTGACGGCGGGTTTCCCCCAGAGGGTGAACCTGCCGGTAGGGCTGGGCCTGCAACTCAGGTCACAGCCCGGGACGAAACAGAAGGTGTTGGGCTCTCCGACCCCCAACATGCATCTGCTCGACGGCGAATGCTTGACGTCATCAATGCGCTGCATTTGACGGGGTATGATTGCAACGGTATTCAACATATGGTCCATGGTTGACACTTTCCGTAGCGTACAGGTTGACATCGACCTTCCTGTGATCGCCGTTACGGGCTCCCAGAGTGCTGGCAAGTCCTCGCTCATCGAGTCGATTTCCGGCATAACTCTTCCCCGCGCCAGCGGGACCTGCACTAGGTTCGCACAGGACATCGCTGTGGTACATGGCGGTTACTGACTCAACTTTTTGATAGATCTCCGACCGAGTGTCGTCTCTCTTACTCGAAGGAGCCTTGGAAGTGCGTTGTCGCTCTCCGAATCATTACAGATAAAGACGGCAGGCCGCTCGGCCAACCAGTCAACGTTGAATTCGGGGATCCGATCCATGACAAAACCGAGGTCGAGGATCGTATCAGACGTGCACAGCGTGCTATCTTGAATCCTAGCACGGACTACAGCGTCTTCCTGGATGAAGACACCGAGTCTTACGGTCGCGAAATTTCGTTCTCAATCAATTCCGTGTGCCTTCAGATCAGTGGACCCGATGTGGAGGACTTGTCGTTCTGTGACCTCCCTGGTAAGCTCGCGTTGATTCCCTGCTAGAAGGTGCGATATTGACAAGAACTGGAAGGTTTGATCGCCAGTGTCGGATCGGCCGGAAGTGCCAGCGACATTGAACTCGTGAAGAACCTCGTGTCCGCATACATCGAAAAATCCAGCTGCATCATTCTGCTGACCGTGGCGTGTGAAAGTATGTCACTCCTCCGATATAATCGACGGTCAATGTTGACAACAGCGTTCACTCGTAGCGGATTTCCAAAACCAGGGTGCTCACCAGCTAGCTAGGTTCTTCGACCCTGACGGGTTCCGGACGATAGGTAACCTATATGGTACACACTTACGCGCTTTGTTACTGTATTCACAAACCTCCATACAGGTGTTCTCACGAAGCCTGACCGAATCCCTGCAGGAGAGGAGGATAGCTGGCTGAGGTACATTCGTAACCAGGAGGAGCCGCTGACCCACGGCTGGTTTTCTGTCAAGCAACCGGATTCTCGTGCGCTTGCTGCTGGCATCACCTGGGAGGGTGCACGTCAGCAGGAGCGCGAGTTCTTCGGAACGGTGTCTCCTTGGAGCCGTTTGGATCTCGAGCACCAGAATCGTCTGGGCACTGCCAAACTCGTCGAGAGGCTGAGCGACGTACTCTCGGAGAAGATTTCACAGCGGTGCGCAAAGTTTTATGTTGTGGCTGAATATTCGGGTGACGTGTATTCTCAGATTGCCGAGCATTCAGGAGGAACTGCAGGACCTCCTCTCTGCGACCGACGAAAACCTCAACAAGCTCCCGAAACCCCCATCAACCGACGCTCTGTCTGAAGTCCTTCACCTTCTTTCGACATTCTCAAAGGGCTTAGCGCACTTCCTCGAAGGTACCCCGGATCCAGAAGGGCTACTACAATCGATCCGCCCTGCCTGCGACGCATTCCGGCAGGCCGTCCGGGCAACCGAGCCGGACTTCCGCCCGTATGAGCGGCAGGCGGCTGCTCGTAACCCGGACGCGTACAGCTATGTCGTACCCGAGTTCCTGAAGAACGAAGAGGAGAACGTGTACCGGCCGCAAGACGACACGAAAGCGATCTACATCGACGACGTCATGAATCGGGCGCGCCAGTAAGTGCGTAATCATGGACCTACTTCAATGTCCCCTTACCCGTGGCAAAACGTCTAGGGCTATCACGCGAGAGCTGCCTCATCACTACCCGTTCGTCGTGACGCAACAGTACATTGCCGCGTTCATCGCGCAGTGGCAGAAACCTGCGGAGGCGCTTTTCCGCGAAGTCCAGCGGATCCTGATCAGACACGTCAGGGCCTTCATCTCGTCGCATTTTTCGCAGTATCCGTTACTGCAGAGCCGCGTTCAGTAAGCTGCAATCATATCGCTATTTCTGCAATGCGTATGCAGTTCTCAATGGCTCCCCCGTAGCTCCATCGTTGCGGACTTCATCACATCCTCCTCTGACTCCACAATCGACCGTATCCAGTGGTTCCTCGCGGTCGAGAACCGCCCGCGCACGCTCAGCGAGTATTACTACTCGGACTATCGCAACAAGTTTCACGGGCACTATAAAGCATGTCGTCCGAAAGCCGACCAACCCCAGGCGACCTTCGCCAAGAAGCTGGAGACCTACGGAGAGCCTCAGTCGGACATGTACAAATATATGAACAAAGTCCTGAATGGGCTCACGGACATCGGTCTTCCGGGAACGGTGCCCACTGACCTGGCGAAGCTTCTCCCTGCAGACCCGTATGACCCTGCGATCGAGATTATGGCGGGTGTCCGCGCATACTTCCAAGGTATGCACCGTGTGTTTATTGGCTATCTTACACCGTTCTGATCCTTTTCCCACACAGTGGCCTATAAACGGTTCAGCGACAACATCCCTATGGCCGTCGACTACGAGCTGGTCCTCGGGCTCGATCGCCACCAGGCTCTCGAGAGGGCGCTGCGTCGTGGTCTGGGCATTGGGAGCCCGGATGGCCACGCGCGCTGCAGGGAGTATATCCAGGAGCCACGCCAAGTCGCCGAGCGTCGCGAGGAGCTGATAAAGAAGCGCGAGCGTTTGGACACTGCGCGGAAGCAGCTCACGGAGGTCTGGCTCTGAGAAGAACGTTTCGCGAAGATCGCAATCTCTGTACTTATAACTCCGGCTCGCATCGTGCCCCGCGTCTCCTCCGTCCCACATGGATCTGTCTCGCACTATAGTTGTATATCGCACGTCTGTACACGGACCACGTCTTCTGTTTTAATATATGTTTGCTTTCTCTCAGCAATGTGCACGTCGGGGCTACAACGTCGACGATAATTCCGCTCGCATGATTAGTGCAGATCAATTCTTGACCATGCATGCAAAGTTCTCAGGCTATACACTAAGTCTCTTAGCTTCCTGCATCTCCCACGACGCCCCACCCTTGTCCTCCTCTATGGGCACAGCTTCTCGCGCGGTGGCGTGGTTCAACCCGTCTTCAGCGATGAGCTGCCGGCGGTAACGTGTGCTCGTCACCGGCGTCGAGTTCTGGTACAGGAGGTCGATCTGCTCGAGCGAGAGGCCTTTCGTCTCCGGGATGCAGAAGTACGTGAACACGATGCAGCCCGCGCACGTCGAGCCCCAGATGAAGAACACTTTCACGCCTAGCCCTGCGTTGCCCGCGCCTGAGTTGACGAGATACGGTGTCGCGAATGCGAGCGCCCAGTTCCACAGCCTAGTTGTGGACGTAAGCTATGCGTAGTCATGTCGTCAATATGAGAAAAAACGACACGCACCAATTGGACGCCGCCGAGAGGGAGATGCCCTTCGCGCGGACGTTGAGCGGGAAGATCTCGCCCGTGACCACCCACGCGACGGGTCCCCACGTCGCGGCGAACGTGCCGACGTATATGCACACGATGCCGATGAGCGCGCGCTGGCCGGCGATGTTCTCGATGGAGATGGTGACGCCGAGGATCGCGACAAGGAACTCGCACACGCACATGAGCGTGGCGCCCCAGAGCAGGAGCGAGCGCCGCCCGTAGCGCTCGACGCCCCACATGCCGGGGAGCGTCATGCCCGTGTTGACGATGTTGGTCGCGACGTTGATGAGGAATGGGTTTTTGATGCCTGCGCTGGTGAAGAACGTGATGCCGTCTGTGGTTTGGGAGTAAGCGGCGAAGCTGGATAGTGGAGAAGAAAATAAAAGAAAGGACATACAATAGGATATAAAGTTCACGCCTGTGAGTTGCTGCCACGCCTGCAACGCGATCCCGGTGAAGGTGCGGAGAGCGATCTTGTTGGGCGTGGAACGGAAGCAGTCGATATACGAACTCTGGCCCATCCCACGCTCGCTTTCGAGCGCAGCTACGATGTCCGCAATTTCGCCTTGCACTTCTGGATGATCAGGAGGTAGGGATCTGAGGCGGGACATGGACTTCAAGGCAGCCTCATGACGGTCCTTTTTGATCAACCAGCGTGGTGACTGCAAAATGGTGTATTGTGAGCGAGAATAAAAGCGGTTACCGGTTCAGCCAACGAAAGGGCATACCTCTGGTAACCACAGCATGCCGACAAACAGGATGAACGCCCAGACGAGCTGTATCGAGATCGAGATCTGCCACGCAGAGTGGTTCGGGCGGTCCTTCGTCGCATTGTTGATGACCGCCGCGAGCAGCAGGCCGACCGTGATCGCGAACTGGTAGCAGGACACGATCGCACCGCGAATCCACTTGGGCGAGCACTCGGACTGGTACATCGGTATAAGCGTGGAGACGAGGCCCACGCCAAGACCGGCGAAGAAGCGGCCGACGATGAACGTGGCGAGGGTGGACGCGCCAGTCTGGAGGGACACTCCGAGGCAGAACACGACGCAGGCGAGCATGATCCCGATGCGACGCCCGAGGATGTCGGCGGAAGGGGCGCCGCTCAGAGCACCTGCAGAGTGACATTCGCCCTGTCAGCATTGATAGTAGACGAAATGAACCGGGCGCACCGAGAAAGGTTCCCGCCGAGAGGATAGAGACCACGAGAGACTCCCTAGAGGTGGAGACCGAGTAGCCCGTGGGTGAGCTGCTGTCGGGTTCGCCGAACGTCCTGATCCAGTCGCCCATCTGTATAACGCCGGCGATGGTGCCAGTGTCGTATCCGAACAGCATACCGCCAAAGGCGGCGAAGGCGGTCATAATTATCCCAGACATACCGCGTTTAGAGGATCCTCCGACCGCGCCGTCGCTGTATATGCTGGGGCTGCTCGCCATTGAGAGGGAAGACGGGTTGGTTACGAGGTAAGGGGTGTGAGATACAGACGTCCGAGGACCGCATAGGCACCAGCGGTAGTGGTATGAGCTTTAAATACTGACTGTGGAGAGGGAAGCACACCAAATGCCCCAGGGGGTCGAGACGCCAGACGAATCAAGGTGGTCATGGGATGGAGCTTCTGAGCCAAGACGCCGACGTAGCTGCAGAACTCAGAAAATAGCTTCTCCAAGTAGTTGAAAGGGCCGCCGGACGATTCAGTAGGAAAGCGCGTGATAGGGCTCTACTAGACGTGAGAAGACGAAGCAAAGTTTGAGCTCCGTAGCCTAGGCTCTCGGGGGAGATATCAGGACGACTGTGCCAGGGGCTGACTCCGCGTTGATGGCCTATACTGTTGTAGCGCCATGAAATGTAGTATATTTTGAAGGGTTGAAGAGGCATTTCGGACCTAGGAGAAGTCTTCAGTTACGTCGCTCGAGAAGATAGTTTCTCTGCCGTCTTACCGAGAATTTAGCAATGAGGCCACGTAATTTCACTCTCAATACCCTTCCCAGGAGGTCAGTCGAACAGCTAAAAGCTTGCTCCTTGCAAATCATAGTGACATGAATATTAAGTCAGCAGACTCGAACAACGGCGACCAGCATGATAGTGGTTGCGGGAGAAGAACGAGAACCCTGTAAGCGCCTGTTGAAGCGCCAGCTCGAGTGATGCCCCCGGATTTGGGTTCCTAGTAGCGTACGTGAACACGGCAGTAATCCTATGAATGCAGATATATGATCAAATTTCGTTCCGCTGCTCGAAGACATGGTCACTTACGATTGCTGACTATCCCAGCCCTACCCATACACACTCCAAGTTCTCACCCATGCCTATCAAAGACCTTCCCCGGATTTTCCCATGTGTAGAACTCCTTCGCAAAGTCCTCGAGGGTGTACCGCGGAACGTCGGGGTAGAGCTCCCGGACATCGAGGTATCCCAGCCGCTTGGCGTTCTCTAGCGTGTTCTCGCCCAGGATGTGCATGCTGTACATGTACATGTTCCAGTGCACCTTCAGCAGAACATCGGGAGTGTCCACCCCACGCGCGAGCTCCGCTTTGCCCTCAGCAACCCATTGAAGGACCTCGTCGGCTTTCACCTGAACCACAAGCACAAGTCAGCCCTGGTCCTTCGCACCCAAATAAACGCATACGCACGTATTGCCTCTGCGCCTTGATACTCTCGCCCTCCCCCGAGTACCGCTCCCCGATCTCATGCGTCTCCAGCTGCGTCGGCTCGTCCTCCCAGATCATGACCGCGTGCCCGAGCGTGCGCGGGTCCGCGACGACGCGCGCAACGTGCGCGCCGATGTGCCGCAGGTCCGTCACGAGCAGCCGGTTCGCGCCGTCCCCGAACACCTGGTACGTCTTCGCCTTCATGTGCGTGGCGCTGCGCGCGGGGAGCGGGAGCGAGATCTGCATCCACCAGCCGACGTCGAGGAACGTGTATGGTACCCCTAGGTCTTGGACGAACTCGCGGATCGCGAGTTTCTGCGAAAGGGCATGTCAGGACTCCCTTGGTTTCATTAGATATGAGTTGACGCACCTTGTCGTGGAGCTCACGCAGCCCCTTCGCGCCCGGCGTCGCCCAGTCGCAAGGCACGACGCGCTTCACGCCGACGTCCTTCGCGGCGCGGAAGATCTCCTTCTGGTCGTCGATGATCCACGCGCTCACCGCGCTTATCAGGATATCTACGCCCGCGAGTGTCTCTCGGAGCGTTGCGGGGGCGTCCGTGATGTCTCCCAGCCGGATCTCGACGCCAGATGCGCGGAGGGTCTCTGTTTGCGGTTTCGAGACCGATGCCGGACGAATGAGGGCAGCGACGCGCTGCGCCGAAGAGGTTGAGCGATCTAGAGCTTCATGAGAATGCAAGACGGATGCTCACAAACTCGCCGGATTTCAGCAGCCCATCGACGACGCTCTGCCCAGTAAACCCGGTTGCGCCGAGGACGAGCACGAGAGGCTTGCTGCTGCCTGCCATACGTCGCAAAGCCGTGGGTGTTTTCCCGAAGAGATATACTCTAGCCCAGGTGGCTGTCCGAGCTTATATATGCTGCGAGTGAGACCCGAAACTTCGTTTTACACAAGCCTGACAGTCCACTGCGTGAGAACATGCTCTGCTATTCAGTGAATATAGTATTATCATACCCATGCATGGCCTTCGAATATCCCGTGTGATCGTGAGCAACGATCTCCCAATCCTTGGCGCGTTTTAGCAAGCCTGTGAGGCAGAAGCATACTGCTATGGTCGTGGTCGTGGTCAAAGAATGAGACGCTCATTCTAGCGCTTGTGGCAGCGCCGGCTCGAAGGTCGAAAGTAAAATCAAGAACTGTTATAAAGTGTTTAGTACAACCACATACAGGATACAATCTCATCAGCCTTCGTCATAAAAGTACTGTGCTAGGTCCGTCACCGATTCCTGCTCTGACAATTGTTTTCAGAAAACTGTCAAGCGGCCGGAAGCACGGTCGTCCCGAGCGACTCGCCGACTTTGACGAGAGTCTCGATTGGTACGGCCGCGTTCTTAATCAGATCGTCGTCGAACCTGCACCACATCAATGTGTGAGTACTACGCCACCGAGCGATGAGGTGAATGAATACGCACCGCATGAGCCCCTTCGGGAAGAGCGCGACGACGGTGCTCCCGCCGTACGCGAAGTAGCCAAGCTCATCGCCGCGATTGACGTTCGCGCCCTTCTGCGCGCCCCCGGTCCACTTGATGCTGCCGACCTGCGCGGAAGCATTAGCGAGATCTTCCCTGTGATACGGTGTACCTTAGACGCGAATGGGACATACGAGCATGGCGCCAATGGCTACGAACGCGACAGGCGTATGCGTGTGCGTGTGCGTCATATACAGCACTGCGCGCTTATTGGCGGTGAACACATCGAACCCAGGCTCATTCACCGCTTGTGGGTTGACTGCGATGCGATGCATGTCAGCGTACCGCGGCGGATATCCTACAGAGCCTAGAGACGTGCACTCACCGGTGTAGTACTCGCCCGCAATCTCCGTAACATCCCCGATTATACCGTCGATCGGACTGTGGAAGCGGTGATAATCCATGGGAGCTAGCCTATGTGCGTGTGAGTGCAGTAGGATATACTTAAGCGGGCACTGGTCGCCCTACCTGAAGACGGCGACGCTCGCGTCCTCGAATGTACGGGCTTGTTCCGAGTCTGCTGCGACTCCGAGTAGGTTGGGGATGGTGAAGTTGCTACCCTTAATCCTAACGGACCAAGGATAGCATAAATGAACATTCATCCATTGATGCGGCATGGAGTAAAGACGTACCAAAACTGTTTCGCAAGATCGACACTGGGGTACACCGTCAGTCGACAATCTGCCGCGCTGCAGAACCCGGAAATATCGGCCGCATTCTGGACGGGGCGGACGTCCGACCTCAACTTCCTGCACGATGTAAGAATGTGAATGGGTGACGCGAACGCAGGCAACACGTACCGGTAAAAGAAGTCGTTAAAGCAGGCATATTTGGTGATGTCTGGTTGCTCCAATTCGTCTACGCTGATGCCATACGTCTCTATAAAGGACGGGATAGACTTGACCGACTCTGGGGAGTCGTATATCTTGCCTTGCTGATAGAACGCAATCAGTGAATACTAGCAGTCAGACAAGTAAATCATACGCACGCGAATGGAGAGATCCTTGAGGACGGTCTCAACAGATTTGTTGTGGAGGAGTTTGACTTGTGTGCCGCCGTAAAATAGCAGGTGCATCCCCAGTCTACATCATGGTTCCTCCGGGATCAGCATATGCAATCGACACAGCTTGTTCAGGACTCACCTCGGGTAGATAGGCATGCTTTCAAATATGCGCTCGCCTGTTGAACGGACGATCACAAAGTTCCCGACATGGTACTGGCTCGCGAGCTGCTCGATTCCCGGAACGAGTTTATTAACCAGTGGGATGTTATGCAACATGTGCATTGGCGCATGGATACCGTGCTTGACGTCACCATGGTCCTCCGAGTGCTCGACCAACTTCTCGAGCGCGGAGGCCGCAATTCCTGGATCTTGAGATGCAGCCGGGAGGTTATCAGGATGAGCGGTCTCTACGGGCTTGGTGTCGGCGACGTGTGCGGGGATGTGCGACATGATGTTGCGATGAGGGGGTTGTGATGGTGGTGGTGGTGGTGGTCGGGGAAAGAGTTGTGTTGGTAGTTCGCCCCATGGCGATGTTAAATATATATTCTGAGGAGCTAACTGTCAGTGGAGGCGGATGGGATATTTTTAGACTGCATGTGCTTCAAGGTACGGCTTTCTATTAATTAGTCTTCAAGAACGGTGACGTAATGAGCTACCTGGCCCTATGCGGCCCGCATCCGCCGAGACGCATCTGAGCTGCAACATACAATGCTGCCTTCTCAGGCCACTTTATTGGGAGTATTGAGAGAGAATCCGTGATATAGAATGGCAAGAGGTGTGCCGACGTCGTGGTACGGAGAGAGGAACGAAGAAGGAATTCGTGCGCTACTGAACGCCTCGGCAAATGCCGATGAATAGGCGCTCACTCGGCTCGCCACCGTAGCCGCTGTTCTGCCAGCTTTGTAAGTACTGGCCACACATGTTACCAAAAGTGACCTAAATTCTGGAAAACAGAAACAAGTAGAATATGTGAGCAAAAGCAGCCAAGTATCCCCGAATCGCACCCTAAATATTATCAGAATCGCTACATCAGGTCGCAATGACTTCAGTCTTCATTAAGTTGCCAGCTGCTAACAAACGACGAGATGATCAGGTGTGTATACAACGCTCATGATACCTGGTACACTGGAAGAAACCAATACATGCATAACGAGAATCTAAGCATACACCTCACCGGGCTCCTCCTTCGCGTAGTAGTCCTTCGCAAATTCTTCCAGCGAGAACTTGGGGATGTCCGGGTACAGCTCGCGCGCGTCGAGGAATCCCAGCCGCTTCGCGTTCTCCAGCGTGTTCTCGCGGAGGATGTGCAGGCTGTACATGTACTGGGCCCAATTGACGCTCATTACCGCTAGGACATTGGCAGGGTCTTTTGCGAGCGTCGCCTTGGCCTCTGCGATCTGCTTCAAGAGATCCTCGGCCGTGATCTGGAGGTAATACGTCATTTAGTGAGTGGACGGAGGTGCGTGACAGAAACACCGGTACTCACGTAGACGCGCTTGGCTTTCAGAACATCAGCTTCGCCCGAGAGGCGCTCTCCAATCTCATGCGCCTCGAGCTGCGTCACCTCATCCTCCCAGATAATGACCGCCTGGTACAGGGTGCGCGGATCGGCGACGATGCGCGCGACGTAGGTCCCGATATGCGCGATGTCCGTAACCAGCATCTTGTCGTCTCCCGGCCCATGGATCTGGTATGTCAGGGGCTTGAGCCTAGAAGCGCTGCGCGTCGGCAGAGGTAGCGTGAGCTGCATCCACCAGCCCACGTCGATGAACGTGTAGGGCACGCCGAGCTCCTTGACGAACTCGCGAATCGCGAGTTTCTAGAGGGAAAGGCGGTTAGAAAAACAATCGCGGACGCATAAACGTGGGGAGCAGCGCACCGTGTCGCCTAGTTCTCTGACGCCCTTCTCGGTCGGGGTGGCAAAATCGCACGGGATGACGCGCTGTACCCCTACTTCCTTCGCGGCGCGGAGGGCGTCCTTCTGGTCCTCGAGCGAGCGGGCATCTACAGCGCTGATGAAGATCGCCACCCCGACAAGGGCCTCCTTGAGCTTCTCGACACCGTTTTTAAGGTCTCCAAGGCGGATCTCGACGCCCGATTCCCGAAGGCTCTCGACTGCGGGCTTCGAGGCGGAGGCGGGGCGAACAAGTGCCGCGACGCGCTAAAGCGGTACGAGTGAGTGTTCGACTCGTAGGATACGTTGGAAGTAAGATGTGAACTCACGAAGTTGCCAGTTGCGAGAAGGCCGGTAACAATGCTCTGGCCAGTGTTTCCAGAGGCACCTACTACAAGAACGAGGGGTTTCGTGGACGCCATGGAGGGTTTGGGGTCGAGGTGAGAGGGTTCGTTTGGGTTTCCGAAAAGTACGGAGTACGATTGTCGTTTATATACGTCTGAGGAAAGTCCGATCTCGGCTTCGCACACCGCGTGGGTGTCCAGAAGACATCATAGTCAGCAGAGGATAGCAAGGATGTGCTGCAGGTCCGGATATCGAGTCGGCTTTGTACGGATAGCGACTCAGTTTGCTCGACGTCGCGGGCTGTTCAAGCGAAGGGTCCGTATCACGCAGCAGGGGATGGCACTCTTCCCGGAGTATGAGTCAGTCTGTAAGGAGTATGAAAGGCCGTTAGTAATATATGAGCAGGGGGAAACACTCAATGTCTAGGAAGGTTTTGGAGGATACGGAGAAACGTAAGTACGAGGAGTTGGATTAGACGCCGGCCTTCTGCGTCTTTGGCGAAGTGGCCAGAACGATTGGTGTGCTTATCTCGCCCAGTATCTGCTTCCTAATCAGCTTACAAACGCCTTAGTATCCCAGTAGTCGGACATAAGTAGCAGTACTTACGTTAGTCAGTGACACTGGCCCTGGGGTCGTTCACTTCAAACATAGCGGCACTATGCTCCCTACTAGTTAGCCCAGCAGGGCGTATGTGGTCGTTCCACATGAGATGAAAGGGTAGGCGTGGTCACTAAATACTAAGCAAGTACTCGACGCGGAATTTTGAGGTAACCGGGTTGGTTTTCCGAACACATGATTGTGCTGCTAGTATATCTATGATCATCACTCAGATACGTCCTTGCTCTAAAGGAACTCACATTCCATGCCTTCAGCCACGCCTTCCGTCTCGATACAGCATACATAAACAAGCGACGCTTCTAGTTTAAGCACGCGATCAGACCCCAAGGAACTCCTTGCCAGGCTCCGGCAACGTGTAGTACTCCTTCGCGAACTCCTCCAGGGTGAGCTTTGGCAGGTCCGGGTACAGCTCCTGCGCGTCCAGGTACCCGAGCGCCTTCGCGTTCGCGAGCGTGTTCTCGCCGAGGACGTGCAAGCTGTACATGTACTCGTTCTGCGACTGCATCGCGTGCGCCAGGTAGCTTGTCGGGTCTTTCGCGACCGCCGCGTCCGCCTGCTCCCCGAACTTCTTGATATCCTCCGCAGTGAGCTATCGCGTGAATTCCCGCTTGTCAGCTCCTCGTCCTCGCGCAAACCGACGAGGACAGCACTCACGTAGGTCCGCTTCGCCTTGAGCACCTCCGCCTCGCCGGAGACGCGCTCGCCGATCTCGTGCGCCTCGAGCTGCGTGAGCTCGTCCTCCCACACGATCACCGCCTGGTTCAGCGTGCGCGGGTCTGCGACGATGCGCGCGACGAACACGCCGATGTGGTGCAGGTTCGTGACAAGCATCTTGAGCCCGCCCGGGCCGTGCAGCGCGTAGGTCACCGCCTTCCACGCGTCTGGCACCGCGCTGCGCGTCGGGAGCGGGAGGGAGAGCTGCATCCACCAGCCGACGTCGATGTACGTGTGCGGCACGCCGAGTTCCTCGATCAGGTCGCGGATCTCTAGTTTCTGCGCGGTATAATTTCAGCGGACTGCTAGGGCTGAGATGAGTCTTAGAGGAGGTGGCATACCGCGTCGAGGAGGTGGCGCACACCGCGCTTTCCGGGAGTACCGAAGTCGCAGGGAACGAAGCGCTTCACGCCGACCTCCTTTGCGGCGCGGATGATGTCCTTCTGCGATTCGATGGCGGACGCGATGACCGCGCTGATAACGATGTCGACGCCGGAGAGGACCTCTGTCAGCTTCGCGACGCCGTCGGTGAGGTCGCCGAGGCGGATCTCAACGCCGGACGCGCGGAGTGCCTCCGTGGTCGGCTTGGACTGCGATGCGGGGCGAACGAGCGCCGCGACGCGCTGCACGATGAAAGAAAGAGTAAGCATCTGGAATCGCTGCGTGCGAGCCACGGGTGAAAGTAACGCACGAAGTTACCAGAGGCGACGAGGCCCTTGACAATGCTCCCGCCAGTATGCCCGGTCGCGCCGACCACAAGCACGAGAGGAAGAGAGGTGTTGCTCGCCATGTTGGAGGATTTGTAGCTGGGGTGTGCTGTAGTTGTAGAGGTGCTGGAGTTGCGTTTCGCTGGCCGGATGTCGGTAGAAAGGCACCCCGCTCCGCTGCATATATGTACGCGCGAAGGCCGATGTCGGGGAACACATCTGCGAGCTCGCTCTTTTACCAATCGTACATGGATGCGAAGGGGTTTCGCTTCGGACCTCTTGTATGTCGCGAGGATTCACGTCAAAAGATTGAAGCGCTCGGGTTATCCCCCGAAGCCGCCCACCCCCGCTCAAACAGCACGCGGTTGCTGACCTAGTATGTCGTAATCCCGTGTTAGATTGTCTCACTTGAAGAGATAGAAGTGTACAACGTTGCTTACTGAGCTGTAACTCAGTGCGGTCGGACTTTGCTTAAGGCCCAAGTTCAACCGCCTACGATTATCGGTGGGGCGGATATTTGGATCCGTGCGTTTTTGGCCCTCGCGAGTCCCCCTTGTGGCAACGGTGGGGAAATCACAGGTCATTTGAGAGCAGTTTGGACAGAATCGATGGGAGTCAATCCCGCGGACCCCGCGCATGTTGTCGAGGTCGAAGTTCCGACCGGCGGAAGTACTTGAGACATGGGTGTTCCACATCTAATCGGGAGTCCCGGTAATACCACGGCAAGTCGGTTATCTCTTCAGAGGCTAGGCACAGACTGGCATAGTGGCACTTGCTGAGCCGAAAGGTGTTGGCGCATCCAGGCCTAGCTCATGAAAGTACGCTGGCATGACGTCCTGCGATCGGGTCAATCGTTGTATTCCGCAAGGTCCTTGAAGATGTTCACAGTAGATGACTGTGATAAAGATACGAAGAAATGTCTTGGAGTCTTGCATGAACTTTACTGGACTTGACTTTCGTAGTAAGCCCCGGATCGCCGTCCACTTTCTTCACGTAGCCACTGATGACCCACACTTATTGGCCCACCCCACAAGCATGACAGTATGTTGAAGCTATCTTGCACCAGAACAGTATATACAATCTCTCTACGCTTTCATTGCGATGTGATTATAAGATTATGATAGAACAGGAAGTCGGCCACGTACTTTGCTGCATTTTGGACCCGCTGGCATCCCATAAGATCGTCTTAGAAGCGATTCTTGGCGCACAAGCCTATTATGTGCAATTTAATCTCTATATGAGGAGCGGATATTCTGGGCTAACCAGCCACCTTTATTGCGAGGTCCAGGCGGTGGATGGGAAGAGAGAAAGGTCGCTTCGGCCTTTTCCGGTTGCTTGGTATAATCCTTATCTCGATTCAGCGTTTACATAGGCGCCCGCATAATCTCCTTGGCCGGCGGTGCTCCCCGTACTTGTTTCCTCCGAACTTGCTCTGCCAGTCGCTTGCTTCATGCTCTCATATCCGGTTCATGCATGTTGAGGTGCGCCATCAAGTTTATAGAGAGGCTCGTATCAGTATACAGTCATTAGTACTCACCGCACGCTTCAGTGACGCTGGAAACCGTTTGAAGAGTCTTCGACTTCTCATAAGTGGAACTCATCTTATTCGCCCTTTTTGTAACCATTTCTGTCTGATTGGTGAACGTAGCCTCTACTTGGGGCTCTTTGTAGATCCTGAGAATGCTGATCACAGACGTGGAGGGACAAATCCATCCTCAGCCCTCCGGTATAGGACAAGCTGAAGTGACTTGGCTTCAAAGACCGGTCGCTTAAAGGATGAACAGGTCCTTCGACTTGGACCTGCTCCGCGTTCAGCTTCATCGGGTCGTATGGGGTCTCGCAATATGACATGTGCCCACGGCAGCCGCGCACGTTTGGAACGCCAAGCAATATCGCAGACCGGTCTCACAAGGATTGCTCAGGACGGGCATACGCCCGTTGCTACATTCTGATCGATTTTCTATAGCGCTGTATGTGCCGCTGAGATACGTCGCCAAGAATGAGCTGTATGAAATATCATTAGTGAGTGCATGCGAAATACACATTCTATAAGAGTGCAGTACTGATCCGGGAACATGCGTTTCCTTGTTTTTCTTATCCACAGATAGTATGCTTAGCGTGTACGGGAGCAGCCCTCACGGGGCGCTATTCCATCGATGCAATAGATTCTATGAATATCGGGATTACTTCGCTTGGCGCCAGGTGGCCGACTACGCCGGGCCACGAGTGACCTCTCAAATACACCACCCCTTCCTCTGGTATGTCTCCACCACACTGATTGTATTCGGGTAGCTGATCCGTTGACAGAAAGTGGCAGTCTCGTGCGACTGCGCCCTTTATATAGATGACCAATGTTCCACGGTGAGACGCTCTCGTACCTCGGAGGTTCTTGCATTGACTCGCAACATAACGCAGCCTGGACCTCAAATATGTATTCCACTCCTTGTATATGTCACAAGCTCACCCTAGTTACCGCCATACCCGCGCCCGACTGCACACTCTCCTCCTTGTGACGGTCTACACACTTTGCTCTTCATACAGATGTCGAAATTGCACGACACCCACTCAGCGACAGCCTACTCAAGGCGCAAGCTGTCTGGTATCGCCATGATGGTTTTCTCAGCTTTCGGCGGTATACTTTTCGGTTACGACACTGGTACCATCTCAGGGATCCTCCGCATGGACGATTGGCTCAGGACGTTCGGCGACCCGGTCTCTGGGACACAAGGACCCGACTTGCGATTTGAACTCCCCACCGCGCTGGAGTCCGTCGTCGTCTCCCTTCTTTTTGCTGGAACAGTTGTCGGCGAGTACCACACTTCATACCGGCACTTTACCCTCCAATTACTGACATAAGCACTCGATGCAGGAGCCGTAGTTGGCGGTCCAGTAGCAGATGCGGTGGGACGTCGCATAGGCATCATGGTCGCATGTGTCATATTTTCCCTCGGCATTGCCCTACAGACCGGGGCGTCCACCCTCCCCATGTTCATCGTTGGTCGCTTTTTCGCTGGATCAGGCGTTGGGCTTGTATCCACCCTCGTGCCCATGTACCAATCGGAGTGCTCACCGAAGTGGATTCGCGGGGCCATCGTCGCCTCTTACCAATGGGCAATCACGATCGGAATCCTAGTTGCATCGGTGGTGGACAACGCCACAAAGGATCGCGCCAACCATTCCGCCTGGCGGCTCCCGATATCACTCCAATTCATCTGGGCGAGCATCTTATTTGTGGGTATGATGACGCTCCCCGAGGTACGAAGCTCCTCCCGCAGCGCATGGCGGCCGGTCATCGTGCGCTGACATAGCATATATAGACTTCGAGGTGGCTCATCAAGACAAACCGTCGACACGCAGCTGCCCAGTCGCTTTCGCGTCTTCTAGGTGTGAACGAGGATCACCCTGATGTGCAAACGGAACTCGACGAGATATCGACGTCCTTGAACGAGGAGAATGCGATGGGCCAGAACACGTACCGGGACTGTTTTCGGTCGTCGCCCAACAAGATCGCCCTTCGGACGCTTACAAGCATTTCCGTGCTGTCTCTACAACAGCTAGCCGGCGTCGTTTTCATCGGATCATGCAAGTCTCGCATATGTCACTATCGCCAACCTACTGCTGACCTACTACCACACAGACGGAACCACATTCTTCGCCAACGCCGGGGTACAGAACCCATTCCTAGTTTCCGTTGTAGTAAACGTCGTGCAAATGGCCATGACGCTCCCCGGGATCTGGGGCGTCGAACGTTTCGGGCGGCGCCCGCTCCTACTCTGGGGCGCCATCACCATGTCCGTCTGCGCGTACCTCATCGCGATCCTCGACGTCGCCACATCGGTGCACAACCTCGCTCCGCAGCGCGCAGTCATCGCGCTCGTGTGCATCTTCTTCGCCGCATACGCGTCGACGTGGGGCCCGGTGGCGTGGGTTCTCCCCAGCGAGATCGTGCCGCTCAACGTGCGCGCCAAGGTCGTGTCGCTTTCGGTTGGCATTCACTGGTACGTTGTCTCGGCGCCCGACATGCCCCCTCTGATTTCTCACTTTTGGCTGCTATGCTCTCAGGCTGTGCACCTGGGCGGTGTCCTTCGCCTCCCCGTACCTGGCTAACTCGGGGCCCGGGGACGCGGGCCTGGGCGCGAAGATCTTCTTCATCTGGGGCTCGACGACCGCTATAGGCGCGCTATTCGCACTATTCTGCGTCCCGGAGACGAAGGGGCTCGCGCTCGAGCAGATCGACGAGCTTTACCAAAACTCGACTCCGCTCACGAGCGCACGCTACGGGCGCACACTCGTCGCACAAGGCAGGGCACGCAATGCAGCGCGAGGGCTCATTGGCTCAGAAGAAGTTGGGGCGGCGGAGCTCGACGAGCAGGAAAAGGATGACCTGGTTAGCGGATCAGTCAGCAGCGTTGTGGCGCCCCTTCGCTGAGAGCAGGGCCCGGGTTCTAGTCCGGTACGTGTCTCAACGTGACGGGCGGAAATATGATCTTCGTTCAGAGCTGGACGCCCGTGTGACCTCCCGTCTGGAAATACAGCTCGCGGCCTCTCATCGGCGCCCGCCATGTTCCCTGGCGCGGGATACTTTCTCAGATTTCCTTCCCGTGTCCGCGGTTCCCGAAGGAAGAGCATAACTCCGCATCCTATCTTTAGGCAGCAAGAAGCCTCCAAACAGCTCATGTGCGCTTCGCGGAACCACTGCTGGAAGTGGCGGGAGCCCTTGTCTATCCGTATGTACTTCCTCGCTCGCCATCTACCATGAAGTATGACGAATTTCACCGGCGGCTTCGCTCGTGCCGCCCGACGGCCGCGGTACGAGAGCCTCGGTTTTATGCACTCTGGGCCTGTGCTACGATGCGCTTGAGCGTCGCATCTGGCACGTCCTCCGAGCAGTGTGCTCTCACCTCACTTCGACTAGCTTGTGATGTCGAAAGAGCCAGTAACTTCTGAGCGACCACTCGCTGGCCTAGCGATGGTCGTCTTCGCATCCCTTGGTGGTACCCTGCAAGGCTACGACACCGGTACTATCAACGGGATTCTTCAAATGCGCGACTGGCTACAGACGTTTGGGGACCCTGTCGCGGGAAGCACACAGGCTCAGTTATCCATCACAACGGCTATGGAGTCTGTTGTGGTCTCAATCCTGTCCGCCGGCACACTACTAGGTTCGTAACTCCGTCCTTTTGAGAGATAATTCTACGCTGCTCACTATACACAACCATAGGAGCCCTGAGCGGTGGACCCACTGCCGACGTCCTCGGGCGCAGAACCGGTATCATGGTTTCATGCATCATCTTCTCCCTTGGCATCGCGCTTCAGACTGGATCGTCCAACCTGCCCACCTTCATCGTCGGACGTTTCTTTGCGGGCGCAGGCGTCGGTCTCGTGTCGACACTCGTTCCCATGTACCAGTCAGAATGTGCGCCGAAGTGGATCCGCGGCGCCGTTGTATCCTGTTACTCCTTGGCGATCACGATCGGCCTGCTGCTTGCGTCTGTGATCAATAACGGGACTAAGGATCGTGCAGACCACTCTGCCTGGCGGATTCCCATCGCTGTACAGTTCATATGGGCGTCGATACTGTTCGTCGGCATGCTTTGGCTACCCGAGGTACTGTGATCTCCTTGTCCGTATAGAAGATCGTACCCTTACCAGTGTTTGCTAGACTCCGCGCTGGCTTGTGAAAGAGAATCGCCAAGCTGCGGCGGCGAAGTCGCTTTCGCGCCTCACGTCGCTGCCCATGGACCACCCCTCCGTGCAAGCAGAGCTCCAGGACATTCGCGTTGTGTTGCAGATCGAGCGCGAGATGGGCGAGAGCACGTACAAGGACTGCTTCCGCTTGAACCAGAACAAGACTGGTCTGCGCACGCTCTCGGGGATCGTCATACTCGCGCTGCAGCAGCTCACCGGCATCAACTTCCTCTTCTACTGTAAGCTTCTGTTCAATAAGCTTCTACTCATCTCTCATTATTTACCGCAGACGGCACGACCTTCTTCGCACATGTCGGCATCCGGAACCCGTTCCTCGTCTCCGTCGCAAACACGATCGTGAACATGGGCATGACGCTCCCCGGAATGTGGGCTACCGACCGGCTGGGCCGCCGCCCACTGCTCCTGTGGGGCGGCGCCGCCATGTCCGTGTGCTCGTTCCTCATCGCGATCCTGGGGGTGACCACTTCTGTGGCGGACATCGAACCGCAGAGGGCGATCATTGCGTTGATGTGCATCTACATCGCTGCGTTCGCATCGACGTGGGGCCCCACGGGGTGGGTCGTCGTCGGGGAGATCTTCCCGCTGAACGTGCGCGCGAAAGCTATGTCGCTCTCGATCGCCTCTCACTGGTGCGTGCTCTATCCTTCCCCGACGTGGCCATATACCGCTCACTATTAATCTACATATATAGGCTCTGGAACTGGGCAATCTCATTCGCAGCGCCGTACCTCGTGAACTCCGGTTCCGGAAATGCCAACCTTGGCGTTAAAGTCTTCTTCATTTGGGGTTCGACGTGCACCCTCGGAGTGCTTTTTGCATACCTCTTCATCCCTGAGACCAAAGGCCTAGCATTGGAGCAGATCGATCTGTTATACCAGCATTCGACTCCTCGCACAAGCGCTAGCTACGGTCGAGGCCTTCTTGTCGAAGGCAGGGCTTTCATGGAGCCGACGGGAGAGACAGAGGGTACGGATGAGAAGCTAGAGGTTGGCTTAGGACTTTCCTCTGTCTAGAGGGGACCTGTCTAGTACACTGAGCTACCCTTGATCAAAGATCCATGGGACACAGTCAAGTTCTGCACATTGCCCGCTCCCGCGTCGCGTTACGTATATATATGAGCGCTAGCGCGCAAGGATTTGCGTGGGCGCTTTCGATTTTCCACTCATACCACGACCACGTTTACGCTCAAAAGCATGATGAGACCCTCAAAACTCGAGGACCGAAGCGAGAAAATGTACGTACGGCTATTATATGCTGCTTTCGAAATCGTGTCTTAGACGTCGTGAAGATAGACGATATTTTCGGCACCTGTCCCTTCGTGTGAATCTGACGCGTCGGCGGTGGCTTCACAGCATACCGGGGAAGCACTGCGAGCCCCCACGGCACACGCATTTATTCTGTTCAGCCAAGCTTTTTTTTCGCACAAAGACGTCGCGTATGGCTCACACCGTGAAGTAGATGACTCAGGCCCAAGGGTGCCGTTTCGTTTCGCCTCCCTCGAGCGTGAGAAGTGAACTCTGTCATGAAGGGTCGAACAGCTTCCCTTCAGGGCGCAGCGATACACGGAACCGTGTCTATGTACGTCTGTTATCTCAGCCCTCTACTTGCGGTCTCCTTTCGTACTGTCACTGTCTACACTGTCTAACGCACCGTCACTTCCTTTGAGATAGGTCGTTACCTCTGCAAACGACTATAGGTGAACCACGATGTTAGACATGGCTCTCTCAAAATCTAGCAGGAGGCATCTCGCAGGGATCGCAATGGCGACATTCGCATCCTTCGGCGGCATTCTTCTCGGTTACGATACCGGGTCGATAAATGGTATCCTGCAAATGCCCGACTGGTTGAAGACATTCGGAGACCCCACTCCAAACGTAGGGACCACTGCGGTACACTTCTCTATCGCGACCCCCACTGAATCACTCGTGGTCTCTATCCTCTCCGCGGGCACATTCCTGGGTCAGTTTGCCACCCTATCGACGGTGTTGACCTTCAGTACTGAGTACCTCATCCACAGGTGCTCTGGGCGGCGCACCCGTCGCCGATATAACTGGGCGCCGAACTGGCATTCTGATCTCATGCGTTGTCTTCTGCCTCGGCGTCGCTCTCCAAACCGGGGCGTCTACTCTGCCCACTTTCATTGCCGGCCGCTTCTTCGCGGGCTTCGGTGTCGGCCTCATATCCACCCTCGTGCCCATGTACCAGTCCGAGTGCTCGCCGAAGTGGATCAGAGGCGCTGTCGTCTCCTGCTGGTCTTTGACAATCACAGTCGGCCTCCTCCTCGCTTCGGTCATCAACAACGCTACGAAGGCTCGCCCGGATCATGGCGCGTGGCGAATTCCCATCGCGATCCAGTTTGTGTGGGCTTTCATCCTATTTGTCGGAATGCTGTGCCTCCCTGAGGTAACGTGGAATATTGCCTTCGTGAACTTAATTTCACAATCTGGCCGCATTTGCAGACACCGCGGTGGCTGATGAAGGAGAACAGGGAATCGGCTGCGTCGAAATCGCTATCCCTCTTGACAGGATCTCCCCCGGATGATGTAACAGTACAGACGGAGCTTAAGGTCATCCGGGAAGCACTGCGAACGGAAGACGAAGCGGGCGAGCGCACGTATCGCGACTGCTTCCGGCTCACTCCCAACCGGATCGCCCTACGCACCTTGACCAGCATCGTGATCCATGCATTGCAACAATTATCGGGCATAACCTTCATCTTCTATTGTAAGGACTCCTTTGTCTCTCTAGCCTTCGCTGTACGCAAGTTCTCATGTGCTCGCGTATGCAGACGGGACCACCTTTTTCGCCAACGCGGGCATCAAAAATCCTTTCCTAGTGAACGTCATCGTCAATATCGTGAACATGTGCATGACACTCCCTGGCATCTGGGGTGCGGACAAGCTTGGCCGCCGCCCACTTCTCATCTGGGGCGCCGTAGTGATGTGTGTTTGCGCCTATCTCGTGGCCATTCTCGGGGCTGCCGTCCCGGTGCAGGATATCGCGTCTCAGCGCGCAGTCATCGCGCTCGTATGCATCTACATCGCCGCATTCGCGGCGACCTGGGGCCCGCTCGCGTGGGTTGTCGGAGGAGAGATCTTCCCGCACAACATCCGTGCGAAGGCGGTATCGCTCTCAGTTGCGTCTCATTGGTGAGCCATTCTACTGCCGCAGACCCCGTTGGAACATGGGCTGAGCATCCGCATACGCCAGGATCTGGAACTGGGCAATCTCGTTCGCTGCGCCATACCTCGTCAACTCCGGCAAGGGCAACGCCCATCTGGGCGAGAAGGTCTTCTTTATCTGGGGCTCCATGTGCGCGGCCTGCGTGCTGTTCGCGTGCTTCTGCATACCCGAGACGAAGGGTCTCTCGCTCGAACAGGTCGACGTCCTCTACCAGCATTGGTCCCCCGGATCGGCCCGTAGGTTCCGCACGGGGACGCTCGAGGGTGGCGCTGGCAGCAGGATGGAGAAAGCAGCTGCCGATGTTGACAAGAAGGATGAAGGGTCATGGGAGTTGGCTGTAGAGACGATCCCAGTCCTCGACGTGTGATAGGTGAGCGCTGTCTTCCGCTTCGTTTGACTACATCACGGCGTTCTGACCGGGATCATGCACCGCGGCGCCCATGCTGCTCAGCTGTCTAGGGACACTGCAATCACCTTCTGTGTAACCTTAATCATTGCCCTGGCGGACCCGCGCGGGTTTTGCGCCCGGTCACACGAAGGCGACGGATATGGAGAGGTATCGTATCCGACGCCGGCATTAGCAGTCTGAACCACCTATCCGAGGAGTGGTGGCGGTTGAATGACTGCCTTCTAACGCCCGGGCTGACAGTAACGGCAGGTCATTCACCGCTTCTGAGTATCATCTCCCTCGAGGAAGGTTTCTGGACGTAGGAAGCTGCATGCTATCCGCAGTCTGCTGCACCCACGGCTGTCGTACGCTCCCGCATTTATAGCTAATGCCCTCCTAAATCCTACCGGGTCCTCTTCAAAGCGTGGACTCGAGAACGTTATTCGTTGATGTTGAGCGCGAGAGCATAATATGGCGCTGCAATTTTTCTCATACCTAAGGCTCGGTGAGGTCGCCCACAGTGACGTTTCATATAATGAATCTGACTTGACCTCTTATAGTGGCTGAGATGCGCAAAGAGATGTGGTCGTCTTTCAATACGCGCCGTCGTCAGATGCGCCAGGCGTCTCAAACGCTTCTATGCCACCTACACGTTTTTCGGATCCATTCACCCTCTGATGCGGTACACCGACCACCTGGTGCCCGACCTTACATTGAGGGTGACAAGCTCGTAGGTAAGGTTTACCCCATGACCTCCTCGTATCACGCAGCTGTTTGCCATTCTGGATGACCCGCACAGCGCAGACTAGCATAAGTTGCTTCAAAGGGTCGGACACGATCTAGCGGTCGCCCCCGCCGCTTCTCGGTCACCTTTGCTGGGACGATACCTCCATACACACCCCTGTTCGTTATTGTCACCCAGTCGACTCGCGCGACAATGGCGATCACTACAGCCTCATCTGGTGGCCTTCTTACAGCGGTTCCAACAAAGGCCGGCATCTCGGGCATCGCGATGACCGCCTTCGCTGCCTTCGGTGGTATGCTCTTTGGCTACGACACTGGCACCATTTCTGGCATTATCCAGATGAACAACTGGATCATGACATTCGGGAAGCCCGACAGCAACTCGTCGACGGGCTACTCTGTCTCGACGTCCAGGGAGTCCCTCGTCGTTTCAATCTTATCTGCGGGCACGTTCTTCGGTAAGTAATCATTATTTATGCGCGGTGACGCCTGAGTCTAAGCTTCCTCCAGGCGCCCTTGCAGGAGCTCCCGCCGCCGACATCTTGGGCCGACGCATCAGCATCATGCTCACCTGCATCGTCTTTTCCCTCGGGGTGTCCCTCCAGGCGGGAGCGCCCGACTTCGCAACATTCGTAGTCGGCCGAGTCTTCGCCGGCATAGGCGTCGGCCTCGTGTCCACCCTCATCCCGATGTACCAGTCCGAGTGCTCTCCCAAGTGGATCCGAGGCGCCCTGGTTTCGTGCTACCAGTGGGCAATATCGATCGGCCTGCTTCTTTCCGCGGTCGTCAACAACGCGACGAAGGATCGTCCCGATCACTCCGCGTGGCAGATCCCGATTTCTGTACAGCTTGTGTGGGCCTTTGTGCTCTTTGTTGGGATGATCTGGCTACCTGAGGTGAGTCTTCTTGCCATCGCATCTCGAAGGTGCGTCTGATCACTCTTCCGTATCCGCAGACACCGCGTTGGCTCGTCAAGCAGGACCGTCGCGAGGATGCTGCGAAGTCCATGTCTCGCCTCAGGTCCTTGCCGGTGAACGATCCAGTCGTTCAAAGCGAACTCGAGGAGATTGCTGCAGCTTTAGAAGAGGAACGCGAGATGGATCAGAGCTCGTACGCCGACTGCTTCCGTTTCACTCGCAACAAGATCGCTCTGCGAACCCTCACTGGCATCGCTCTGCAAGCATGGCAGCAGCTCACTGGAATCAACTTCATCTCCTACTGTATGTGCCATCGTTGTTCTATGTCCTTCGTACATGTAGCTCACTCCAGTCTTTTCAAAGACGGGGTAACATTCTTCACGAGCTCCGGGATCAAGAACCCCTTCCTCGTCTCCGTCATTACGAACGTCGTCGGCACCTCCATGACCGTCTTCGGGATCTGGGCTGTCGACCGCTTCGGCCGCCGTGCGATGCTCCTGTGGGGCGCGGCGGTCATGTGCGTGTGCGAGTTCCTCGTCGCCATCCTGGGCGTGACGATCGCGACCTCGAACGTCTCCGGGCAACGCGCCCTCATCGCGCTCGTCTGCATCTACGTGGGCACGTTCGCGTCGACCTGGGGCCCGGTCGCATGGGTCGTCACCGGCGAGATATTCCCGCTCAACGTCCGCGCGAAGGGAATTTCTCTGTCTGCTGCGTCGAACTGGTAAATACCGTGTGCTCTACTGCGTATCATGCTGCACTTGCTCACTACCGCCGATGGCACGCAGGTTATGGAACTGGGCGCTGGCCTTCGCGACGCCGTACCTCGTCAACTCGGGCGCAGGTAACGCCGGTCTCGGCGTCAAGGTGTTCTTCATCTGGGGCTCAACGTGTGCGGGTTGTATCGTGTTCACGTACTTCTGCATCCCGGAGACGAAGGGCCTCTCGCTCGAGCAGATCGATTTCCTATACCAAAACTCGACACCGGTGACGAGTCCGCGATACCGCAGGCAGCTCATCGCTGAATCTGACGCAGCGGACGATGTGCGGGGCGATATGAGGGTGGCTGAGGATGAGAAGGGCGATGCGTCCTGGCAGATGCGGGAGGTGACAGGCAACGGAGTGTAGGATGGCACTGTAGTAGGAATTATTGAGACCGGTGTAGATGAATGTAGGAGCGAAGTCTCCCACGATACGGATGGGTGTTATCAAATGGGACTATTCTCAAGCAAGCACCAAGGGACAGACATCATGGTAACTCACACACTCTAGAGACAGGTAGTGGCGATGGAAGTCTGCAACTGCAAGAAGATATACTCATATCTACGACATGACCGTCATGTAACCAGAACAATGAAGCGAGACAACCAATCATATGCGCACAAGAGCACTGCGACACCCGAATGCGTGAACAGGTACTACGCACGCGGCCACCTACCAGGCTGGTTCAAGTTGCATCACAGGCGGCACGCCTCCGAACCTCGCTGCCATTTCCCCTTCAAAGCAGCCTGTGGTTGCGCCTGCGGTTTACAACTCCGGCTGGGCGCGAGTGAAGGAAACTCGCCCTCCGCATCGAGCTTAGGCTTGGACATGTTCGGCTGTTCAGCGCGCAGGGAAAGAGTCTCCGCCTTCGAGACCAGCTTTGGGGGCTCGGACGCTGTGAGAACGCGGTTTCGCCCAGGCCAACCCACCGGCACGGACGGCAACATGAGCGGGGGGCCTGCCGCTGGTGAAGACTCGGCCGAGTATGGCAGTCGAATAGCCCGGGTTGGCAAACCCGTGGATGGCGGAAGGTTGGGTGCGTCATTTGGAGTTACCCGGCCGCTGCGCAGTGGACCACCAAGTTCTGCACTGCGCGTCGCTGCTGTAGCCTTGGGGGTAAAGTTCGCCTGTACCACTGTCGCCCATGAGGAAGCCCGGGGACGGGGCGCAGAGCCATCATCTCCGGCGCGAGACACAGCGGAAGTCCGAGTCATCGTCCGGCTTGAAGCCGATTGAGAAGGACTTCGATTCGACACGCCCATGACGGCAGGGCGACCGGGTACCCCAGGCAAATTCGCACGGCTATCCGATAGCTCGAGGGCGTTGATCCACACATTCTCGAACCGCCACGCACCGCGATTCCACCGTTGTGCCAGCTCCCCGAGCAGGGTAGTCCGCCCTGGGCCAATGAGGAAGTCCCGCTTGGAGACAAGGACCATGCCGCGCTTGCAACGTGTGAGCATGACGTTCGCGCGATTGCGCGAGCGAAGGAAGCCAGGTGCCGCGGTGCGTACAGCAGAGATTACGACGTATTGGGCTTCATGCCCTGAAGGATGAAGTGATATCAGTGGTTTCCTCGGATGCGGGGGAACGAGAAGACGTACCCTGGAAGCTGTCGACGTTAAACACTTTGTCCCACTGGAGGCCCTCCGCTCTGAGATGCCTTGCGATCTCAGCTCGCTGAGCGTCGTACGGCGTGATGATGCAGAAGTCTTTCGCTTTATAATAGTTCTTGACGATGTTCACAACTGCGCGCGCCTCCTCTGTATTCTGCAAAAACAAGGCTGAGCGCTCCGGCCCTCGCAGCAGACTCAACGAGTGGATATACCTTCCAGCTGGAGCCCACACGCTCCTCTTGCCCTTTCCGCGCGTCAACGAAGAGTACGGCGCTGAAATCCGCGATCGGGTGCACAGACAGCAGCTTCTTGTCGTAGACATATTCGGAGATGAACTCGCCCAGGGGGACCGGCATGCGGTACTGCGTATTCAGGAAGTACGCGGAAGCTTTGAGGTGTTTGAAGTCGTAGATCGTCTTCATTTGCGGCGCAGTCTCCTTCCCGTACGGAGGAACTGACCCGTGAAAAATTATAGTCAGCTCCACGTCGCACGCATCAGGTGAGGGACTCACGTTGTTTCGGGTCACCAAACATGCACACCTTCTCCAGCCTGCGGAACTTATGGAAGAGATGCTACGGTAAAGCACGTCACGCATGAGCGATAATTAAATGCCGGACATGACGCAGTGCTCACCATAAACTCAAATGTATCGATCTGTGACGCCTCGTCCACGATGAGTCGCTCGACAGGGATAACGTCAAAGATCCCGCAGTTGTCGATGGCGGGGTTGGACAACATGGATATCGTGCACAAAATGACGGAAGACGATCCAAGCATGCGCTCGACATCCGCCGCATCTGCGAACAGCTCGTCGGAGCGGACAAAGCGCCCTTCAAGCTTCTTATACAGGTGCTCGTGCCTTCGTGGAGTGTCAGCAAATAAGGCATTGAAATATAGCGAGCAGGTGATCGCACCATTCGACATAGAACTCCTTCGAAACCAGTAGCTTGAAGTCGATAGCGTACTTGAGAAGCGTATCCGCGATGTTCTGCACACCGACGTTCGACTGTGCGATGACCCAAGCTGAGCTCCACTCGCGCTCCCATGAATGCAGGGCAGCTGCGATTGTCGTCGTTTTCCCTGTACCCGGCGGTCCTAAGGAATACATGACAAACGTAAACCTAGATTGATAGTCTATACAACTTACCGTGGACAACGACAAGCGGTTCATGTTGAGCCAGCATCGCGGCGACGACCTGGTTTTGGGACGGGTTGAGTTGGGCAAATTGGGGTCCGAGCGGCGGAATCGAAGACAAGCGTTGACCTCGCGGGGCCTTCTCAGTCGGGAACCATAGCACGCGAATGAACGGCGACTCGACGAGGGATGGCAAGGCACCTTGGAGGAGGTGGAGAACGAACTCGTCGCGAGCAATCTCCGAGCTCGTCAGCTCCTCGCGCCCGACAACGCGGATGCGCTCGATTTGGCCACGGAAGTTGCCTCCAGCAACTTTCACGCCGGTCTGCTTGCCTTCAGCGTGCACGGCATGTCCGACGATATTCTGCCCGTGTGTGGTCTCCATGACGATAGAGGTCTGGATGGAAGATTGTGAGAAGATAGCGGCCAGTACACAGGCCTATGGACGGAGGCCCACCTGCTTGCTCTTTCGGACGCGAGTATTGTACCGGGAATTGCGGATCACGAGCTGTCCGTCCGCGTCGATGTCCACACCGTCGAACTCGTTCTCCATTTCCGTTGGACGTTCACCTTCCAAGAGCTCGACGTTGAGGAGCAGCCGTGACAGACACGCGAGGTGTGAGTCTGGCAAGTTGCGCGTGTCGACCTTCGCTGCACATTGCACCTCCTTGAAGGAGTCCGTGCCTGAACTGTACAGGATATAAAACGTCAACGACACTCGCAAGAATAATCAAAACATGCACGTACACGGCAGAAAGCCATGCGCGGAGGCATACGTCCTCGACCTCATCTCCACACCACACAGCATGGATCCTGCTCTGATTCACGTCCGGGTGTATGCGTCTCGACGCGAAGTCCGCCGCGGTCTGAAACTTTTTGCGCCCGAACGCGAACAACGTTGACAACTCAACGCCCTTCACATGCAGCCCGCATTGTCGGTGTAGGTGCAGGGCTAGACGCGGCATGCCGAATCCGACAAGGACGCAGAGAGAGCCATCGAGAACCCGTGCCAGGTTACTCTTCCCGAGATCCTGTTTGGCGCAAGCGAAGTTGGCGTAGAAGACGTCTGTGGGTGTAGCGAAGGCGACGCCATCCAGTCCGCCGTCGTCCTTAGATAGCCGCACAGATACCCCACAGACCTGCGTAGCGTCGTCCGAGAAGTGCTTGAGGAGGGATCCCCATTGTCTCGCCGCGAGCCGGTGCAAACGGATGCGGCTGTCGTAGAGAAAATGCGGGAGGATGCTCTGGTGTAAAGTGCCGGTCTGCATGAGGGCTGAGATGACGGTGGGTTGGAGGAAGACTGAGGGAGAGCTTACAGTATAGGTGGCGCAAGTGGCAACCGGTGCGGGCGCACATGAGGCAAGATAGTTCAAACCCTTTCATCGCTGACCCTGGCGGCGAGGTTGGTGCATTTTCGCGAGGCTGGCTTCTTTTTCGGTGCGTATGAAGAAGAAAGAAGGGCGGACTGTGCTGCGGTAATGCGACCGGCGCTCCGAGTTGGGGAACCCTAGGAATAGATATGGCGACTGGCATCATAGGTCGTGGCTTGACGATTGACCAGCACGGCGTTTAAGCAGAATAGGAGAAATGGGTGTCATCGTACTATGGTAAAGAAGTTTCTTGCCCAAGCAGTCCGTCCACGCTATCGCGTTTATGATCATGATACGGGTGAACTAACCTCGCGATGTCCATGCGTATTCGTTCGTTTTCGTTGACTAAAATACATCACAGGAAACACGAACGAGAGCTGAAGATGCGCATGCACATATCAATACCGTATCCAGGCAGATAGAGGGCGAACTCACCGCCAGTCTCAGACGCCTTGCGTCACCCCGTCTACAGCGCGAACCGGGACGAGGATCTCTCTGAAGCGTTTCAGCAGCTGATCGCATCTTTTGACTTCGGAGGTGATCCATGCTTCGCCCAGATCGAGCAAGATATCCCGCCGCGTGGCTACCACAAGCTCCAACGTGGGGATGAAGTTAGACGAGAGCACTGTATCCACGAGAACGGCATGCTCCGCAAGAACGACGTCGATGAGCGCCGTGAGGTCGTCTTCAACGGGACCCCAACCACGAACATCGAGCTCCATGCGCAGGGTGTCTTCTAGGCGGAGAAGGGTGTCGCGAACGAAAGGGACCAACACATCTCGATCGAGACCGTGATCGGGTGCCTCAGCACCGTTGTTGTATATTTGAGCCATGCATTGGAGGAGCACGGTCGTCGCTGTGATGTATTTTTCCAGTATATTACTTCTTGGAGCGTCTTCGTCCTCGAGTTCCTCAGGCTGTATGTAGCGACCTGCAGCCGCGACAGCTGACACGTTTAGGCGTGAGTATCGAAGGAGACATAGAGAGTAGTACACGCACCGGAGCGGATTACAGTGCCGTCGGTTGGCGGCTTGACGTGGGGTAACAAGCCCCTAATGGCGAGAAGGACAGTGGAAGGCCGACTAGAGGAGGGAAACATGTCGTGCTCGTTGAACGCGAGAGAAGAAATTGTGGAGAGGATCCACTCGGTGCGTCGGACATCCAGGTCCAGCTCCTCCGTCGTGACGTCGGGACGGTAGAACTTCAGAGAGAAGGGGAGATACGAGTAGATGGCGTCAAGAGTGTCGTACCAGTGTGTATCTCTGAGCTCGGTCTTCACGTCTGCCAGACAGAGCACCGTGTTCGTCCACAGCGTGATCTCCGGGTACACTATCTGGCTGGAAAAGTATGGGCGCCGCTGACTGTAGTGGCTGAGGTGCACTTGGTCTAGCATCCGAAAGCACTGGATGACGTCCTGAGGCTGCAGGTCGGTGAGACATTTCGCCACGGTAGATAGTGTACCGTGGTCCATGCTGGTGTCGTACGCCATTGCGAGTAGGTCGGCGTCAAGAGTGCCCTTCAAGCCGACGTCAGCCAGGTCCCTTTCGCGTCCTCGCCAGGTGCGGAAACTCTCTGGCCCCCTACCGGCGCACTTGCCCGCCATACGATTAACGGTTTGCGACCAGTCCTGAGCTCTTCCAGAGAGATCGCGACACGTCCGCCTGATGAGTTGTCCGAGGGCCCCGAAGAAACGAAAGCGCACATCGTTGACGAAGTACACAACCTGGTGGCGGACAATGTCCAAGGCGTACGTCTGGGGCGAGAGGTAGGCACAGCCGAACCGGGCGAGCGGAAGAAGCATGGTGCCGATCGTGAAAGCTGCCAGCAGAAACACGAGAGTCGATGCAACGGCCGCGACAGAGTTGTGCAAGGTCCATAAGAGGATGAGAAGGCCCGCAAGGAACAAAGAGAGCGCTAGCTGCAGCAGGATTGGGATGGACATGACGATGGCCCCGACGCGCCACTTGATCAGGTTGTTCAGCCGATACTGGCGAAGCCGCGCGGTCTCGCGAGAAGTGCTGGGCGAGATTCCGCCGCAGTACTCGTTCAGCCATTGCTTCACCATGATGCCTACCGAAGCCGAGGAAAGGCTGAGGATGAGGCTCGAGAACCAGAGTGCATTCAGCCAGACGGCGGCCCGAGGAGCGTGGGGCGTAGGCGTGTCCGTCTGTCGGTATGCCGGCTGTGTGGAGTTGACGAACGGAGGATTGTTCGAGAAGCTGCTGAGCTGCGCCGAGATTTGCTGTAATGCTACAAGGACCGGATCAGGTGTCGGGGCCGGCTGCAAAAGCTGGTACGACTGCACGTTGAACGCAGTCAGGATGGCGGAGAACAAACCCGCCTGTTTTCTTTTTGTAAGTCAGGTATAATGCTACAGAGTCAATCACTTACATAAACCAGGTAAGTGTCGATTTCGGCGTTCCAACGCTTGACCATCTCGTCGCTGTAGGTCTTCACTATCTCCGCTGTGTCCGACCATGCCTTTGCCTTCTCGTCGGGAGTGAACAGTGTCTCTCGGCTCTTCAGAACATCCTAGCATGATTTATCAGCATCTGAAAGGTATTTTGAAAAAGGAACGTGCCTTGAGAGTAGGTGGTGTCCAAGGTAACGTCAAAGGCGCGTCTTGGTTCGCAGTCGTCTTGAACGTCGCCGCATCGCCACGTTGTCCTTTCGGCAGTGCTTCCTTTGGTCTGGAAAAGGGTGGCATTTCCATTGCGCTTTCAGCGATACAGATGCTGGACGCTAGGATTGGGAGACGATGAGGGTAATTGCTACGAATTCGACGGTCTCGTCAAATTATCGTGCACTGCCTTTCCGGCCTAGCATCGCATTCCCACGATTTTGGCGCCCACGGGCCTTTCCCTCGTCTCTCCCATTCCTGCCGCCGCAGTCCATGAGTCTTGTCTACTATTCGCCTTTTCAGCAACACCCACGAACGGCCGTATACATTCACTAAATGCCCTCGCGTGCAGTCCCTCGTGTTCTGCTTAATTTAGTCGGTCAAATGGCAACGGCGGGCGCATATACACTTTCTGGTGTGCGCCGCCCGAGAACTTTGCGGGGTGTTGATTTCCCTCATCCCGTGCTAGACGCGATGCCCATTCAAACACAGAAAAGCGCTCCGTTGTCGAAGACTGGACTTGGATCCCGGATACTTCTTCGTGCACGGCGCCGTTCCCCCTCCCATGCCTCCGCCCATCGAAACACTTCCCGCGCTCAAGTACTAGGGGAAGTTGAACTACGTGGAGCATAACCCTATCCCAGGACTACATAGGAGATACATAAGCCTGTGGCTCGGGCGCGGGCGTGGGTTGCAAGTGGGAAGGACGGAAGATCCAGAGTGAGTGTATGTCTACTTCTTGGCGCGGCACTCGATGTGTGCGAGGAACGCTCAATCTCACACTCGCAGGAAGTAAACATAGTACTCCGCTCTGGCTGGTAACGTGCTGCACCTCGCGGATGCAGTCAGTATGTGTGCATGACCAGCGGGATCGGCCGCCCTCGGTTGCCTCCACGTCCAGCGTGTCCGCAAACTTCATTCTCAAGCTCGTTCAGCTAGCTGCGCTTTCTACGCGCGCCCAATCTCTTCTAGCCCGCTGGCTTTCCAGAGAATGCATAGGTGATGCACTACATGAAGGCGACGAAGGGCTTATCTAGGACGCGAACACGTCGAGTGTCTCTATGCGCCCGCTGCCTTCACGGATGGCCGTCGTCTGGCCTCACAGATTTGAGCCCGGAAGTATCATGCGTGCTCTCAGGGCGCATCGCAGGTGTGATCGCTCACAGGGAAGACTAGGCCCACGTCAAGCTGAGGCGCGTGCAGGAGGGCGCGCATAGTATTTAATGCGAGGTGCCTCCGTTGCGGAGCCCCTCAGTACCCCGGCTATTCCGACACACCCCTCGAGTGGGAAGCACATTGTGACACTCATCTCTAGGCTCGTCAAGTGCATCCGCGCGCGGAATAACGCAGCGCGACTTGATAGACTACGCAACGCTCCAGTCGGTATCGCGCCCCCGGGCAACATCTCGTACGCGCGTGCGTTGGCGACGCGTTTCGCCCGCCGCGGCTCTTGTCAAAGCTCAAGATCGAGAACTCCTTGAAAGCTATGGCGTAGACGCAGGACGCAGTCTTGTTGCGGACTTCGTGTATTGACTGCAAGTAGACATAATGTACACGGCAAGAGAGCTTGAGAAGAGCGACGACAGCCTGTTAACCTGGCAGGAGAACTTGTTTATGAGAGATCTCGGAGTTGAATTCGAGGTTGTAAAGAGGATGGGCGTAAATTTACGACGTGTTCGGGATATAGAAGAAAGGGAGGACATGGACGTTCAATCTGGATAGAGTGAAAACCGTGATGGAAGCTTCCGGCGGGCTCTTGGGCGGGTACCGAGTACATAAGGAGAATCCAGTTGCCAAGAGGGCAGCAAACTAAACGCGAAGGAATTTAATACGAAGACGGCGACTTCGTCGCGGATTCTGTTTGCGAGAAGGTCCTACCGACCACTGGATGTGTCAGTACAGGGTTATTGTTCGTTGAATGGCGCATCGGCTCACTGGTCATCTTAACTGTGGCGGCTCAGATGCAGGGCCGGAAAAGTTGCATATCCTGTTTTCATCTTCTCCTCGCAAACGTTACATAGGGGGTCCGGGAGCGGGCGCTACAGCAACGAGGCGTGAGGCTAGTTGAGCAACATCATGCCCGAAGCACTCACCGCCGTCTTCGACGCCGCCATGAAATGAAGATCGCGGCGAGGCGTGCAGCTCGTCGGGCGGAGGCAGCGGCGTAGCCTTATCGACTGGATCCTGAACCTGCGGCAATGATTCGCCGGTCGGACTTGATGTAGGTGGTTCGACTAGAATGGGAGCAGGTGACTCTATCACGACGGAAGTAGGCCGTTCGACCGAAACAGAAGCTGCAGGTGGCTCGGCCGGAGCAGACGTGGATGCGACGTTCCTATAACAGCAGCAGGTAAGTCAGTGATATGGGGCGGGCACATCGAGTGGACGACTCACGGAGACACGTTGGGGCCGGATTGAGCTTTGTTACTTCGGCGTCGGCGGCGACGTGAGGATCCGTGAGCCTCCCTCATCGCTCTGAGTCGGACCAACTTTTCCTCCAGGGTGTCGTCGTCATCGTCGCGGGTACGCACCCTGTAGTCATTCTCGGGTCGACCAAACCGGCGCATCGCATCCTGCAGTGCGATAACCACCCGCTCCAGTGCGGATATACGATCTGGAGGGAATAATACTTGGACTCCAGGGAGAGCAGGCTCATCCGTTACGATGTTCACGAGGGCGGATAGCTGTACAACGGAGTGCCCGAACCAGACATGATCGGATATGGCCATGTCTTCGAAGTTGGCGGCCTCCAGGCGACCCGTTAGACGACGGAGCACGTACTCGATGTAAAACGGAGAAACGGCCTCGACAATGGTGCACTCCAGAATAATGTTGGTTGCAGTGATTTGCATGCAGAATCCCGAAGCAGTTTGAGTTTCCGGGCCTTCCATCATGCCTAATGCGTGCGCGGCCATCGCAACTGATTTACAGACCGAGTTAGACGGAACATTATCTTTTGTAGAGAATGCTCTGCTTACCGTATCGGGTGGTACGCAAACGAACGCGGCTTCGATTACACCTCACGAGTATTGTTTGCATCGCAAGAAGCCCTCCGTATGTAACCCTCGGGTTGGAGGTCAATCCCACATTATGACAGGCTGCTATCGATAGGGCCATCAATGTTCTGTCCACACCCTCGGGTTTGAAGTCTGACGGCAACATTTCCGGAGTGTCGAAGTGCAGGTAGATCCTGTAGTCCGACGCCGCCTGCTGAACTCCCGAAGCAGTGCTGCGGCAGAGCAGAGAATCGGCCCAGAGGTCGTAGATCACGGGGCCAGTTGAGCCCACCACCGCACAAACGTGTTGGGAGGGGGTGACACCGAAGTGGTTCTCGTCTATTTCTTGCAGCCTCTCGATGCAGGTGACGACGTGAATGCTTGGCTCAAGCTCGGACAGGCATACAGCGGCGGTAGCAAGGAGGTCAGGATTCATGGCAGCGTCGTACGCTGCACAGATGATGTCGGCGTCCAACGACTCGCTGTACGCGGACACCAGTGATTGCTCGATTCCACGCCAAGTAGGGGCTTTGGCCGGAGCCCACTTCACGATTGCTTGGGCAATTCGTCGGAGTGGAGTCCGCATCATGTGGTGGCGACGAAAGAGATATCGCACGACAGGATGTAGACTTTGCGCAATAGATGTCTTGACGAAGCTGGGGCCACGACGGAGGAGGCGGTATATAGCAAGACTCTGGGGTGAGAGGTACGCGCAACCGGCTTTGATCGAGGGAAGGAACACGGTGGATAGTGTGAACACGCCCAGCAAACCCGCCAAGACAGTTGAAACGGCCGCAACGGTGGGGTGGAGGGTCCAAAGGAGCACCAGGAGACCGGCGAGAAATAAGGCCACTGCAACCTGCAGAAGAACCGGGATGCTGTTGACGATGTCTCCGACGTGCCACTTGATCAGATTGTTCAGGCGGTATTGACGAAGCCGTGCAGTTTGGCGAGAGGTGCCCGTCTCGGACTCGGAGGAGATGCCACCGATGTACTCGTTCAACCATTGTTTGATCATGATCCCGACGGAGGCCGATGAGAGACTGAGAATAAGGGAGGAAAACCATAGGGTGTTCAGCCAGATTGCCGCGCGAGGAATAGCTGGCGGAGGAGTGCTGCCTTGCTGGAATGCCGGGTGGGTGGAATTGATGAATGACGGGGGAGGGCCAGTAGAGAAGCTACTGAGCTGCAGCGAGATCTGCTGAAGAGCGAGTAGCGTGGGGTCCGATGTAGCCGGCTGCAGGAGCAGATATGATTCGACGTTGAATGCGGTGATAACCGCAGACAATAGACCGGCCTATACACCACCCATCAGAGAGGTCTAAGTCGCATCTGGAGTTCGACGTACGAAGACGAGGTATGTATCAATCTCCGCATTCCACCGCTTGATCATTCCATCACTGTACTGTTGTACAATCTTCGTCGTCTTCGCCCACGATTCTTCCCTTTCCCTTTTCGCTTCCTCGCCAGTGTATCGTGCCCTACGCTTCTTAAGCTCTTCCTGAAGTGTTGTGTCAATGTCGAATGGACGCAGAGCTTGTTATCTAAGAGTATGAGTATGACGTACATCGAGCAATGTCGGAGGGAATACCCCGACGAAGAGGCTTGCAACACCAAGACCAAAGTCTACTGCGAAAGGGTTTCCTTGGGAGCTGCCGACCGTCGAGGGTGTGTCGCCCTCTGTCACCGCGCTCTCCGAGTCTGAATTGTGGGATTGGTCCATAAATTTTGTACTTGTGGATCAACAGTATTCCAGAAGCGAAGCTTGAAGAGCTGGAGGTTCTACTCAGCAGGTATTCTGAGCGGCGAATCGGGGTAGGACAGCAAGAGGGTCATGCTCGAGCCTGCCAATGCCACCAGTCGACTCGTGGGATACGCCACGCCGCCAGGATCGATGGGCATGGTATGGCCCTTACGTACCCGCGACGGTGGTCCGCATACACATCGATAGCGTAGGACTGCACGAAATACTTTCCCAGCGCACGAGCCTGTGTCCCGTGATGATACGATACTTACGGCTTCTCCTTCTCGGATATATTCCGGGGAGTTGCGTGCGTTCTCAATGCAGTCCTTCAAACGCTCCGTTCTGAGTACTGAGGCGAGGTCGGGCTGTGGTCTACAATTGAGCACGACCGGCCGACTGCGTGGAGCAACTCGGGCGCTGCTCCACCCAGTCGTGGGCCGGTGCCCACACTGGACCGGCGCTGCGCCAGCTCCGTTTCAAGAGGGGCAGCCCGCTCGGAGATAGAGAAATCTCCCGCATGGAGGTGAGGACCGTGTGGTACTTTCAACGCGCTAGTAAGACAAATGTGCGGTTGCACGAGCTAAGGCAGCCGCAGACGAGAAGATCGTGAAGCGAACACACCGCACACTAAATGTTCTTGCAAAGCACTTGATACACTGCAGAAGACTCAAGCACCGGCTACTGGGAAGAAGAGTACTGGTCAGCTGCGCTGGCTGGCTCGACCGAAGGGCGCACTGACCGTAGATCTCAAACACCTGGTACTACCTCCTCTGCCGTGCGAGCGGGGGCCAGGACGTCTCTGAAGCGCTCCAGTAGCCGATCGTATATCTTGATTTCGGAAGCGATCCATTCGAAACGCTGGTCGGGCAACAAGGTCTCCCGCCGAGCGGCTACCACATGTTCCAGGGTCGAGACAAAGTTGGGCGGGAGGGCTGTGTCGGGGAAGGTCGCATGCTCTGCAAGGACGACGTCGATCAGCGCCATGAGCTCTTCTTCCACGCGACTCCAGCTGCGACCATCGACCCCCATTATGCGGAGAGCTCCCTCGAGGCGAAGGAGGGTGTCACGGACGAAAGGGACCAACACATCTCGATCCTGGTCTCGGTCGGGGGCAACACCGTTCTTCGCTATCTGAGCCATGCACTGGAGGAGAACAGTCGCGGCTGCCATGGATTCGCCCACTGGGTCGCTTCTTGGGGCGGATTCATCCTGCGGCTTGTCCTGCTGTATGCGGTGGCCAACAGCCGCGGCAGCTGATCGTGCCGTCAATCCGTGAGCGTGGAAGGAAACACATAAACTAGTTCACGCACCGGACCGGATTACACTGCCGTCGGTGGGCGGCTTGATGTGGAGGAGCAAGCCCCTAATGGCGAGAAGGGCAGCGGAAGGATGATTAGACGCAGGGAACACGTCGTGCTCGGTGAATGAGAGAGACGAGATCGCGGAAAGGATCCATCCTGTGAGCCCGACATCGACATCCAGATCCGGCGGCTCCGTCATGTCTGGATTATAATATCGAAGACTGAAGGGGAGGTACGAGTAGAGGGCGCGCACGGTGTCGCGCCAATGCTCGTCTCTGAGTTCGGCGTGAACGTCTGCAAGACAGATCAACGTGTTGATCCACAGTGTGATCTCCGTGTAGACCGTCTTGCTTGAAAAGAACGGACGGCGCAAACTATAGTGGCTGTTGTGCACCTTGTCCAGCATCCGGAAGCACTGGATGACGTCCTGAGGCTGCAGGTCGGTGAGACACTTCGCCACGGTGGATAGTGTACCGTGGTCCATGCTGGTGTCGTACGCCATGGTTAGTAGGTCGGCGTCGAGAGGGCCCTTCATGCCGACGTCAGCCAGGTCCCTTTCGCGTCCACGCCAGGTACGGAAGCTCTCGGGCCCCCTACCGGCGCACTTGCCCACCATGCGGTTGACGGTTTGCGACCAGTGTTGCACTTCTCCAGAGAGATGGTGGTCCGTCCGCCTGATGAGCCGTCCGAAGCTCCTGAAGAGACGAAAGCGCACATCGTTGACGAAGTATACAATCCGGTGGCGGACCATGTCCAAAGCGTACGTCTGGGGCGAGAGGTAGGCACAGCCGAACCGGGCAAGCGGAAGAAGCATGGTACCGATTGTGAATGCTGCGAGCAGAAACACGAGACTTGATGCAACGGCCGCGACAGAGTTGTGAAGGGTCCATAGGAGGATAAGGAGGCCGGCAAGGAAAAGAGAGAGCGCTAGCTGCAGCAAGACCGGGATGGACATGACGATGGCCCCGACGCGCCACTTGATCAGGTTGTTCAACCGGTACTGGCGAAGTCGCGCGGTCTCGCGAGAAGTACTGGGCGAGATCCCACCGCAGTACTCGTTCAGCCATTGTTTCACCATGATGCCGACCGAAGCCGAAGACAGGCTGAGGATGAGACTCGAGAACCAGAGTGCATTCAGCCAGACGGCGGCCCGAGGAGCGCGGGGCGTAGGCGTGTCCGTCTGTCGGTATGCCGGTTGAGTGGAATTAACGAACGGAGGGTTGTTCGAGAAGCTGCTGAGCTGGGCCGATATTTGCTGTAAGGCGGCCAGGACCGGGTCTGTCGTCGGGGCCGGCTGGAGGAGCTGGTACGACTGAACGCTGAACGCAGTCAAGATTGCGGAGAACAAACCCGCCTGTTTTCGCTTCTTAAGTAGGGTGTCATCTTACGAAGTCCATCACTTACGTAGACCAGGTAAGTGTCGATTTCGGCATTCCAACGCTTGACCATCTCATCGCTGTAGGTCTTCACTATCTCCGCTGTCTCCGACCATGCCTTTGCCTTCTCGTCGACGCTTAATAGTGTCTTGCGCGTCTTCAATAGCTCCTGATATCGTTCGATGATAAGAAGTGGTTTGGCTCTTCAAAGGATAGACTCGCCTTGAGCGAAGGCGGTGTCCATGGCAATGTCAAGGGCACCGACTCGTCTTGACTTGGACTCACTGGCATCCTGGGATTTAACGAATCAGCACGTTGTCCCCTCGGCAGTGCTTCCGTTGTCGTTGAAATGGGCTGCATTTCCATTGCGCGTTTAGGGACACGGATACTCGACACTGGTATTGGGAGACGATGAGGGCAAGAGCCAAGGAGACTGAGTATTTCGAGTTTTGTCATCGGCACCCTTTTCTGGTCCACCGTCATATTCCCACGGGTTCGACGCTGCCGGAGGAGGAGGAGGAACGGTTCGGTTCATTCGATGCGCGCTACTAGTACAGTTACAAACACCACGAGTCGCACAGTTACATACCCTACGAAACGTGAAGCCTACAACTATATGTAAATAACGAACAAAAAACCACGAGCAAGTACTTAGATATTGAGAACGAATTTCATCCGTCTGACTCTTAGGCTGTTCCGTATAGTGCAAATCCGTTCTGCTATGGATATCGTGCTCCTGGCGCTCGAAGCGCAGGCGTTGTGTTATAACCCCAAGAAAAAAATTAAACCTGTAAGGTAAGGACTGGCCGTGTCCCAGCGCAGTCCTTGTAACTCCCACAACGCCGGGCAGAGGACAGTCGTAAGCATAGTAAGACTATATATATCGGGCAGCGAGCAGGAATAACGGCGGTGTGTAGTTGTTCCTCCCTAAGCACGGGGATCTGCAAGCCACAGTTCATGGGTCGGTTCACCGACATTGTCCCCGAAGGGCCATGAGCGCGCACCGTTATCCAACGGGTTTCCTTCGCCCCCGACATCCTGTACGAGGTCGTATGGGGTCGCCCCTTACTGGGCGAGTGCCAAAGTACATCCTCTCTTTAGTAGATGAGGATGATTTCCTTGCGGCGGACATCCAACATGATGTCCGTCATATAGTTCTCGAGGACTAGTCGGGACTCCGAGTCCTCCAATCCGAGCAAAGTTGCAATCACACTCGTTTACGCCCTACGCCGCGGGAGGTCTGCGGCAGAATTCCGACGGAACACAAGGGTTTCCTCGGTATGCATAAGGACCGGACGTGTGGTAGTGGTACATGTCGCGATTGCGAGCTATGTGGCAACCGCTAGTGGATGCAGGCGCCCGTCGGCGTCATCCAACATGGCGAGAAGCCATCCAGCCTCTTCCAACCCTCAGATCCTCACGAAACTCGACGTACGTCGTAAGGATGGTGGCAGGGTTGGTCTGGGAGGGCGACGGGCTACGAAGAGCGACAGGGGGTGCAAGAAATGCTCCCAAACCATCTTTCAGGGGCTACATTCGCCACTCTGAACAGGCATCCGCCGACTACGGCAGGCATCCACCCCGTGGGTAGGCCTCTGCACGAGGGCAGGCATCTGCACCATGGCAGGCATCCGCACAGCGGGGACGGAGGGGTGCAGGGCAACGTGCAGGAGGAACCAAATAGTACGTACCGCATCCACTTCGCGCGCATCCGCCCACACGCGTGCAGTGCATGTTCGCATCGTCCTCGCATATCCGGGGCGCGGACACGCATTCTGGCTCAGCACGCCATGGCGCCGTTGAGCTGCGGGGCGCGTCCGGATCTGAGATCTGAGAAACGGGACCAACTTGCGCCCTTTTGCCTCCTCTTGCGCAAAGTGTCTCATCGCTCGCGCGTCTGCCACCAGGTATATTAAATACGTGTGGAAAGAAGTGGACCAAGTCAGAATGTCCCATGAGTTGAGTAGTTGATGTGCGTGCATTACGAACGGAAGCGCCTATGCACGCTCCAGGTCTACCCAGACAACTTGACGTTGACACCCGTATAACGCTGTATTAGCGGGCTCACAAGGAGCATTTTGAGAAAAGGGTATCGAGCATGCATGCATTGGACAGGCCGGAGCCTACAAAGCCGTCCTACAAGCCGGCAAGTATCCAGATGACATCATTCCCACATAGAGCGTCCAAACCGTCCTCGAGGCAGCCCGGACAACACAGGCTCGCAGGCACGTACATGCACGTCCGTACAATGTGGCCGAGCGAAGATGATCCACAGTCCAGAGAGGTGGGTATCATGAGCGCCGCCGCCGGAGGAGGGCGCTCGCTGGGGGAGCAGTTGCGCGGCGCGGGGGCTCATGCCAGGATCGCTCCAGCGAGAGCGGCCGCGATTCCAAAGAGGCCGGTGCCGCCGACGGCGTGTAGAGCTCCGGCGCTGTTCCCCTGCCCAGCGCTGCTGCTGCTCGTCGCCGAAGCGGAGGTAGAAGAAGATGGGGAGGTGGCGGACGAGGGGGCCGCGCTGGAGCTATTACGCGAGGCGGACCCAGACGCGGAGGTCGACGACGTGAACGGGTCGGAAAAGGTTGTCGAGGGGGGAGCGGTGGGGAAGGAGAGGGAAGTGCTCGAGGATGCTTGCGCGCAGAACTGCTGGGCGATGGACTCGGCCGACGCGAGGTCGCCCGAGCACTGTGCCGTGATGCATGCAACGAGGCCGGAGGTAAACTTCGAGGGGCTGCACAAATGAGGCACAGTTTGAAAAACTCGAGGGGAGAAAGGAGGGGAATCACTCACTTTGTGCAGTAACAGTTTACATCCACAATGCTGTCGCACCCATCCTGAGAGATCGCCAACCCCAAGCACTGATTCGCTTTACACCCCGCACGCCGTTAGTCGCCCTTATTATGCTCTAGACGGGGCGTGGTACTCACCACAGGTCGACAGCCCACTCAAACTCGGGAACTGCGCCGACGATGTCGCAGTCCCGTTCCCACTCGCACTCGCGGACCCAGCGCTCGATGCAGAGCCGCTCGCGCTGGACGTTGGTGTGAAGGACACGCTCAGCCCGACAGATGCCGTAGATGACTCTGCTGGGGGCGTCAGCGACGCAGCAGCATCGACATAGGGCGCCAGATGCAGCAAAAGCGGAAAGAGGAGCGTAGTGAGAAAACGCGCGAACATGGCTGGTAGGAGATTTATGGGCGTTCTGTAGTGTCAAAAGTGTCGATGAGCGCAATTGTTGGTCTCAGGCGATGTTCACGTACTGTGAGCCAGATCCTCCTTTCCAACGACACAACAGGGAGAAAAGAACGAATACGAGACCGCAGAAGGACTCAGACTGTACGGTAAGGTGGAGGAGGCGGTGGTGGACGAGAGGGACGCCTGGAGAGTGGGGAACGACCGATCAGGAACAATGGAGTTCAGGTGGCGCCCACGTGCGTACATCCTCGGCAACTGTACATACGTTCCTTGAAGGGCTCCTGCTCCTCACGGTGGATGGAGTGAACGAGTAGTTATTCAACCGTTTGCTCACGCACATGTACTGACGTGCTTTATGATACGTAAGTGCTCGAATAGTTCGTACGATGCAGCACAGTGTTGCAGGTGATCATCATTACCGACCGCCACAAGGTGTGGCGTTTGAATTTTGGCCTGAATAGACGAAGGACTGAAGCGAAGCTGTTGCAAGGCAAAGGTAATACATGCGGAGAGCACCTAGAGGTAGTACGCTAGACGAGGTGAGAAAAAGACATGGCCTACGGGCAAGCATGAAATATACGCAGAACACATAAGGAAAGCCTGTCAAGCAGCTACCGGCTAACTACTACGACTTACATTCAGCCAGCTACGTATCCCAACCGTCCATACAGAACTAGTACTCAACAGCATCATCGTCGTCTCCAGCCGCAGGAGCCGACGGCGCCTCGGTCTTCTTGGGAGCTGCGTCCTCTTTACTCTCCCCGCCCGCCTTCGCCTCGGCAGGCTGGGATTCGGCAGGTTTTGCGTCGTCTACGTCCATGGTTGTCTCCCCGGTCTCCTCTGGTGCGCTCGCGGGGGGTGCTGCGGGCTTCTCCTCTTCCACTGCCATCGGTGCGTCGGGGGCCGCGGGTTCTGACGGCTTGTCGTCGCCCTCTGGCCGTTCTGTCTTCTTGCGGCTCTCCTCCTCCGCGACGCGCTGCCGGAGCTGGTTGATTTCCTCAACACCAGCAGCGCGCTCCGTCTTGAATGCCTCCCACTCCGCCTCCGCCGCCTCCTTGACCTGCAAATATGGACATTGAGTTGGGGCATCCTATTGAGAAGGGAGGGTCAACACATACCTCTGCTTTTCTCCTCTGGAGAAACGCGTCTTGGGAGGGGAGAAGCTTCGCGGGGAGGTAGTACAGCGGTGGTGGGCGCGTCCGTGGCGGAGGCGCGAGCGGGTTGATGGACGCGGGTTCTTCGGAGTCACCGGATGGTATCACATCGGACGTGAGCAAGAAATTGGACAAGAGGGGAAGCCGTGTCCGCCGGAGTTTATGCTACACGCGACGCGGCATACGTCAGCGCTCCGTCTCGAGTAGGGGGAGTGGGTCGAGTATAGAGAAGGATGGAACGGAGTAGACACGTACAATCGAGTCCTTGAGCTGAAGCTCCTCCTCTTTGCGGTTCGCGATCGTCTTGTCCTTTTTCGCCTCCTCGGCGCGCCTGACAGAGTCAGTCTCTTTCCGCAGCTTATCCTGTAACCTCTGTTCGATCAACTGCCTCTTCTTGGCCTGTCATTACAAGCCCGCTGTCAGCGAACACACATGCGCAGAAGAAAGGAATGGTGACGCACTGCGTCGCTCGCGTTGCGCTCCTTGTCCTCGTTTTGCGCCCTCTTGAGCGTGCCGAGGACGAGCCCGAACATGGTCTTGCCGCGTTTGCGCTCGCGCGGCTCGACGGCCATGTCGATGCGTGGCCGCTTCTTCGTCGTGTTCCCGTCTGCGCCCGCGTCGGGCGCGGGCGTCGTCTCGACCTGCATGGCGGCGTCTTGCGACGGGGCGGGGGAGTCGCGGACAGGTCTGTGTGACGCGTAACGTCAGTTGAGTGTGCAGATCGGGTGTCATGGGGTCTTTGTACGCACTCTTCTGTCGACATGTTGCCTGAAAAGTTGAATAAGGAGCCAAGGAAGAAGACAGGGATAGGTGGAGATGGACGTCGAAGACAACGAGCTAAGGCTGGAGCGCGCGGGCTACTGAACCAGAAGCGCCCGTAAGTAACAGCTTTCACAAGCCGATAAGCTCTCCTTTGAACAGGGGTAAGCACTCTTTGAATACGGGTAAGTCTGCCTTGAGAAGGGTAAGCTTCGCGGATATTAGCTCTGATTAGCACCATTACCTCTTTCCCCTTCAACTTCTTTCTTCCTAACTCTCATCTTTGGGACTACGACTACAGCGACAGCTTCGCGTTCTTCAGCTCGGACGAAAAATAGCACAGAACCGCGCTGCGTCGAGCCGCTATGGATCCGTTCGAAGTGCGCATGCAATTCCTGGGGCTGCTCAGGAGACTGGATGCGTACGTTCTCCTCTCAATCGCACGTCCGGACATCCTGAACGACCGACAGCTCCCAACAGTCTATAAGAAAGATCGTCGGCTATGCCGTGAAATACTGTCCTTCCTGCGGTGAAGACCTGTGGGACTGCATGCTTGAGGAGTGCCAGAAGGTGTGTCTCACGCATGTACGCACTCACAGGGATTAGGACTCACTTCGCGATCTCGCTAGGGCTCTCTGAACAGCAGAATCAACATCTTGTACCTGGTGGACTCGTTATGCGAAGCCTCTCTACTCTCGAAGCCACCACCAGGCGTAAGCCAACCTGCGTCGTCGTACGTCAACTATGTCACGCGCGACCTGCGGAAAGTCGTCGATGGCGTCGTCCCCGAAGGGCGGCAAGGCCTTCCAAACCTGATGAGCACAAGACAGGTGCGCCCCACTTCCCATTCTACTCCGCCTCTCCCCTCACCCCCCGTAGATCCTGGAAAGCTGGCGGACCAAGCGCATTATCGAGCCGCAAAAGGTCGAAGAGGCCATCACCCTGCTAGACGAGCGACGCGCCGCCGCGATCGCCTCCGCCGCGAGCGGAACGTCGCCCGAGTCGTCTGCGGGCGCGCTCTCGCGGGACGACATCAAGCGACGCATGGAGGAGGACCGGGAGCGGCACAAGCGCCTGCGCGAGCGGCGCTGGGTGCAGCCGGTCGGGCAGGACATGCCCGCGGCGATGCCGCCGCTGGCGAGCTTCATGCCGCTGACGGACGAGGGCGCGGGCGTGGACGAGCTCGCGCTGGACATCGAGTTCGACAACGAGTGGGAGACGACGAGCGACTGGAACGAAGACGACGACGAGGCGGTCGCGGATGAGAACGAGCTGTGCTTTTTGGAGCCCGCGGAGTATGATGCGCGGGATGAGCAGGCGATGGACTTGTCGTGACGGTGATGTGTTGTGTTTTGTATTTTTGTGAGTCTCTATCCTTCCGGATGCCTATATGCTAACGCGCGTGCCGATGCAACAGATGTCCTTTCTTGTTGCAATTTGTGAACGTCATCACAGTTCAACATATCACTACCGCAGCCCCCATATATTGCAGTTGAAGTGAAGCCCCTCTTTCGTGACTATCAGCCTGCTGTATACCTGATGCTCGTGGGTATGCAAGCAATGGTGAGGTCTATGACACTTTCCCGTGATGATTTAGGCAATGTTACGACACAACGCGAGCAGATATCCAAGACCATATGCCGACGCCGACATGTGCATGACAAACTGTGCTGCAGCCACCTGCTAAGTGATATGCGAGAGGTGTGGGTTGATGTAACTGCTGTTGACGTAGCCTCAGTACTCGCGGAGTGGCAACTGTTGTCTGTTTGTCCGCGTTGTTTCTAGGGCCCCCATCGCCATGCAAAACACCTGTTCTTGAAGTTCGCACACGGATCTTACAGGCTTGTCGCGCTCCATGTATGTTCTCCAGCTAATTCGACATCACATCACTTACTGGAGATAGATTCGCGCCAATATATATGCAAAACGCTCACCACTATGGCTAGCGCCGCGCCTCAGCGCCGAATGCGATGCTGGACCGGGAAAGGCAGTGTACGACATCACTCGACCCACTCGGGTTCCTTGGCTCTTACTCCCATCGTCTCCCAATACCGGTGTCGAGTATCTCTGAAAGCGCAATGGAAATGCTGCCTACTTCAAGGCCAACAGGAGCACCATCGGGAAGACAACTCGATGGTTCGGCGGCGAATCCCAAGACGACTTCAAATCAGGAGGCGTCGGTGCCCTTGACATTGCCATGGACGCCACCTGCTCTTAAGGCGAGTTCATTCTCCAGAATTCCATGCATATTCTCATAAATCATGATATCAGGAGGTATTGAAGACACGCGAGACTCTGTTCACGGCCGACGAGAAGGCAAAGGCATGGTCGGAGACAGCGGAGATAGTGAAGGCCTATAGCGATGAAATGGTCAAGCGTTGGAACGCAGAAATTGACACCTATCTGGTCTACGTAAGTCTCTAGCTGAAAAGATGATGCTCTACTTACGAAGCGAAAACAGGCGGGTTTGTTCTCCGCCATCCTGACTGCGTTCAACGTGCAGTCGTACCAGCTCCTCCAGCCGGCCCCGACAACAGACCCGGTCCTGGTCGCTTTACAGCAAATCTCGGCCCAGCTCAGCAGCTTCTCGACAAACCCTCCGTTCGTCAACTCCACTCAGCCGGCATACCGACAGACGGACACGCCCACGCCCCGCGCTCCTCGCGCGGCTGTCTGGCTGAATGCACTCTGGTTTTCGAGCCTTATTCTCAGCCTTTCCTCGGCTTCGGTAGGCATCATGGTGAAGCAATGGCTGAACGAGTACTGCGGCGGAATCTCGCCCAGCACTTCTCGCGAGACCGCGCGACTTCGCCAGTATCGGTTGAACAACCTGATCAAGTGGCGCGTCGGGGCCATCGTCATGTCCATCCCAATCCTGCTGCAGCTAGCACTCTCGCTTTTCCTTGCCGGCCTTCTCATCCTCTTATGGACCCTTCATAACTCTGTCGCGGCCGTTGCATCGACTCTCGTGTTTCTGCTGGCAGCTTTCACCATCGGCACCATGCTTCTTCCGCTCGCCAGGTTTGGCTGTGTGTACCTCTCGCCCCAGACGTACGCCTTGGACATTGTCCGCCACCGGGTTGTGTACTTCGTCAACGATGTGCGCTTTCGTCTCTTCCGGGCCCTCGGACAACTTATTAGGCGGACGTGTCGCGATGCCTCTGGAAGAGCTCAGGACTGGTCGCAAGCTGTCAACCGTATGCTAGGCAAGTGCGCCGGCAGGGGGCCCGAAAGCTTTCGTACCTGGCGCGGCCGTGAAAGGGGTCTGGTAGGGTTCGAGATGGACAACTCCCTCGACGCGGATTCACTCACCATGGCGTATGACACCAACATGGACTACGGTACGCTATCAACTGTAGCACAATGTCTTACCGACTTGCAGCCTCAAGACGCCATCAACTGTTTCCGGATGCTGGACAAAGTGCACCTCAGACACTATAATCTACGGCGTCCCAATTCTTCAAGCATGACAGTCTACCCGGAGCCTATTCTGTGGATCAACACACTGGTCTGCCTCGCAAACGTGGACGCGGAGCTCAGAGACGAAAACTGGCACGATGCTCTGCGCGCCCTCTACTCGTATCTCCCTCTCAGTTTAAAATATCACCGTTCCGATATCTCGTTACCACTGAACTTGGATATCCGACAGGCCGATTGGATCCTCTCCGCCATCTCTTCTCTTGCGTTCTACGAGCGTGACGTGTTCCCTGCCTCCAATAAACCTTTCTCTGCCCTTCTCGCTATCAGGGGCTTGCTACCCCGCGTCAAGCTACCAGCCGACAGTAGTGCAACCCGCTCTGGTATGTACTACGCCGTATATCTCCTCCAATATTCTCCCGCTGACCAGGGGCGCCGTTAGCTGCCGCGGCTGTAGGCCACTATATACAGAAGAAGCCGCCGGGCGAAGTCGCTTCAAGAAGCGATCCAGTGGGTGAATCCATCGCAGCCGCAACTGTTCTCCTGCAGTGCGTCGCTCAGATGTCGAAGAGCGCTGCTGAGGTACCCGACCAAGGGCGGGATCGAGAAGTGTTGTCCCCCTTCGTTCGCGACACCCTTCTCTGCCTGGAAGGCGCCCTTCGCACGAGGGAGCTTGATGATCGTAGCTGGGATCGCATCGAAGAAGAGCTCATGGCGCTGATCGACGTGGTCCTCGCGGAGCACGCTGCTTCCCTGGGCACAGTTCTCCCGCCCAACTTCGTCTCGACTCTGGAGCGTGTGGTCGCTGCCCGGAGGGCTACTCAGCTACCTGATCAACACTTCAAATGGGTCGCCTCCGAGATCGCGGTTTACGATCAGCTTCTGGAGCGCTTCAGAGAATCGTTAGACCCGGCTCGCACAGCAGAGGGGCCAGCAGAAGGTGTCTGAATTTACGGTGAGCTCGTCCTCCGATCATGCGAGCGAGTGCAACCGACTTATTTTCCTTAGTACCCAACATTTGACTCTCTGCGGTGTATCTAGTTAGCGAACAGAGACACAGTTGCTTCACAGGGATAGCGAATATGCGGTGTGTCCGTAGACGCCGCACGCTCCTCTAGGCTGTATATGCCTTCGCTCGCGCAACCGCACCGGCGTCCTCGCACCCAAGCGGTAGTTATCTGCCGGTCCCGCTCGAGATACCCTCTCAAGACGCACCCTAATCTAGTGCGGAGCAGCGCTCAAGTTGCCTTAGGTTGGTAGCCGGGCGCCATTCGCACTCGAGCGTAGATCGCAGGGTCTCACCTCGGTACAGAGTACGGATACGACCGCATCGAATAGGAGAACGCGCGCAACCATGCGGAATATGTGCCGAGAGCCCGAAGCCGTAACTTGTCAGTGTCATTCTATCACGGGACGCAGGCGCGTACGCCGTGTACCTGGGAAATACCTCCGTGCACCTCCTGCGCTATCGATGTGTGCGGGAAGCAACGTTGCAGGTACGTAATGGCCATGCAATGGCCATCGATCCTCGAGGCATAGTATCTCTCACGAGTCGAGCTGGTGGCACAGGTGGGCTCGAGGACAAATCCCTTGTCGTCCGACTCCAATCTGTAGCTCATTGCTCATTGCTCAGTAGAACCAATACTCCATCTGTGGGATAACTTTGATCCATACGCACCACCATCCCATGGATCAATCACGCAATCCAGACCCGGCCAGCGCGGCGGCACACGACGGCACCACATGCTCGACTGCTGGCCCCACTCAGGAATCCCCGCATAACGCAGCGAATATACCGGCTCACGACATTCTCTCAGTTGCGGTGCTCCCCCCAGGAGCACTCGAGGTTAGTTGCGTAGATTGGCAAGTTTTGTATCAAATTGAAACTGACAGAATACTAGGAAGAGCTCAAAACAAGGGAGACGCGGTACACTGGCGAAAATCCGAAGAGGGAAAGGGAAGAAGCATGGTCAAAGACGACAAAGATTGTACAACAGTACAGCGACGAGATGATCAAGCGGTGGAACGCAGAGATCGATACATACCTCGTCTTCGTACGTCGCACTCCTACACGGTGTGAACTCACCAGCTGACGGGCGAGATAGGCTGGTCTTTTCTCAGCGGTACTCACCGCCTTCAACGTTGAATCGTACCTGCTGCTGCAGCCGGACACTCCGGATCCCACCCTCCTCGCACTCCAGCAGATCTCGCTGCAGCTCAGTAGCTTTTCGACTGGTCCCCCTCCAGTGTTCGTAAACTCTACCCATCCAGCATTGGCGCAAGGCGACCCGCCCTCGCCGCCCATTCCTCGTTCGGCGATCTGGCTGAACACCCTATGGTTCTCATCCCTTATACTCAGTCTATCATCGGCCTCCGTCGGAATCATGGTCAAGCAATGGCTGAACGAGTACACCAGCGGGATATCCTCCGAGTCCGAGGCGGGCACATCTCGACAAACGGCTCGTCTTCGCCAGTATCGCCTCAACAACTTGATCAAGTGGCATGTCGGCGACATCGTCAACACGATCCCTGTTCTGCTGCAGGTATCATTGGCGCTGTTCCTCGCCGGGCTCTTGGTGCTACTTTGGACCCTCCACCCAACCGTCGCCGCTGTTTCAACGACCTTGGCAGGTCTGCTGGGTGTGTTCACTTTGTCCACTGTAGTCCTCCCGTCGATCAAATCCGGATGTGCGTACCTGTCTCCCCAAAGTCTTGCATTGTATCGCATCTTCCGGCGCGGCCCGACCTTCGTCAAGATTGCTATCGGCCAACGGATATACCCTCTGACACTCTTTCTGTTTCGTCGCCACCGTATCATGCGGACCCCACTTCGACGGGTTGCACAGGCCCTACTCAAGACATGGGGTCCGCCTATGGCCCCTACTTGGCGCGGTATCGAGCAATCGATAATTGCCAAGGAAAGTCAGGGTTTAGATGTCGACATAATCGCCGAGGCGTACGACGCAGCAATGGATCCCGACCTTCTCGCCACAGCCGCTGTATGCCTCTCTGAGCTCGAGCCAAGTATGCACGTGGTCAAATGCATCGAGCGGCTACAAATCATAGACGAGAGCCACTTCGGTATGTCGCCCTCTTCCCACCTTGGCGCTGTGGTTGGCTCTACCGGCCCCGTCATCTATGAACTTTGGGCCGACTCTCTGCTCTGCCGCTGCACTCCTTTCCAAGTCCACACAGTGGACTCGGACTATCGGCTCTACCTGCACTTCAATTACCCGAAGTTACTTCCTCCAAACATCAACCCCGACGGTGTCGAGAGAGCCTTGAAGGCCCTGTCGATAGCAGCGTGTCACAATTTGGAACTGAGTCATCACTGGAAACTCGCATACAGACCGCTCATTTCGATACGCGCAATACTCGTCAAGTGTGTTCGCAGCCATATTCCGTTAGGCAGCACCCAGTATGGTAAGCAGTACCTTCTCAATGAAAGGGCACGCCATGTCTGACTTGATTCTTGAACGATTAACCTATTATAAGCTGTTGTCGCTGCGCATCGAGTGGGCCTCTCGAAAGGCCCGCCGGACAGCCAAGACGTTATTCAATTCTGCTTATATATTGCCGCTACCAACATCCTTCTGGAGTGCGTAATCATCCGGAATGCCTCTCAGGAAGGCCCTTCGAAAATCGTCGATTATGCCAACTACACACTTCACCGCCTGATGGACGGCATGCACACCGCTAACTACGAGGCTATCGCCACATCCGATCATTCCTGGTTTGTGCACGTTGTTACGGAGCTCGCCTCGCTCGTGAACGTTGTGACGCAAGAACCTGCTTTCCCCATTCGCGCGCTCATCCCCGAGGATCGCATATCCACTTTGGAACATGCGATTATCTCTCTACGGGATGCGATGCACCGCTTTGGTCGACCCGAGGAAGACTATATGGTCCGCGACCGCGCCGACAAAGACGAAACCCTCGAGGACAAGCTTGTTCGTCTCAAGGAGATTAAGTCTCGCTACTACGGATCCGAGTCCGCTCCGCAAGGAGAAAACCCTCAATCCGGAACAAATGTGGCACCGTGAGTCGTCTGCAGGATATAGTACTTGTGCATCTGTGCACTGACCTGATTGCTACCATTGTAGGATCGTACCAGACCCGGCCGAAACCCCTGCGACGTCTGGCCCCCCTGAACTGTTGCCTGCCTTCGTCACGGTCGGATCGCCCTCAGCCATCGATATCGAAAAACTTCCTGTCCGGATCACTCCTGCTCCGGTCGGTACGCCAAGTGCTCCTGCCGCAGCTGGACCGTCCACTTCTGCCCTAGCCTTCAATCCATCGTCGCGTGCTCCGATTTCCGTCACGGCCACCAACCCTGATATGTTGCAGGCGTTGTCGCACCACGGCATTCCCAACGAGCCACATGCTTCCCCGCAATCTCCATCGCACCACGGTGTCTCTGATGGCAGTGGCAACTTGTTCAGGCGCGATGTCGTCTGGCAAGTAGCCTCACATCGCGTTCGCGTGGCTCCCGCTCCCGAACCCTCGCCTTAGTGGTTGTCAGGATGAGATGAAACAGAACGGTGGAGCTATCACAGTATGTTTTCGACACAATAACCGGGCCGGCGTTTCGTTGACTGGCCAGTAACTGTTTGCTAACACATTTGGTTCACAGGACCTTCTCCGCGTGGCACTAGGATCTTGTTTCCCCCTGCAGCACTGTATTGACCTCCGAAGCCCTATTTGTACGTCTATGCCCTTCCTTTCTTATGTACATCAAAAATATTTGTACTACCTGTATGCCGAAATTCTTTCATACTCGGATTCAACTCCGGTATTCCTCGTGATTTTCTTTCCCCTGACAGTGTACGCTGTCGTCGACTCCTCCTGCCATGCACAATATATTCTTTTGCTGTCTGTACAAAAAGCTCAACTGGAAAGCTCTCTGCATCCCGCGTTCGCGCCCTCGATTCCAAGAGAGCTACGGTTGACGGAACACGTCACTGACACGCGCGTACGAGACATGCACATCGCCGAAGGCGCGCGACCGGCTGGAGTATCGCGTATGTATGGTATGTAGATCAGAATGGCCACGACTCGCTCTGCACGTAAATTGACCTCATCCGTGTGGTAATAAGCGTCGCGGGGTGCTTCTACTTTGAGAAGAGGATAATGTCGACGGCTTGGGGGAGTTGATGAATCTACCAACACGTCCGTCTTGTTTTCGGGGTACGCAACAGCCTGGGTGCCTTGTATGCCATGCGACGCATACTTTGTGGCACACATGGGGGATCTTCGTGTGCCGAGTCGTCCAAATTAGCGACTTGATTTTGTGCGGCGGGCTTGACCAACGCTACTTGGCTCGCGCGTAACTTGAGCCCAGTCTGGAGCTCGTCGGTGAGAGTACCAGCAGTGAACGCGTCGAGACGCTATACTTATATTCACCTTCTCCGGGGACGGCTCTCTAAAATATTGTGTGTGTATATCTCCTTCGCCTCAATTTTCCCTGGGCAGGGGTGTATGGTCAGGGAGTTGTCGGTGGAGGAACTTGGAAGCGGAAGAGAAGCGCTGTCGGTGTTCTCGGCTTTCAGCGACACATTGCAAACGAGCGTCTTCTCTATGCCTCTTGCACTGTCCGCAACCTTGGCATCCACCCGGGCCCTGGTCGAACTTGGGCTTCATATTTTGGTTCTTTGCTGTCGAGGATAGGTCGAAATACGAAATGGCTGACAATGCAGAAAGCGATGGATCGATTTCGAGTCCTCGGACTCTGCCGTGAATCCCGCCAACGGCGTGGCAGATAAACGTCTTTCACATCTCACAACGATAGGAGTTTCACCATTTCAACGACCTAGATCCCTATAAACATCCAAACTGGTGGACGGCGGGTGTGAACAAAAAGCTGCTGCTGAAAGCGTTGAGGCCGAGGGAGAGCGGCGAGAGATAGATCTGAATCGGCATGGATGTCGGCCGTTGCCGAATATGGGCGCCTTCGGTGGTCTCTGCCGCAGAACACCTTGCTCAGCACCTCCATCATGATATCCCTCGAGCAGAAGCAATAACTCTCTCATGTCTCAGTATCAAGATCCAGACAAAAGCGCGTCTGCGCACAGCACGCATCTGACGATAGGAAGCACTAGCGAACTCTCTACCGCTCCGCCGAATGCGAAGTCCGGACTCCCGGACCTTCCATGGACACTCCCCGAAGGATTACTCGATGTTTGTCCCATCATGCGAGGATTTGTGCGTGCACTGTGCGGCTGACAGAAACTTTAGGAAGAACTCAATAAGCGGAAGACACGATACACGAAAAGCAAGAAGCCAAAAAGGGCGGCGAAGGAAAGGGAAGAAGCGTGGTCGAAGACGACGAGAATCGTACAACAGTACAGCGACGGTATGATCAAGCGGTGGAACGCGGAGATCGATACATACCTCGTCTTCGTACGTCGCGTCCATATATGGCTTGAGAGTCTCTGACGGGCGGGGGCGACAAACAGGCCGGTCTTTTCTCCGCCGTGTTGACTGCCTTCAACGTGCAATCCTACATCCTCCTTCAGCCGGAAACTCCGGACCCCACCCTTTTCGCTCTTCAGCAGATATCCCTGCAGCTTAGTAGCTTTTCTTCTGGCTCTCCCCCGACGTTCGTCAACTCTACCCATCCAGCATTTCAGCAAGGCAACACGCCTCCGCCGCCCATTCCTCGATGGGCAGTCTGGTTGAACACCCTGTGGTTCTCCTCCCTCATCCTCAGTCTCTCGTCTGCCTCGATTGGTATCATGGTTAAGCAATGGTTGAACGAATATGCGAGCGGTATCTCCTCCGAGTCGGAGGCGGGCACCTCTCGCCAAACTGCTCGTCTTCGCCAACACCGCCTCAACAACCTGATCAAATGGCATGTCGGAGACATCGTCAACACGATCCCTGTTCTGCTGCAGGTCTCACTAGCATTGTTTCTTGCGGGCCTCCTGGTACTCCTGTGGACCCTTCATCCCGCGGTCGCGGCTGTTGCGTCTATCTTCGCGGGTCTGCTTGGTGCGTTCGCGTCATCCACCGTAGTTCTCCCCTTGGTCAAACCTGGATGCGCGTACCTCACCCCTCAAAGCCTCGCATTGTACCACGTCTTCCGTCGCACCCCCAGCTTCATTAAAGTATACGTCGAATCCGTCCTGCGCCCTCTTCTGTTTAAGCTTCTCGAACGACCGCTGATGATGCGTACCCCACTTCGACAAATCGCCCATGCCGTCTGGGCCTGGGTCCCAGTCAAGGCCCCTACATGGCACGGGACCGAGCAATTGATCGTCTCCGAGGAAAGCCAGTTGCTGGATGTCGACATCATCTCCACCGCGTACAACACTGCGATGAACCCCGGCCTACTTGCAACCGCCGCGATATGCCTTTCCGGACTCGATCCCAGCCTACACGTTGTCGACTGCATCGAGAGGCTGCAGAAGATAGACGAGAACCACTTCGGCGTCTTCCCCTCTCCGTACATCTGTTCTGTCGTCAGCGCTACCGGCGGGCCCGTTCTCTATGACCTATGGGCCGATTCGTTGCTCTGCAGCTCTCTTGAGGAGGTAAAGGAGATAGCCTTACGCCGTCGGACCAATCGTGTTACGGCGTTGGCCGCCCAAATCTATGAACACTTCGGCGCAACGAAGCCTACTCTGTCGGCTCCCGAACAAGAGACCGTGGTGAGGACTGTGTTAGGACTGTCGATGGCAATATGCCATGGCGCTTGCACAACGAGGATTCGGACATGGCACAACGTGTTGCATTCCTTCCAACAGATACTCACTAACTGCAGCCTCGGCGAGCTATCGTCCATGAATGTTCGTTCTGGTAAGTAGCGCCTTCACAAATCACAAGCTATGTCTGAGTTCATCCCTGTAAACCCAGCTGCCGCAGCCGCGCACCAAGTACTTGAAGGCCCCCCACCGGACTTTGAAGACCTCCGGCTCTTCTGCACGTATTTCACTGCTGCGAACATCATGCTGGAGTGCGTCCTGGCGAGCCACGACGTCGCTCCGGATCATCACCGAGCCATCCTCTCTTATGCCAACCATGTACTCCTCCACCTCACGGACACCCTGCAGGAAGTTGCCGACGCAGGAGAGGACTTGCTCCCCAGGTGCGACCAATACTGGCTGAACTTCTTCGTCGAAAACCTCTCCGACCTGGTGAACATCGTCACCGAAGAGCCCGCTTTCCCCGTCCGTGCGCTCTTCCCCGCAGACCGCATCGTTGCTCTAGAGCGTGCGTTCGTCGCTGTGCAGCACCTGATAGTTCATACGGGCCTCGTCGAGGTTGAATCCCGGATCGGCAACCGCGCTGGCTACCGGGAGACGTGCGAGGATAAACTGGTCCGTCTTAGAGCGCTCCGGTCGCGTTCCGAGTCCCCCCAGCAGGAGACCACTCCACCTGGAATCAACCTTGCTACGTATGTCATCTCCTCTTCAACGCGCTCGTCCAAGAAATTCACTGACTCGGCTGCGTCGATCGCAGGACCTGGCCGTCTGCGCCAGTCCCAGGCGAGCCACCTGCCACGTCCGCTCCAGTCGAACGACCTCCTTCCCCCTCCATCGAGACAGCTGCCCCCGATTCGGTCGAACCCGTGTCCGTCGGAGGTGACAAAGGATCTACTTCTATCCCGACCCTGGACCCATCATCGCATGCTACCGTCCCAGTCGAACGACCCGGCCTTCCTACACCGCAGCCCTCATCGCACTACAGCATTCCGAACAGGGAGTTGTACGCGTCTCCGGGATCTATGCACGCCGGTGTCATATCTACGCCCGTCCTGGTCGATCCGTCCATTGCTTCCGTTCCAGTAGAGCTCTCGGGATCTATGCCGGCGGCACCACCCACTCCCGTCCCTGCCTCCGAACTCCCTGCTTCCGTCTCGGAAGAGCGACCTACAAACCCACGGTCCTCGTCGCACCATAGCATGTCCGCCGAGCCGCATATGTCGCCGCGAACTTCATTGCACGGCGGCGTCTCAGACGGTGGTCAGTGCTTCGTGCCTAGATCTGTGCAGTGAGCCTAACATCCCGTTCATGCAGGTCACGAGCCGTCGCTGTAGGACCTCTGAAGATGGGGTGGAACAGATACCGTCGACGAGCTCCCCAGTACGTGCTTAGCCGTCACGCCGGCAATTCGTATGACGGGTAAAGATTCGCTTACTCGCATAATCAGGATCTTCTTCAAAGCGCATCCAAATCCGCCGCTAGATTCAATACCCTCTCTCGCAACACCAGCTCTCGCCCCGATATTACTAGCGCTGCTGTTGGTCTTTTTTTCACGTCTAGATACCCCGTCTTCGTACGAATTGAACGCTTCCGTTGCTCTTGTTACTCTCCATTCCTGAACGTACCATCTTTTCTTGGGCTCTCTCTTTTTCCGGAACATACCTGCCATTCTTCTCCTGTACTTATATCCCAAACGTGCCATGCCGCAGCTTGTAGCTGAGCGCTCGTTGAGCCTCCTTACATATGTACGTTCACGCGTACAGACGCAATCCTGACGTTCTGTGTTACCCGCCCCAGTCCCGTATATTGTCGTATTTATTCACGCCTTCCCCTCTCTATGTACAAAGTTATGACACGTCGTCTCGCAGCCCGCGCAAGAGCCCAAAAGCTCGCCGCATCTCGTTTCTGCTTCACATCCGTCAAGAGCTCCTTCATCTTCTCGCCGTCAAGTTTCCAACCAAGCCGCCGACGCGGGCGGAACGCGTCGCAGATGTACATCGGGCTAGAGCTTCGCGTAGTCGACCACGCTGCGCGTGGGCGCAGCTCGCAATCCCGGATATAAGCGTGCAGGGTACCTCTCGCTCGTCGGATGGTCGTTCTCGATGGCTGGGAGTTGGAGACGCTAGGAATCAGCAAGAGTTCCGACCTCCTCGGCGACGCGCACCTTGCGCTCCTTGCGAAACGCGCCCTTGTGCATCCGTGGGGGCTCGACACATATCTGGCGCGCTGTGTCAGGATGTACTTACAGTCTCTCGTGCAGCGCGATCGTGGATTACGCCTAGATCCTTCGTGAGGCTGATTTAAGGCCAGTCGTCGACGTCCAAAGGCGAAACACGTTCGTAATAAGTCAGAGTGGCGGTGGCGCGCTGAGGATATCGGCCGTGAGGTTCTGGTTGCTCTGTGTTGCTCGGCCTCTCCTCCAGGCCTCCCTGCAGGTGCACAGAGCATGAGACCGAGACGACTAGCGAGTTTTCACTTGGCACGTACCTGGTCCAACCCGCCTCAAGGAGGGAAGAGCTTGCGCTTGAGCGCCTTCTGGAGGAAACATATGTGCGCGGTGACAGTGCGCCGAAGTCCTCCGGCCTGTTCTCGAGCATACGGCCTTAGAGGCGATCAGGGCCCGTAGGCGCCAGGATGGTCGGCCTTCAATCCGGTTAGCAATGCGCGGGACCTGACAATGGTGAAAGCGGAAGGCGAGCGTGCTCGGTGGATATCTCTGTAGGACGCGCGAGGTGCCTGTGGCTTCGGCTCGGTATTCGCACCAGAACACCGAGCACCCGCTTTTCACGCGCCAGTCGATAGGGAGTCGCGAGTCGCGACGAAAAGTGGTGTTCTACTAGGGAAGAAAAGCAGCGTCAGCGGCAAGCCTTGTCAGGATGCAGAGCATTTCCCGGCGTACACACCTAGCGTCATGGTCGTCGTCGAGGTCACTGCTGGGCAACTTAGGAACCGAACGCAGATCCGCCCGTTGAGAACGTCGAGTCCAAAACTCGACGTTTTGTACGAGGCAAGAAAATATACCAAGACCCGCCAGAGAAGACTGCATCGTGATCGTGACTAGTTGACTGGTCCCCTAGTGTGCTTTGCTGCAGCAGTTGGTGGACGGGAGGAAGGAAGAAGAGAGACGCCCGACCTCGGTGTTCTCGGCTTTCGGTAATGCGGTCCGGAGATGCGAGCGCCTTCTTTGCCTCGAGGCTCCGACTCCGAACAAACCCCAAGCCCGGTCTCTCTCCATCTCCTGGCACTCGGAGTGAGTGTACCAACTTGAAAAGTCTCACCCTCACTTACTCTCACTGCTCATTCACACTCTTTCTTGTGACGCAAATGCCGACATCCTTCTCTGTTGCTTTCAACCACTGCACGTTCTAAGTACACTCATTGTAATCTTTCTGGACGCTTGCTAAAATGCCCGATGTAACGACATCGCGCCAGCGATGGTAGACTCCCGTCAGCGCACCTTCAATGCGCCTTTGGAAAGGCGCTGACTTCCCGGAGCTGGCGCACACCATGCTCGAGGCGCGTTGGTCTGAAAGACGCTGATCTCACCTTCGATATTCAAGGTTCACTCCGATTCCCTGACGACGTTGCCCGCCTCCCATCCCAGGGGCTCTATGAAGGTTGGCTGCCAGTATGCATCACAGGTCCAACTGCTGCGACAGACGATACCTGTTGCTATCACTGCAATAGTCAGCACGATCGACGGTTTTCAAGGACGCGAAGGCGACGTTGCGATAATCTCGACCGTGTTCTGCAACGCGGGTGGCAATATCAGTTTCGTTGAGGTAGAATTCCGACTCAACGTTTCCTGGACTCTGGACCCGGCCGAAGCTGGGCTCATCATCGTTGGCGACAAACGCGCGTTACAGGCGAACAGTACGCTCTGTCAAAGGGCGGAGGTTGTGCTCGCGCGCCAGGGTGCAGCGTAGAATGTGAGTCCAACGCCCGCTGTGCGGAAATTGCATACTTACATTGACTGCACAGGACCTTCTGCTATCTTGTTCTCATACAATAACATTGAATTCAATGAGTACGGTTCCGAGACGGCGCTCCGCCCGTGAATGGCGCAAACGGATGGGTGGTCGCACATTTCCTATTCACGTATCAGCCAACTTGTCATATGAACTGAGCTTCTTGCGCTAGTGAGGGCGGACAACCCGGGACGCAGGGGCGTTCGCCACCGTTGGTTATGTACCCATATCGAGATTGGAAGGTGAGGGGCGTCTCAATCGGTTATTCCTCGGGACTTCTACACCATGGCCCAGCTGCTCGAGTAGCGTCTCGTGAAGCTGCAACGACAACCTACTTCATGCAACGTCGGAGGAGCCAAGCCATACGGTCCTTTAGCCAAGAAGGTCATCCACCGCGCACGAATCCTGCGATGGAGGAGCTCAGGCAGCGTCATCGGAAGCTCGGTGAACTTTCGGACCAGGTGATCACTTCCGTCATCGATGCGGTGCTTCTACTAACCTCATCCTGCAGCGCTGGCAGCCCTTGCGGTGTTCCTGAGGTCTTTGCTCCGCCATACGCAGACGAGCACGGACATTTTGCCTCTTCTTCCGGGGCTTCGTGCTGGTGCATGACCTAACACTTGTCTCCGTCGCCGTAATTCCGCCTAAACGCTCACTCTTATCACCTAGGATGGAGACGCACGAGACTGCCGCTGCCCTGGAAGCCCGCATGCACGCAAGTTCAGAACCTCGATAGCACTGATGCTGTCGGACGATCCGAAGCGCGAATGGGCCGAGGGATCGTTATATGAACCTCCAGGGCTCGTACGAGGCTCGCTCGACCATCAGACGTCGTCACCCACTCCGTCGGCTCCCTGTTGGCAAGATGCTGCTCCTTCATTTTGCTCCTCTTCTGCTGTTCTTCCAGGCTGTGGCGTCGCGACCCTCCGACGCCAAGGGCCCGACGCACTCAGCTCGTCGCAAGCCCTCTCTGCCGCACGTACAGCGCCCAGCGGAAGTAATGCCTGTCGTCAGCCGAAACGGGACGCAGCTCCCGCCCTACGACTACAGTTACGTCTTCCAACAGCTCATCGACCATAACAACCCTAGCCTGGGCACGTTCCGGCAGCGCTACTGGCACACGTACGAGTTCTATGAGTCTGGTGCGTTCTGCATGCGCTTTGGGTACCGAAGTGCTGGGATCTGACATCATCGCCAGGTGGCCCGATAATCCTCTTCATGCCTGGGGAGACCGACGCAGACGGTAAGTCCAATCAATGTCAGCGAGATCTTGTGTACTCACTGTACACTGTCAGGCTACTACGACTACCTGACGAACGCGACGATCAATGGACAAATCGCACAAAAACTCAACGGAGCGACAGTCATACTGGAGCACCGTTTCTTCGGCGACTCCAACCCGATGCCGGACCTCTCCGTGCAGAGCCTGCGCGTCCACACCGTGCAGCAGGCGATCGACGACCTTGTCTATTTCGCGCAAAATGTCAAGCTCCCGATGCCTGGCGGCGACCAGCTCGCCCCTGGTAAGGCGCCGTGGATCCTCACGGGCGGCAGCTACGGCGGAGCCTTGGTCAGCTACACCATGGCCGAGTATGTGCATGTTGTCTTCTGCGAGTTCCAACTTCTGACTCATGGTCACAGCCAACCCGACGTATTCTACTCTGGATACGCGTCGTCTGCGGTAGTTCAAGCCATTGTGCAAGTCTATGCGCGGCCATTCACGATCAATAAACTTACTAGACATTTGAAATGACAGTGACTTCTGGGGCTACTTCGAACCCATCCGCCAAGCTATGCCGGCAAACTGCTCAGCCGACATCGAGGCCGTCATCGCGCACGTCGACACCGTCCTCACGTCCAACAACACCGCGCAGATCAACACCTTGAAGAGCACGTTCGGCCTCCAAGGCCTGGCGCACAACGACGACTTTGCCGCCGCATGTACGTTACGCTTCCAGGGCTTCGCGTCATCATGACATACCTTGCTGAATATCCTCTGAATGACAGTGCAAGAGAACTTCCTGTCGTGGCAGGCCCTGCAGCCCAACAGCGGCCCCGGCGGCGACTTCTACGAGTTCTGCGACGCGTTGGAGGTCAAGAACGGCGTCAGCGCGGGAGCATCCGGCTGGGGCCTCGATAATGCGCTGCAGGCGTGGGGAAACTACTGGAAGTCCAAGTACTACAGCGACAGTGAGTACTTCGCTTCTTACCAGCTCCATGATCGTAACTCACGATGCTCCTAGTTTGCGGCGACGACGACGTCGAGTGAGCACCAAATCACAGGAATGAGGCAAAAATGTCAAAATTGACGAATGTTGCTCAGGACGTGCCTCGGGACATACGATGCGACAAACCCGTTCTGGTCCTACGACTACCTAGGCCAAACCGACCGGGCGTGGAACTGGCTCCTGTAAGCGAGCCCGCCTCCGTGCACCCTCAACGCGCTCACGCCGATATGCCAGGTGCAACGAGTTCGGATTCTACTTCGACGGCGCACCCGCGAACCACCCAACGGTCGCGTCTCGCCTGGTCACGCCAGCATGGGGAGAGGTATGCATCGCCTGCAAACTGCCAGCCCCTGTACGACGCTAAGATGTGCATTGCATCAGCGGCAATGCGGGTACCGCTTCCCCGGCGCATTCACATCGAACATCTCCAGTTCCGCAGCCGTAGAGCCAGTCCCCGACGCGCGCGGGGTGAACTCGGCCTACAAGGGCTGGAACACGACGACCGAGCGCCTGGTCTTCGCGAACGGCATCAGTATGTCCCACTACTTTAGCTATTCCGTCTTCGCTAAGTTTTGTTGCTGACGTGTGGCGTGACTCACACAGGAGACCCGTGGCGCGAAGCGACGGTTGCGGCGGACGGCTCGACGAGCACCGGGTCCGACATGCAGCCGCACCTGCTCTCTGACGGGTTCCACTGCTCCGACCTGCTCGTGGACCAGGGCCAGGCGAGCGCGAAGGTGAAGAGCGTGCAGGACACGGCCTTGACGTACTTCGAGAAGTGGCACGCCGCGTGGACGCCGTCGGCATAGGCAGCGCCGCCGGATCCTGGTCCGCAGCGCAAAAGAGCATGAGAGTATGTGGTATATACAGCTTGTGAGACAAGAAATACAATAGTTCTAGATCTACACGTCTTGGTTCGGATACTTGAACGCGAGCTACATCCCACGCGGTACTGTCTTGCCTGCCACTTCGTCTTCGACTATGTGTCCACTTCCCTTGCGATCATGTCCGCACTCCGGGCCGCTCCCAGCTCAACCCTTCGCCCACGTAGAACCCGCCCCTATGCAAAATTTTTCCTCGCCCCGGAGTCTACCGCACTACACCACCGAGACGTGTAGATTGCCTGCCTACCGCCCCGGGCATGTTTGCCTGCCCGCTCGCGACCTGCATCGCGTCCGCCCAAACGGCCTTCACCCCTGCCGCCGCCTCCCAGCGCTGCACGAGCTTTCCGAGAAGCGTGTGCTTGCCACCGCCTTCGACGAACGCACGCTGCGTGACGAGGACCATGCCGCGCTGGCAGCGCGAGAGCATCACGTTCATGCGGTTGTCGAAGCTGAGGAAGCCCGGCCGTGTCGTGCGCACGGCGGAGACAATGACGTATGGTGCCTCGTGTCCTGCGAGGTACGTCGCGTTCATTAGTGGGGGCTTTGGAGAAGGAGACTCGAAGGCAGGGGCGCACCTTGGAAGCTGTCGACGTTGTATACAATGTTGGACGGTAGGTTGGCAGCCTCGAGGAGCTGGGTGATCAGCGCACGCTGTGCGTCGTACGGCGTGATGACGCAGAAGTCACCCGTGAGCTTCTGGTAGTAGTGCCGAACGAGGTTCACGACGGTGTGTGCTTCCTCTATGTTCTATACAACAAGCGATTGAGCAAGCGTGAAGCGGACCGTTACGGAATACGGATCGGCACGGGAGGATGGTATTCTGACCTTCCATGTCGACCCAACCTTCTCTTCTTCTCCTTTGCGGACGTTGATGGCCCGGATACACGCGGTGCCCACAATTTGGTGCACGGAGTTGAGCTTCGAGCGGTACATGGCCTCAGAGATGAATTGACCCAATTCCATAGGCATGCGATCTGTGCACCCATGTCAGCGAAGTGAAGGAGGGATGAGCCTGTAAACGAGCGCGCGTACATTGAGTGTCCAAGAAGTACGTAACGTTCTTCAGATGAGGGAAGTCGTATATCGTCTTCATCATGGGGGCGGTCTCCTTGCCGTACGGGGGCACTGCATCGGGGTCAAACGGTCACGACAGGTGAGACGCATATAAAAAAGGGAAACATCGTACGCTGCTTCGGGTCACCGAATAAGCACATCTTCCGCAATTTGGTAAACGCATGGAACAGATGCTGTATTGTGCTAGGATGAGCACCCTTGCGACGCTGCATGCGCAAGAAGACTTACCATAAACTCGAACGTGTCGATCTGGGACGCTTCGTCGACCACGAGCCGCTCTACCGGACAATGTTGGAACACACCGTTGTTCGTCAGAGCGGGATTGGAGAGCATAGCGAGTGTACACAGAATGACGGGAGAACTGCCTATCCTCGTCTTCGGGTTAAAGTCTGAGCCGGAGAGTTCGTTGGAGAAGACCAATGTGTCTTCCAAGTCGCCAATATACAGGTGCTCGTGCCTATAAATACAGGTCGCGCTCAGTGATTTTTCACGTTGAGGTGGCGCAGCGACTCGCCATTCATGATAGAACTCCTGCGACACGATGAGCTTGAATTTGATCCCGCGCTTGATGATGCTCCGTGCGATGTTCTTCACGCCGACGTTAGATTGTGCCACTACCCAGACCGTCTGTCTCATTCTTTGCCAGTACTGGAGGGCAGCTGCGATCGTCGTCGTCTTTCCCGTGCCTGGAGGGCCTAGGACGAGATGAGAACCGGTCTATGTGATCAGTGTTTGGTACTTCGACGAGAACATACCTTGGATGGGCAAGATTGGCTGGCTGTCGTCAATCATCGCTGCAGCAACGGTACGCTGCGAAGTGTTGAGCGACGAGAACTCAGGGTGCGCAGTTGGGCGTAGTTTGGTCTTCGAAGGGAACTTTCCCTCAGGGAACCACAGATGGCGAATGAACGGCGAACGACTTAGGTCGTCTACGCCCTGAAGGAGTCGCATTATGTACGCATCGCGCTCCCGCTCCGCCACAGTGGGCTCCTCGCGGCCGACGACCCGAAGCGTCTTGATCTTACCCTTGAATGCCCCAGCCACGATCTTGAGCGAGGAATCCTTACCATGCGCACCGACAGGGCGTGCCCGCGCCTCGTCGCCATTGATCTTCACAAAGGTCTACATATTCGCAGTGAGCGAGGGAGAAACTCTATGACACAGGATATTCTGACCTGCATGCTCGGCCGGATGCGAGTCTTGAAGCGTGAGCAGTGCGCAACTGCTTCCCCCTTCTTGTTTATTACGACATCGTCGAAGTCGTTATCAACATGGGTAGGCTTTGCGAGCTCTAGGAGCTCCACGTTCATGACCTGAACCGACAGGCATGCAAGGTGCGAGGCCTTGAGCAGTTCGGTTCTAAGTCTAGAGACGCCATGCACGTTCTTGAGCTTCGAGGCCAACCTGCACAAGTATAAAATAGCGTAAAAGACGATAGCGTTTCTGGCTAAGCTTACCGCGCAGAAATCCATGCTCGAAGACACAGGTCTTTGTTGGTTTGGTTGTACCAAAGCGCGTTGATGGGGAATGGACGTGACTTGGGGGAGAGGAGGCTACAAGCCATGGTACCCGGTGGGGGCAGGTCGTTTTTTCCATTAATGCGAGGCTGTAGTGAACGAAGGTCGACGCCCTGACAATGGAAGCCGAACTGGCGATAGACAAGCAACAAGATCGGCATCATGCCAATCCCAGTCAGCAGGTGGTTTGGGTGGTTGAATACACGCGCCAGCCCATGCTGAGCATAGTTCTGGGTGGCACTAGGAGTTAAATCACTCTCGACAGTGATCTGGACAACAAGATCCTGGTTTGCGAGTGCGATAGCGTCGATAGCGCCCTTCTTGGTGAGCCGCAACGACACCCCCAGTGCCTTCGCCTGTGCACCCTTGCCAAGGCCGAGCAGCATTTCTAGCGCGTCGCATTGTCTGCTAGAGACACGCTTGACCGCCACGACCTGCGGGAGGCCGGGGACGAGGTTACGGGTGTCGAAGGAGGGCATTGCAAGGAGTCGTGGAGGCAACGCGAGAGGGGGATTCGTCTGCCAACCCGTCAACGCCCGCCATTAATACCAGCCGAACAAGGTTCCATGAAACCACCTGGGCGGATAAGGGTGTCAACGAGGCGGGGGCCAATCGTCCAAAAGGCCGCAGGACAGGCCACAGAAGGTGATGGGCTTCCCTGCACAGCGTCCCGGGACGTCGACGGCGAGGCAGCGGTGTGCCTTTCGCAGCGGGCGAAGCGCTTGCTGCCGTGATTTTTGAGCGCGTACATCGTATCGGAACATGTTTTGCCCGTTTCTAGTCACTTAGGCTCATTCTGCGCGATACTATCGGTAGGTCTAGCGTGGCGGATATTGTGTTGAGCAATAATCACAGCACGTTTCCAGACAAGGCGGACTGGGTTGTAAGTAGGGGGCTGAGAGACCCGAACAAAGACGCACCATACTCAGTCTTCGCAAGCCGAAGTGCGCTTCGACTTCCCTTGCTTGTGCTGTGCCTAAGCGTTGCCTGATAGGGCTTTGCCAGCGTCCTAAAGTAGTTGCCAAGCAGGAAATACGCAGTGATGAAAGAAGTACATGTAGCACGCGATTATAGCACAGAGCAAGCACGACCAGCTTCGTTCGGAGCCCTCATATTGTGACAAGACGGCAACACGAGGCGGTGCCTCCGACCTCCGTGCGTTGTACCTCGGTGCCCCAAAGCCTGCTGGAATCAATCCTTCGACGTCGACAAGTTGTGGGAGATACGCGCAGACTGGTGAGGCGCTGATAGCTCCTTCCACGGCTCCTATTGCGTAGGATGGTCCAAATATTCCCGCTAGACATTTACGCGCTGACAGACGTCACCCCATGTCTATTTTCCTGAGGTGCACGATGTGGATGAATGAGGTTGGTGAGGGTAGCAGTGATGAACGGAAGCAGGTGCAGATGCCTAGGCGCCCATTGTCGCGCGCGTGTATTTACTGGTTATCGAGTTAAGTCCGTATTTGGACCTATCTACCCAAACTCGCATTAGGCGCGGCAAGAAAGTCAATTTGCAGCGCTCGAACTCGAGAATGGCATCCTCTTCCTCTTCCCAACTCCCGCCCTCCGTTTTCAACCCTCGGCGACATGTCGGCGTGCACGCGGAGCGCGTCTCGGACGTCGCGAGCACCGACTTCCCTGGTCATTATCCGGGAGAAGACCACACATGGAGTCTGGCGCGGTTTAAAGAGGTGAGCTCTGCAAAATAACTTTCGGGAGAGCGAGACCTGACCATGTTGGAACGGAAGAACTTGACAGTCTCCGTGAAGAGGCTCTCACAACGCTCGATCGAGTTTGACCTCGTCGGCGTCGACGCGTCCATTGCGAATGCGTTCCGACGAATAATGATCGCGGAGGTGAGTGCCGCCTCCGTTCGGGCACCCGGAAAGCCTGCTAACGACCATGCCAGGTCCCTACAATCGCCATCGAAGACGTCTTCGTTTGGAACAACACCTCCGTCATCCACGACGAGATCCTCGCACAACGCCTGGGTCTCATCCCGCTCAACGTCGACCCCGCACTGTTCTCACCCCGACTACCAGGAGACATTCCCTACGACCGGAACACGCTCGTCTTCCAGCTGGACATCGAGTGCTCAAGAGGGGCAAAAGGCGCAATTATCAACGAGTACGTTACGAGCGGGGACCTGAAGTGGGTGCCGCAAGGAGAGCAGGAATCGGTGTTCGGTGACCTTGTCCCTACCGCGACGAACAAGGTACGCTTGGTTCCGCTTCTCATTCCCCCTCTCTTCTCACTTGCGATTCAGGACATCGTGATCGCAAAATTACGGCCTGGTCAGGTCATCAACGTGGAGCTGCACGCTATCAAGGGTGTAGGGAAGGAGCATGCAAAATGGAGTCCAGTCGGTACGCGCGACTTTTTCAAACTCGGGTGCACGCATGGACTCATGTTTCCTTGTGTGCAGCTACGGCGACATACAGGCTACACCCTCTCGTCCTCCTGAACCCCTCAAAACCCATTCCCCCACATCTCGCCCAAAAATTCGCGTCATGCTTCAGCCCTGGCGTTGTAAAAGTCAGCCCAGACGGAGAGGTGTGTCCAGGGCCATCCTCTTTTTGTACACGCGCTATATACTCACGCGTTTTGCAGGTCTCCATCGACGACCGGCACCTGCGGAAAGAGACGATGTCGCGCGAAGTGCTCCGGCACAAGGAGTTCGAGGGCTCCGTCGAGCTCAAGCGCGTACGCGACTGGTTCATCTGTATGCCCCCAACTCTCCTCTTCTAGTATGTTATAGCTTGCTGACGCGCTTCGTTCACAGACAGCGTCGAGTCCGAGGGTCCGTATGCGCCCGAGGTGCTCTTCCCGGAGTCCATCAAGATCATGCGGGGGAAGATTGCGGCGATACGTGCGGCGGCGGAGGCGTTACTCACGGACTCGGAGGGTCCGGATGCTGGTGCTGCAGCTGCTGGTCCGGACGCAGATGGGGACGTCGTGATGGAGCCATGATCATGCTGAGTGTCATTAGTAGTCTATCCAGTGTATGCATGAGCACTCCGCCTCTGTGTATCTCGTGAAAATACCGCTAATGCGTGTAAATATCGAACTGGAGGTGCGTACCGCAAATATTGTCGTGCGTATCGAAAATGCAAGAAAGGTAAGCGGGTGGGCGGACCGGCCGGCATTCCGTCCCGGCACATATCTTATGGAGGCACTCGTTCCCATGTCGGGCGCGCCGTGCGATGCGTTTCTTACCAAGAACCAGGCCGCTCAAGCCCGGCACACTGCTGCTCGACAAGCGACCGCAACCACCTACTTTCAACACCCATCGTTGCGTAAAGCATAGAGCTATGGCGCACTCTACAGCACCCGTCCCCCCATTCGAGCGCGAGTCGAAGCCTAAGTACACAGAAAGCCCCAACCCGGGATTCACGTACGGCCAGAAGGTCGGCGAAACGCCTGAAGCGAAGGCGTGGGTCGAAGGCGCGAAGGACGGCTGGAAGACCGTCGACGCTGCGACTGAAGATCCGGGGTAAGTGTATGCTCACAGTTTGGCACATTCCGCGGTGTAAGTGGGCAATGTTGACCTCGACCTCCATACTTGCAGGAAACTGGTACGGTCCTCCGTTCGAGTTCGTAGCGCGCCGTAGCTTACGACTGGGGCGTCGTCGTTGTGCAGTACGCGCTCATGATCAGCGGGATCGTGCCTCGCCCGATCGCATTCGTGTCCAGTATATCCGAAGACGGGGTAGAGAACCTCGCGCCGTTCAGGTAACAGTAACTACGCAACTTCAGCGGGCTGTCATTGCTCAAACTACCCATTTTTTGCAGCTGGTTCAACCAAGTATGTGTATACCACCAGCTCCGCTTGCGGTGTGTCTAACGGAGCGGCGTAGGTGACGCACAACCCGCCGATCATCTCGGTCTCGTGCTCCGCGCGCCCGGAGGGAGGGCCCAAGGACACAGCGGGAAACATCAAGGCCACGAAGAGCTTCACGGTGAATATCATCAGCGAGCCGTTCATCGAGAACGCGAACGTGTCGTGTATCGACGCGCCCACGGATATCAACGAGTGGCCGTTGACGGGTCTTACTAAGGAACCGAGCGTAAGTGCTCTCAACTGTGCTCTATCCATCGCGGTCGCTCATCGGGAAAATTAGACCCACGTCAAGCCAGCACGTGTTCATGAGAGTGCATTCAGTATGGAATGCGAGGTAAGCATCACCGGCTTGCTCGTGCGAAGAGCTCTGTGCTCATCTTGATCCACGGTGTTTCTAGCTCTTCCAGGCGGTCGACATCGTCCACCCTTCCAGCGGGAAGGTCACCGCGACGCTCATCCTCGGGCTCGTGAAGTGCATCCACGTGCGCAACGACGTGCTGAACGAGCGCGGCGTAGTCGACTACGCGAAACTCAAGCCCGTTGGGCGCCTCGGCGACATCTCGTACGCGCGCGTTGGGGACGCGTTCCGCCTGCCGCGGCTCGCGTGGAAGCTCGAGGGCGAGAAGATCCAGGAGTTCTTGAAGGGTGTGGAGACGCGGGACGCGGTGAGCTTGTGAGGTTCGTACGCGGGCTGCGAGGATATGTATGATATTGTCCATAGGGAAGAGAACACGGGAAGACGACAATACAGTAAAGGGTAGGAAGAAATATTAAAATTGTACCCGCGAAAGTGAGAAAGACGATAGAAAGCTACGGCATGTTTGGACCACATAAGAAAGGGGGACAGACACGTTCCAATATAGGGGACAAGCACGTTCAAGAGCAGAGTAACAAGGCCAGAAGCGTTCTACGCGGCCCGAGGAAACGAGGAAACTAGACACATTTGCTGGTGTTGAGAGGGCCTGATCATTTGCGTAAGCGAATCGTGAATCGATATGACGAAGTGTTGGCCCAGTTGAGCACGTACCGGGGCATTTGTAGATGGTACCCGATCCACTTCATCGCTTCATCTTCACAAGTGTTAAAGCGACGTTGCATGGTCTACATCGTGAAGAGATGTAAAACTAGCCAAGCAGCAACTTTGGGCACGATGCACTTACCGCCTTCTGAGACACTGCGGTACACTGAGGTTCGTGCCGACGCATGTGACTCGTTCGTAACGTTGTAGTGCGACGAAGGCCTTGGTACCATAGATCGTTCTACACCATGGACAGGAGCAAGTGGTTCGACCGTAATGGATGCCGGTCGCGCGATCAGGACGGGCGTGGGTTGCTCGACTGGAACAAAAGTGGAAGGTGGTTCGGCCGGGATACTAGACGTAGATGTGAAGAGCCTATAATAGAAGCTACCAAGTCAGCGTCCTTGGGCAGGCACATCGAACGCCGGATGACTCACGGGAACTGGGACTGAGAATACTTCTGATCCAGCGCGGAACTGTAGGACGCCCTGATATCTCTGAGACGGCCCAGTTTAGACTCGAGAGTGACCTTGGCACCAGCGAGGTTCCAAATCATGTACTGCTCTTCGGACCGACGGCAACGCTGAATCGCGGTGTGTACAGCGCCGATCGCACTCACCAACGCAGATACCCGATCTTGAGGAAAGAGCGTGTGGATGAGTGGAAAACCAGGCTCCGAGTCCTCTATGGCGATATTCAAAAGCTCGGAGAGCTGCCAAACGGTCTGGAAGAACCAATATTGATCGGATTTGACAAGTGTGTCCTCATTGACAGATTGAAGGGCGCCGGTCAAGCCGAGTAGTCCAAGATCGGCGTAAGAGAGGATGGCCTTTTGACCGACACGTTGAGGGCATGCTTGTATGCACTTCAGGACGACGTTTGCGGCAGCAATGTACATGCAGAATTGATCTAGATGTTGGCGGATGTCTGGCCGGGGGTGTGTGGATATTCGCTGGTACGCCGCTGCGGCAGCTTGTTCACAGATACAAAGTTAGCCATGACGTGATATTTTTGGAGACGCAGCGCTGCTTACCGTAACAAACATTTTGTAGAGAGAACCCGCTTCGGTTGCACGCAGCGAGTATCATGCGGATTGACCTATACATCTTGTGCAATAACGAAAAGTCAGTCAATAACGATTCCGAGTCGCCTCGATAAGCCACTATCGACAGGGCTATCAAAATTCTCTCCATGGCCTTCGAGTGTTTGAGCTCTGACGTTTGAAGTTGATTGGTGGGGAGGAAGTGAAAGTAGAGTCGTTTTTCCAGATACGCAATAGGGTGGCGAGCGCGGCGAGACAGTGTCGTTTTTTGCACCTCCGAAGTAGCACAACAGAGCAGCGCGTCGGCCCAGAGGTCGTAGATGACGGGTCCGGAAGCGCTGACTACTGCAAAGGCGTACGGAGAGGGGGAGACGCCGAAGTGGTTCTCGTCCGTTTTTTGTAGCCTCTCGATGCAGTCGACCACGTGGACACCAGGATCGAGCTCGGACAGGCATATGGCGGCGGTAGCGAGAAGGTCGGGGTTCATAGCAGTGCCGTACGCGGTGGAGACAATATCGGCGTCCAATGATTGTCTTTGATCAGAGACCATCGACTGCTCGAATCCGCGCCAAATGGGGGCCTTCACCGGTTCCCAATCCCAGAGTGCGTAGGCAAGTTGTTGAAGTGGGCCATTCATTATCCAGGGGCGGTGAAGAAGGTAAAATGCGAGAGGGCGCAAAAGCCTCATCAGAGCTCTCTTGACCAAGCTCGGGGTGCGACGGACGATGTGGTACAGCGCAAGGCTTGGGGGAGAGAGATACGCGCAGCCAGGCTTGATCGACGGGAGGAGCACGGTGAAGGTGGTGAATGTGCCCAACGAGCCCGCGAAGACGGACGCCACACCCGCAACAGTAGGGTGGAGGGTCCATAGCAGGACCAGGAGGCCGGCGAGGAACAGAGCCACTGAGACTTGCAGCAGAACAGGGATGGTGTTCACGATGTCTCCGACACGCCACCTGATAACGCTGTTGAGACGGAATTGTCGAAGACGGGCGGTCTGTCGCGAGCCTCCCGGTTCGGATGAGATGCCGCTGGCGTACTCGTTTAGCCACTGTTTGACCATCATCCCAATAGAGGCCGACGAGAGGCTGAGGATCAAGGACGAGAACCATAGGATATTAAGCCAGATCGCCGTGCGAGGAATGGGTGGCGCGGGAGCGGTTCCTTGCTGCAACGCCGGATGGGTCGAATTGATGAAGGCCGGTGGAGGGCCAGTAGAGAAGCTACTGAGCTGCAGAGAGATCTGCTGTAGCGCGAGTAGGGTGGCGTCGGGCGTGGCGGGCTGCAGGAGCAAGTAGGACTCCACGTTGAAGGCGGTGAGCACCGCGGAGAAAAGACCAGCCTGTCCATCTTCCGTGAGACAAGTTCGATCCGCATCTGGAACGAGACCTACGAAGGTGAGGTACGTATCAATTTCCTTGTTCCACCGCTCGATCATCTCGTCGCTGTAGCGTCGCACAACGTCGCCTGTCTTCTGCCACGCGTCGGCCTTTTCTTCGTCAGTGTACATTGTCTTTCTCTTTGCAAGCTCTTTCTGGAGTGTCATCATCAGTCTCAAACAGTATGTACCCGTTGTCGCGTGATATGACAAACCTCGAGGAGTTCGGGAGAGAGTGTCCAGGGAAAGTTCGGAGGTCCTGACTGTGCATTCGGCGGGGATACCGGGGAGTGTGTGTCGTGCGCAGCCGCGCTATGTCCAGGATCCATGTGGATGGATTGTATCAAGGAATCTCGTGGTGAGGAACTAATCAAACTCAGCAGGAGGCAACGGATTGGGCGAGGGTGAGGGAGGCGGCAAGAATCAAGCGGCTGGACAAGAATTCGTCACTGTCTTCTACACAAACGGCACTCTTTATATACTTACAACACAATGTCTTCAAAAGAGTGAAAGACACAAGAGTGATACGCACGTTCTGTGGGGTCGGGAAAGGCATGGGAGAGAAGCAAGGAGAACAGCGAATGACAGCAATGAAATACAGGCGCGGGAAGTGAGGGAAGGTGGCGATGATTCATTAAAGAAGCTTGAAAAGGAAAGAATGACTCCACGGCGAGGAGCGTTGAGTACATACTGGTTGCCTCCTGCTGCCCCCGCGATTTGCACGTGTCCCTAGACGCGGCCGACGAGAAGTTGCACGAAACGGAAGTGGTGGGAAAGGGCGATGCTTCGCGCACCCAATCGATTTGACCATGCCTACACGCAGCACACTGAGCCAGAACCGATATTCTGTAGATCATGTTATCAGTTATTGGTACACAGCTCAGGGTGACAGACTTAAAGGAGAAGACGTACTCTGAAAGCTATCAGTGTCAACGCCATGTCCCAGTCTTGGGCAGCCTTACCAAAAATCAGCACGCTGAGCGTGATATCGCAAAACGCTTTCGCTTTGCAGCAGTCCCTGACGTTACCCATCAGCGTGTGCCCCATGCCCTACAACAATTAAGATTCAGCGATGCAGGTCCGGCCAAGGGCTCAATGAGTGCACTTACCTTCCAGCTTGAGCCTATGCGGCCTTCTCGTCCTTTCCGCATGTCAAATAAGACACCGCCTGGCGGTCCGTGCTGTTGTGCTGTGATCGGAACTTCTCGTCGTACACCTGTTCGGAGATGAACTGGCCTAGGGGAGCTAACATGCGGTACGGCATGCTCGGATGGCGCACATGAGCCTTGGGGTGCTTGGGGTCGTAGGCCGTCTTCATCTCCGGCACGGTCTCCTTCCTGTGCAGGGACGCTGTCCTCGGTGCTGCGCGCACCTTCTTAGGCCGCCTTCTTTAACTTGCGGAGATGATTGCAGAGGTGCTACAGTAAGACACATTACACGTGTGCGTCCATGGTGGAGCGCGCCGTGAGAGACAATGATCGGCTCTTGCAGGTAGCTGGTGGGAGGAGTCGACGTGATTGAGACCCTACATAGTCCGATGGCGAACGATGTCTAGAACATACGTCCAGGGCAAGAGATCGGCGCAGGCGACTGACCAGTGAGAGGAGCTTTGCGCCGCGCGTAAACACGGCGAGAAGAAACACGAGCGCAGATGCGATCACAGCAAGTCCACCGAAGACTAAGAAGGCCAGCGAGGAAAAGAGAGAGTCAGCTGCCGCATACGTACTGGGACGACCACGACGATGGCCTCGACACGCTACTTGATTAGGTCGTTTAGGCGGTACTGGCGCAGCCGCACAGTCTGTCGAGACGCGCTCGGTGGGATCCAGCTGCAGTGCCTGTTCAGTCATTCCGCGACAGCGAGGCTCATCGAAGCGGAGGGGAGCGCATTCAACCACACTGCCGGGCGGGGTGCGGGAGGTGCGTGGAACAGACCGACCTGTCCTGTCCAGATGAGACGACATATGAGCTTCCAATGTTTATGAGGGACTCACGTAGGCCAAGTGCGTGTCAATATCTGCATTCCAACGTACGTTTGGCCATCTCGTCGCTGTCAGTCTTCACTGCCTGCCTCCACCGTATCCGTCCGTGCTCAGCCTTTCTCTTCGGTGGCACAAAGCTTATCCCGTATAACGAGAATATCCCATCAACAAAATTTCATGAGGGTATATCGCGAGGAACGAGAGATGCTTACCTGAACTGGTGGCGGGCTCCATGATCAAGTAAAAATTATGGCCGACCCGTTGGCGGATGGCATCCTTCCATGGGACGATGGGTTGAGCGGCGATGTTTCCTGCGCATTGGTACGTGGCAGACGCGGAGACTATGATCGTAGAGAACAAACGAATGCTGTTGCAGTGTTGAATGGAAATGGGGCAAGTTAGGTGGATGCCCCAGACAAGGACAGCTTGAAGCCTTGAAGCTCGAGAGACGCGTAGGTATGTGGCTGTGCTCTGCCGTCGTGTCCCAATTGGGCAAACATGATGGATTCAATGTTGCCCTAGTGGAACTTGTGCGCTAGCTATGTAGGCGGCGTAGTCGATGCAGTGTTTCGTATGACACGCTTCTCTTTGAAACCGAGCATGAAAGGATTGAACTTGCAGACCGATCGGTTTTTGGAACACCATGCATAGAAGAAGAGACGGGCATAACAATACCGGCACAATGGAAATTGTGAAAAATGCATGTGGAATTGCGACTGGTGGTACATATCGAGAGCTCTATAAGACATCATCCGCGCGATTCAAAATCACTTGGGGCTGACAGTGACAGTGGGCACATTGTCCGTCACCGTCGTCGTGGTAGTCGCAGAGCTGGTCTTCGTCACCGGCACAGTGTCCGTCGTGCTCGCGAACTTCGTGCTCGTGACCGTGCTAGTCACCACCGGGTTCGTCGTCGTGCGCACAGTCGTTGTCGCCAGCACGGTGCTCGTCGTAGTAGTCGTGGTGGAGAACGTCGCCGTGCTCGTAACGGTCGCGGTCGCCGGCACCGTGGACGTGCGCGTCGCGGTGGTGGTGACGACCTTGGTGCTGGTCGAGGTGGAGGTGACCGTCTTCGGGGCCGCGGCGTCCGCTGCGCGCTTGGCGTTCGCGGGGACGGTGGTGGTGGCGAAGACTGTCTTGGTGGTGGTGACGGGGCGGGTGGAGGTTATGGTGGTTGTGCTGGCCTGGCATTTCGACGAAGCGGCAGCGCGGGCGTCGAGGTCTGTGTCAAACCGGTTAGTTGGAAAAATGTGGTGGTATGAAATTGAGCACGTACCGTTCACCGCACCGGCAGACGCGAGGAGCGCAGCGGAGAGGAGAGCGAGGATCTTAGCGGCGAGCATGATGAGATGATGTGGGATGGGAGCGTTGGTATGGGTGTGTGGGTGTGTAAGAGTGGGAGGCTTTGGTGAGGATTGCAGAGCAGGATGCACCTCCTCTTATACACCACACGCACATCCGACGGTCTCATAGGAGCATACGGCACGCACCTTGGTGAAACGGACTTCGTCGAAACCTGTCCGGGTCTTTCCAGTGAGCATCCAGGAAATTGGCGGTCGACACTCACGGCGGCGACCTCGGACTCGGATACGCAGAGTGATCGCGCTATGATCGCGGAGTGGCTGAGCGGACCGCGAGGGCGGGAGTGTGGCAGTGCTCCGCTGTTGTGTCCCAATCAGGAAACCGTCGGTGGTTCGCTCGGTGTGTCAGCCAATGGCGGCGAACCGATGTAGCTGTCCGACGTCTCGATCACAACGTCAGACGCCCCCAAGTAGTATCGCGGAAGAAGAATGGCTGGTCGTGGGCATATCCGGCGTCCAAGTCGTTGGTCTTTCGACGTTCCAGAGGCATGTCAACAGGAGGTGTCAAAATCTACTGCGCTCGTTCCGAGTTTGACCTTCCCATGTGGGTCCCTGGATGTGCGGATGTTGCAAGCACGAGGCCGTCGGTATCCTCCGCTCTCTCGATCGCTGCCCACGAGGAGTGGAGCCGTCGCGGCTACCCGCCCAGCAATGTCGGATGTCCGTATCCATGGGTCGCCGCCGCTTTCTGGTTGGGCTGTACAGACACATTGTTGAGATCTACTGCCGCGATTCCGGGTAAGCCCGCGCCATGTGCGTCGTTGACTCGTCGGATGTCGCGTGCTCGGTGTTCTCGGTTCCCCCGATCGCCATTCACGAAATGCGGAGCCGTCAGAGCCGTCACGGTTACTGACCTCGCGATCACGGATATCCTCTTCCAGTACTATCGGGAGACGCAGTTGTTACGACTCGGGTTTGTAACGTCGCCATCTTGTCGGTCTTCTTAGGATGGAAGCGGCTGGAGGAGCGCGGATGTGTTGGCCTTCTTGCTTCGTGGTTGGGCAGTGGTGTCTTCTCGTACTCGGATATGCCGTGAAGGGCGATGGCGCCCAGCGGCGGCTCGAGCACGGAGGAACTGTACAATGGGGCCTCAGTGGCGGTTCCATAGACAGTACTAGGGATTTCTTGCCTTCGCCGTTGAACAAGGACGTGGGGCGGAAGTGGCCTACGAGGCATATAAGCAGCAGGAATCTGCCTCTATCCCTCACCAACATCTTCACCCACTCATCCACTCAACCAACCACACAACCACTCTCCCACCGCATCATCTTCACCATGCTCTCCACCACTTTCATCACCGCCTTCACCCTCTTCGCCACGGTGGCTCAGGTTCAGGGTTAGTCCGCCTCGCACACTTCGCACATTCACCCTTACTAACCTTCCCTCGCAGGCGCTACCATCCCCGCGCCCGCTGCCTCATCCACCGCGACCCCGTGCACATCCGTCGTCTTCGTGACCAAGACCGCCATGCCCACCTCGGTCCTCACCGTCACCAAGCACACCACGTCCACCGCCGTGCCCAAGGGCAAGCTCGTCAGCTCGCCCCAGGGCACCTACGCGCCCCGCCGCCGTGCGGACGTGACGCCCACCACCACCGTCACCGTCGTGAAGACCAGCACCGCGACGGACACCACGATGAAGACGGTCACGAGCACGTCAACGACCACGAGCACGCTGAAGACGACGCTGACGGCGACCAGCACGGCGAAGGTCACGTCGACGCAGACACAGACGAGCACGGTCACCAGCCCGGTGACGAAGGTCGTTACTGCGACGGCCACTGGCACACGCACCGCGACTGTTACGGCGTTCACCACCGACGCCGAGACTTCCACTGCGACCGTCACCACCACCGTTGGCGAGAAGACTGTTACAGAGGGCGATGTTGCGCGTCGGGCCCTGCCCACCGCCGCCTGATCTTGCATACCATGTTATATCTTTACACAATAGACCCATCAGCCATTACGAACATAGCATGAATTGAAACATACCTTCACCGCCTTGTTGTCCGTCTGCAAGTTATTGCAGCGTTGACTCTCTCGTCCCAATCCAATATTTTCAGGCTATAATCATCTGCGTCAAGCATCGACAACTGTTGTAGTACTCATAACTACCTCAAATCGCACGTTCCACGCCATTTTCTATGCATTTTTTCTCTGTCCGGCCACTCTCTGCCTCGGGATAGCATGACTCTTCCGCGGGCGAAGCCGGCGGCGAGCTATGATAAAACACGAGAATCGCGACCATCTCCGCACAGACGGCAGCGAGCAGCCACCACAGCACGGCACGTCGGCCACGGAAGTGTTGGAACCCGTCCGCGCCGTCCTTAATCTCGATAGACGTCTCGATCGAGGTGTCGATTGCGAGCCCGAGGGCTGCGCCAAGCTGGATCGCGCAGTTGAACATCGCGCCGATGACCCCGGCCATCGTGGATGGCGCCGTCTTGAAGATCGAGATGCTGCGCGCAGGCGCCACGACACAATATAGATTAGCCTAAGGACATTTTCGACGTATGGAGTTACGTGCCTGACGTGCATGTAGATGAGCATGGCCCCCGCGGAGCCGATGATGAGGCCCGGGAAAATGAAACGCCAGTATTTGTTCTCGCCATCGCCGAACGCGAGCAGGATCGTCGCAGCGACGGCGAGGACGTGGCCGAAGAGGATCAGGACCTTCGGCGGCACGTAGCGGCCGAGCGGGCTGGTGAAGCTCACGACCGTTGCAGCTATGCCAACAGGAATCCTGTAGCCCAGTAGGTGTCAGAAGGGGCGCATATGGCCCAGTGAAGATGGTATTGTGCTCACATATGCAACCCTGACTTGATAGCGGACCAGCCGTACACCTGTTGCCAAAGCGGGAAGAACACGACGAAGACGGTCGTCCACCAGAAGTATGGCAGGAGCGCTGCGCCGAAGAGCACTGCGAAATTGGGCAGGAACCAGGTGCTAGGAGGTCTGTAGGGAGAGTGAGTAAAAGCAGCGTGATCGGCGCGTGCGAAGGATGACTCACACGGCAGCGTTGTTTGCAGGGATCCATGCTTCCCAGTAGAAAAATGCTACTAGCATAAATATGGAGATGATCAATGGCGCCAAGACGCGAGCGGAGGACCACCCGTCATCGGATCCGCTTGTGATGGCGAAGATGAAGAGGATGAGTGCGACTGGACAAATAACGTCTTAGCACGAATAAGAACGAGAGGGAACTGTTGACCGTACCCGTGAGGATGCTCACCCCAGCCAGGTCTAGTTTCTTCAACTTATGCAGCCGCGAGAACACACCCTCATTGTCGCGCTGATCGATCTGTGGCGCGGGTACGAGGATGAAGCATATGAGTGCTGCCGGTATTCCGAGCATCGAGCTGAAAAAGAATATCCAGCGGTAGTTGGCGAACTGAATGAACACTGCGGCGATCATAGTCCCGAACACTATGCGTGCAGCGTACAAAATGCTCAGCACCTTTAGCAAGAGAGACTGCGGAGTTAAACGTACCATTCCCGAGCGCACCAACGCCCCCGAACAGGGCGATGGCGACACTCTGCGCATGTGGCTCAGGGAACAACCGAACAATTAATGCCAGAGACGACGGGATACTGAGCGCGGCACCTAAGTACGAGCGCATCTGTTAAAACGACGAATACACTTGTCTGGAGGATGCACTCACATATTCCGCAGAGCGCTCTGATGATGATGAGTCCAATCCCATTCTTCACGAAACCAGCGCCGAGCGACAGAAGTCCAAGAGAGAGCACGCCGAGGACGAATGGAGACTCTACAATGATAAATGGGACAATCAGACACGGTCGAATCAACCGAGAGGGTAGCTTACTGGGATTGTAGACATCGCTGATTCGGCCACTCTATGGATAAGCTGCGAGTTAGAAGAGAACGACGACCGGAAGTCCATCATAGAGATTACTCACAACAAGCAGAAAGGCCGCATACGTGAGCTCGAACGCGCTCATGACCCAACTCGCGTCGGCCTCGCCCAGGCCGAAGTGCTCCCTCAACACGGGGAGGGCCGTGAACAGCGCGTTGAGGTTGTACGAGTCCAGCGCGTTCGCGACGCAGAACATGGCGAAGAGCACGTAGCGCCGTGCGTTCGACATCTTTGCTGCCGGCTCCTCCCCGGACGCGCTATCGCCAGTGGGAGGGCAGGAAGTAGGCGCATCGAGCTTGGGAAACGAACATGGCTCGACGTTGACGAAGGTCGTCCCGAGAGTGAGTTGAGAACACGATCGAGGGGCGTCCATGGGTGTGTCCGAACACGAGCTGAAGAGAAGGCCAGAACTTGGTCGATATAGTAGCATATATGATGCTCTCACCTATATACTCGACAGTTGCATTACACACCAACGCCAAGCCATGCTGAGTAGCATACTTTGTGCTGACGAAGGCAGGCAACGGGTAGCGTCTGGCGTTGAAGTCCGGAGGACGGAGAGGTGTGCAACGCCCGTCGCCGCGTTGTACGCGTGTCGCGCGGCCAACATCGGAAGCGCGGCTGTGGGGAACTGTGGGGGCGAGTCGATATCGGAGGTGTAGGTGGCGCTGAAAAACATAGTAGGCGCAAAGCAGGCGTTAGCACTTTAGCAGGTGCAGGACCCAGGTATGGCGCAACGGGGAGGCTTTTGGCGCCCAAAGCCGGAGTTGAGAAGAAGTTCGAAATAAAGTTCGACCGGAGCGGTTCTGATGCTAGTATGGCGACAGGGTTTGGGTGCACGACTTGCTCACTAAGCAGATGCAGACGTGGATGAGCAATACCTCTGGCAGGCAGGCAGCGAATCCGACCCGAGGTCGCTGTATGAGTCAGATTTAAGGTCGAAGAAACAGCGTCCTGTAGGCAGTGGCGACTTGAACGCGCAAGATTCGCACAACCTGGCCGCACCAGAAGTCGCGCAGCATGGCGGAGCGCTGCTAAACATACAACAAAAGTAGTACATCGTACACAGATACAGATACATAGACGAGCACGTACACAGACATCATAGCCGTTTCATCGCGAGACGTAACTGTCAAGCCGAGCGCTCCCCAGTCCGGTGGGTATCTGGTCAACCCTTCCCTGCGCCTCACCCAACACTGCTCCTCACATAACAAGGACGGCGCCGATTCCGACCAGCGCGGCCAACACAGCGCCTACCACTCCGCCATGGACGCCCGCAGCCGCGCCGTTCTGGCCAGTCCCGGTCGCGCCGGTGCCGGAACCCGTGGGGGCACCACCGAGCGTGCTCGTGCTCGTCACGGTCGTTGCGAGAGGGTTTGAGCTGCTGCTCGTTGGCTGAATCACGGTGTTGCTCGACGTGACCAACGTGGTCGTGGTCACTACCGGAATAGATACGGTGGACGTGGCGGACGCGGTATCGGTTGATGGGGGAGCGGTGGCAGTATCAGATGCTGAGGGAGTGGTTGTGAGAGGGGCAGAAGCAGAGACCGTCGTCGTTGAGGCAGCGCTACCTGAGCCTGAAGTGACGGTTACAGTGACGGACACCGTAGTAGTCCCGGACGAGGGCGTCGGTGAAACCGTCGTGCAGATGGGTACCGGTCCTAGGATTGTCAGCGGTCAGAGAGATCGACGGGGTGAATCGGGACGCGACGTACCGGAGGTGATCGACGTGCTAGAGACGCTGAAGGTGGTCGAGGTGGCGAAGGAGGAAGTTGATGACGTTCCTGCACAATTCGGGTGTGAGCATGATGTCCAACATCTCACAGTCGCCAGGGCGATGGTCAAGAAAGAAAGGCAGGTACACCACAATACCAATGTGCACCCTATACCTGAACTTCCTGTAATTGCCGCCGTGTACGAATTCGACTCTTCACGCAAACCCTTCCGCCGTAACATGCCATAAAGCAAGAACCATCACTTACCGATCGCGAGACAGGCACTCTGCAACGCTTGCTGGCCCAACTGCTCGTCTTTGGATGTACAATTGTGGTCCATACAGGTCACCGTGTTGGGCAAAAACGTCGGCGAGTGGCATGCGCAGCCGAGGTTCCTACAGGGTACCACATCATATCAGTAACGGATCGACAGGCGTCAGGCGGCTATGAAAGTCGGCGACACTCACAGGCCTTCACCGCAACCGACCGCATCACCAGCCTGCGATGCACAGATGACAGCGCAGTCCGGGATTCCCGTCTGTCGCTTCCATACCGCTGCCGGGAGACCTTCTCCTTCCATATCCAACATGATATCCGCTGCGGTAATATGAATGCGCCCTTCGACGCCGAATCCTAGCGCTCTAGCGCGGCTGTCGCGGCGCAAGCCAGATGAGATAGACCATAGGAAAAGAAAGACAGAGAGGACGAGCCAGCGAGGCTGCTGGGCGAAGAACGGCGGTGCGGGCATGGTTCCGAGGCGCCTGAAGGGGGTCGCGAGGGTGCGGAGAGCAAGAGCAACCGAGGTAGCCAGCGTAGACGGCGGTATAAGAGGGCGGAGCGGGGTCCGTGAGCGGGCGCAAGCTAGAAGGCCTGCAGGCGCGTGCTCCGCGACTTCTGCGTGGGATCCGTGTCCGGGATTAGACTTTGTCGAGGAGCGAGAACGTGGCGCGCGGGGACCAGAACGTGGTTACAGCGGCACTCGCAGGCCAGGGCGGAATGAGGTGGACCTTGAGCGGGGCGTCGTCGAGGAAGATAGACGTGAGGAGGCAGGTCGCCGCAGTTATATAGCGGTCTCCGAGAGGGCAGCAGATGAGACTCCAACGCGGAAAAAGGACGCACGGAGGCAGTCGACAGTGCTTCGGAGAGACCGCCGAGGCATATGCATGCACGCATGACCCCAGTAAAGTTGATGCGCACCTGAATCGGGCGCGTGTCGCGAGAAACATGCGCCGCCCTCCAGACGTGCTCGTGCTGGATATCATCTGACGGTGCTTCCCTTTCGCGTCTGTCGAATGCGTACACCGAAGTGTGCACCCGCTGATGCACACCCATCACGCGGGTGTAGACTTCTCCGCCGCAGCGCTCTTTCTTCGCGACACTGTGGGTGTAGGGCATGCAAGGTTGCTGCAAATACGAGCACCTGAGAGATGAATCGATGACAACGGGGGTGATGGAGAGAGAGAGAGAGAAATGGAGTTCGAGGAGGAGTTCGAGATATGTTGTCGTCGGAAATTGCCGAACGAGCGAGATCTCCCTCAGATCGGGACGCCTCGAGTCTCTCAGTACTGTCCTTCCAACTCTACCAGCAACGACCACTAGCTCAATTGCTTGCTCCTGCACTGCCAGCAATATTCAATCCTGCTCACCACGAAGGAATCGGTCATGGGGAGGCTGTCGCTTGACCTGTCGACGATAGCGGCGCCAATGGTCAACCAAAGCGACCTTCCGTTCCGCATCCTCGTCCGCCGCTACAACACCTCGCTCGCGTACACCCAGATGCTCGTACCCGAACGGCTACTGGAGGACCAAGAGTACCTCGAATCTCACACGCGAGGCCTTCGCGATGGGCCAGACTCGCCTGTAGTAGTGCAGCTGTGCGGGAACGACCCAGAGATCGTGCTGAAAGCTGCACGGACAGTCGTAGATAGGGTGGATGCTATAGGTGCGTCCCTCAGCCTCACTATGCATGAAAAAGTACTTATGCTTTCCGCGAAGATACATAGATCTCAACCTTGGATGTCCCCAGGAAGCCGCAAGAGAAGGGCAATACGGCGGGTACCTCCTTGACAAGAAGGACTGGCCACTCGTGGAGAGCATGGGTATGCAACAGCATTTGCTATGCACAATGTCGGAGCACGATCTCACAATCTCTTCTTAGTCTCTGCGCTGTCGCACTCGCTACCGGTACCGGTCAGCGCGAAGCTGCGCCTCTGCCAAAACACCTCGTCGACGCCGGAGCTCGCCGCCCGCCTGGAAACCGCAGGCGCGTCCTGGCTGACGCTGCACGCGCGTCACGTCTCATCGCGCAGACGGCGGCAGGGCGCTGCCGACCTCTCGCAGGTGCGCATACTCAAAGAGCACGTCCGGATACCGGTGGTCAGCAACGGGAACGTCCGCGCCTGGGAGGATGTCCAGCGCAATAGAGAGGATACCGGCGCGGATGGCGTCATGGTCGGGGTGACACTTCTTGCGAATCCATGGTAGGACCTTTTTTGGTGGTGGCCAAGCATATAAACTGACGGTCTAGAAGTTTGTTCGCGGACATCACGCCGGACCCGGTCCAGATCTCGCTCGAATACCTCGATATATGCAAAGACTATCCCGGAACTGCGACGCTGCAGACCATTCAGACGCATGTACGGCACTTCGTCGATCACCAGTGGTACGCCCGCGTCTGTGTATGCGCTGAGGTCTGCTCCCTGACAGATTCATAGCGGACGGAGACCGTGGTTCAACAAGTTCCGCGCGACACTTGGTCGATGTACGTCCATCGACGAGATCGAGACGCTCCTGCGCGTCAAGGTACAGCGATGGCGCGGGCTGCCGCCGCTTGGCGAAGACCACGACAGCGAGAACGTCGGAAGCGAAGACGAGCCGCAGTATGAACGAGGCACATCGTGCAGGGAGAGCGGAAGCTTGGATGACCAGTTCACCGTGATGAATATACTACGATAAGTGCGCCGCACACACGCCTCGCATCGTTCATAGACTGACCCACTACTGACCCCATCTTCAAGCAACACCAACGTATCGCCGCAGTCAAACGTATCACGAGCCCTTGATTGGAATGGCAATGCATACCCAGCGGGACCTACAGATTTCCGCGAGATCTGACCGGCGTGATCGCGCCTTCCACGCAGGATCCAAGATGTCATCGCAGAGCGAGTGTGGTGTATCACGCCCTCTATCATCTAACGCATTAACGGCGTGGCGCTGATAGTATGTAGATGCCTGCGCTGTTGAGCATTCATCGCACCGTCGGCGCCGCGTGGCGCTTGGCAGGCCATCGACCGTCAACTTACACATCTAGCAGCAGGACTTCCGACGCATGGGCTTCCACGCTCCACGGCCGACTCTACCCGTGTCTGTGTGCGCTGCATCTCGCCACCCGGCTCCGATGTGATAACCTCGACCGAGCTGCCAGGCATGGGCTGTGAGCACAGGGTGCGTGCGGTACGTCGTGACGCAGGACATGATTGTCTTGCGACGGTCTGCATTCCGCATGGGCAATGCGCAGATACACGGCAAGATGAGATGTTGAACGTACAGGATCATTCACCTATGCAGGGGACAGCGATTTTCCATCGACTCGGCTTGGTCTATCTGCACCCGGTCACGGTGAGTGCTCTTATAGAACTGTCCAATACCCTATCTCACCTAGTCTATACATAGTAGGTAACGCGCAAATTGACCTCGGGGGAATGCAGAGGGAATGGATGACTTCGTCACGGTCGTGGACGCCCATGGGCGCTTAGGCCGAGACAAAGAGAAAATTGTATGTTTGTGGTGCAATTCCGACAGAAACGTTGACAGTGACCGTGACATTCATTTGAAGCTGCCGTGTGCATGTAGCTCCCGCTGAGGCAATACAATATGTTGCCAGTGACAGTCGCCACTCGCGGCGTTGCACTGCAGACCAGGCTGAACCTGCTCCGGTCCGCGTGGCATCGCAAACGGCGTGGAATCTCATGTCAATGAGAACGCGGATGGGTGGACGTCGCGCGCACAAGAAATTTAGCGAGCGTGGTGGCGTTCGATTGTCGATCGAGCTCGAGACCAAGCCTCGGAGAGCTTCCTCTCCACTCGTGCGCACAAGCATGGAGGTGTGCATGACGACTCGCAGGTTTGAAACCTCCGGCATCCATCGAAAATGTGTTGTATGTGGTGCTTTATCTTATATGCTACTGATGCAAATAGCACAGACAAGTCAAGGCCATAGCATACTGCGCCAGAGCGGTGCCAGAACGAGAGTGGACGAAATTCACAAGAGCTGGCAATATGGAAGGGCCGACCGGTAATTCACCAACAGCCTGGAACCGAGCAGAGCGCGTGCGGCATGCCCATATTGGGATAAAGTGCGGACTGGAAGAGGACGGATGAGGACGGATGCCGCGGCCGGCATGAGGTAGGCGATGATGGCAATCGAGATCCTTGCGGGATATATTATGATGGTGGAGGGGTGGCTGCGCTATTACTGCGTGACCGGATAAATTCATGAAGTGAGTGACATCGGGGGGCACGGCGATGGCCTCGTTCTCCGCCGACTGCTCCCTCCCTGTCCGTTTCCGTTGCCCTTGTGGCGGACGCGGAATACTCCAGTCCGGACGAGTTCCCGATGGGCAGAGGGTCGGTGTGCTGCGGGTACAGCACGTCCACACTTGGGCACCATAAGCTCTGCATATGCTCAGCCTGCTCTGTGAGACCAGTGGAAGCAGCAACGCGCAAAATGGACTCGAATAATTAATGACGTGACGTCCTGACAGATCGCGGTCGTTGATGAAGAAGCTGCCCAGCGCTTGTATGTGTGACCCAGTAACGCCCGAGTATTTCGGCCAGCCTCTCCGGCGTGGACAGGTCGACGTTACAGGAGAGAGTGATCCCCGGGCCGAGCACATCACCGAAATAAAGCAACGCTAGCCAGCCTCCGTCCGGGCGTGCCTGTCATGGAGCCGAAAAGGCACAAGTTGGACTGAGTTTACGGTGTGTGACACGGTGCGATGATGGGCAGACGTCGAACAAAGCACCCGGATTGGGCGAGCCGACGCCAGCCAACGACCGCCCTCTCCCCCTTCCCCCCCGCCCACGACCTCCCGACGCCCTCTCACGACGTCCCCCTCCTCCTGCTCGCCCGCGACATCTCCCTCTAGCCCGTCATCGTCGCGGCTCGCCAGCGCCCTGCAGAGAGACTCCGCATACACTCAGCTTCTGCTCCCACACTCACGAGTCTTTCTCCCAGAAAGACTACAAAGTCGCATTCCCTCGACGACCCCCACTCCCCCCTCGACTGACACCAACTCCCTTTTTCGCCCGGGGTCCGAGCACCGATGGGCAACTGCGTGTCCACCCAGGACCGCGAGGCGCAAATGCGCTCGCAGGAGATAGATAAGCAGATCGAGGAGGACTCGCGCAAGCTCAAGAAGGAGTGCAAGATCCTCCTCCTCGGCTCTGGCGAGTCCGGCAAGAGTACCATCGTGAAGCAAATGAAGATCATTCATCAGAATGGCTACACCCCGGAGGAGCGCAACGCCTACCGCACCACCATATACAAGAATCTCCTCGACTCCGCGCACCACATCATCCTCGCGATGCGCAAGCTTGGCATGGACTGCGCTGACCCCACAAATCGGTCAAGAACGGAGAAGATCCTGGACTACGTCGTAAATCCTGCGCCGACTTTCTACTTCTCGGAGGAGATGGCACGCGCAATCTACGACCTGTGGAAGGACCCCATCATCCCCACGATCATGGATCACAGCAGCGAGTTCTACTTGATGGACAGCGCGAGCTAGTGAGTACCTCTTTATTCCATGCAAGGTCGTTTGGCCTGGTGCACCTGTGACGCCACCGCGAGCGATGCGCATGGGTTAGTTGAGCATGTCGCCAAGTTCGTGCCTGACAGTCCGTCATGCGAATGAAGACATCGCTGGGCAGTGACAGCGTTCGTCAAATGGCGTACTCTGTCTTTGTCCAACCGCCGCCGTGCAGTCATCTGGGGGACAGAGTTTACATCCCGCCTGAAACCGTGCGGTTCTCCGGGAGAAGCGTCGGATTCAGTGGCATGCTTCAGCGATCGAAGGTTCCATACGCTGATCCTATATCGGAGCGTCCCTGCCCGGCGCATACGGTGCCACGGCACTATTTATCGGAGTTCTTTCAGGGTCACCTGCAGAAGCTGACGTTCCGATTCCCCAGCTTCTTCACCGAGGCGTTACGAATAGGAACGCCGAATTACATCCCGACCGAGACAGATGTACTACGAGCGCGAGCAACAAGTAGAGGCATCTCGGAAACGAGATTCTCGCTTGGCCCTCTATCGTGAGTACACAGCTTACCCTCGCGCTGTCGATGGCGATATTCATAGGCGCATGTTTGCAGAATACACATGTTCGACGTGGGCGGACAGCGATCAGAGCGGAAGAAGTGGATACACTGCTTCGAGAGCGTGACAAGTATAATCTTCTGCACGGCGTTGAGCGAATACGACCAGGTACTGCTGGAGGATCGGAATCAGGTACGAATCGTCCTTAGGCATGCTTCTACCACGAGCTGATCGCCTTGCACTGCAGAAACGAATGCAGGAGTCCCTTATCCTGTTCGAGAGCGTCATCAACTCAAGATGGTTCCTACGAACATCGATCATCCTATTCTTGAACAAGATCGACGTCTTCAAGAGTAAGCTCCCGAAGGTGCCGCTGGAGAGGTACTTCCCGGAGTATACCGGTGGTCCGGACATCAACAAAGCGGCGAAGTACATCCTGTGGAGGTTCATGCAGGCGAACCGCGCACGATTGAGTGTGTATCCACAGTAAGTCCCACCCTAGCTCGCACGCGGTGTTGTATGCTCACCGATCGGCGTAGTCTAACACAGGCGACGGATACTTCGAATATACGGCTAGTGTTCGCGGCAGTGAAGGAGACAATATTGCAGAATGCGCTCAAAGATTCTGGCATTCTCTGATATCCTGCTCGTCGCCCGGGTCTTGGACGGCTAGGAGGGTTTTTTGTTTCCATCATCATGCTCGGTGGGTTCCCTGCCTGTGGATATGCGAAGCTGTGCTCACGCGTTTCAACAGGATTTCCGTCGAAGCGTCGCCGATCCATCCATCCACATCTGCATCCACTCATTCACGACCCTGTCTGTACCCACCACGCACATCATGTCTCGGCTCTCATCGGCATCCTTCTCCTGGTCTCGTTCTCGCCCGTTCATTCATGATCTCGTCGCTTTTGTATGTTGTCGTCCTATCCTGCATCTATGACCCCCCTCCTCGCACACCGCCCTCCTGCGTCGGCGCTCCCTTCTCTCCCGCGCCGTCGCTCGCGCCCTCTCCCATGTAGCCTTCTCACCTGCGTACTCCCGCTACGCGGGTTGGCTATACATCTCTCTGCGCACTCTCATGCGGCGCGTCCGTCAGATGACCATCGTCTTCGTGGACCTCATGTCTATCGCACGCACGTTGACTCGCCGCTCCCCCTGGTCAGCCGTCGCGCATGTCACCGTAGCAGCACAGCCTCATCCGCCGCATCGCCATTGCGCGTGCCCCATCCCGTCGTGTCCGCCCCACCAAACACCACCCCTCTCTACTACCCTTCTCCGTTTAACATCATTGGCCCTTTCCCGTTTGCCGTGACTCCCATAGACACTGTTATGTGTCCCTATTCACCCCCTTCCGAGCCGCCCTTCCTCACCTTCCCACACTATCTTATTCTCGATGCTTCTTCCGTCGCCGTCGCGCTCTGCCTTAAATTGGCGCAGAGCTGGCCCGCGCGCGCTGGGCAGCGGCGACCGTGTACATATACGCACATTTTTCTACGGCTCACTCCACCCCCCTTCCCCTTCCTCTCCTTACTACCATTTCCGTCTTCCCGTCTTCCCCGCTTCCCTCCCATCCCACATCTGCCGTTCGCTCGCACCCGCCCGCCGCGACATCCACTCTCAGACCATGGGCGGCTGCCGTCGCCGCCGCCACCGTCTATCTACGCTGCTTAACCGTACGGACCTACCTTACCCTTGTGCTACTGCCTCCATTTTTCGACCGCTCTCTGCCTGGTGGCTCCCGTGGAAAATGTACCAGTACGTCTAGATAATCTGAGCACCTCATGAACATGTCTCTCGATGCGTGTGGGCATGTTGCGGTAGTGTGCTGAGATTCGACTTGAAGACGCGACTTGCGGGGCTGCTGGTTCGAACTTCTTTGAAGTTCGGGGTCTTCGCGATGCGGACGAGGCCCACGTGACTCCGACGCTTTGTCCTCGTCGCGGCAGCGACAGGACAAAGCTCGATGCTCCGCGCCATATAGATAGCCTCGCGAGCGAGAGCAGAGACGCCGTCGTCTCATGCTCCGCTCGCAGGTACGTGCCACTTGCGCTACAGCGCGTCCGAGTCGTCGTCTCATGCTCCGCTCGCAGCCGCCCGGGCGACTTCATCGCGCCGGCGCCGTTTTCTTTGCCTACGACGACCCGCACCTCGGGCCACTGCAGGTGTCGTTCCAATGACTGCCAATTCGCCCTTTACACGCTTCATAGGTGGACAGCGCCAGCGGTCTCGCCACTTCGGCACCAGCCCCGCCTGCCCACAAACATACTCTTCCAATCAAGTGACCTCTCCGCGAGTACGAGCGCAACCGCACACTGCGCTCCCTCAGCTCTCTTGCACACGGTATGATCCCGCCAAGGCGCCCCGCCAACGGCGACAACGATCCCGACGCTTCCGTCCGCGCCACTCCAGTGGCTACACCACATCTTCGGCCGAGCTCAGCCCCCCGTCGCAGCTCCTCTCCGTCGAGTACCAGGCCCCTCGTCTCTCTTGCCTACACGCTGCGCCCCCCGTGGGCCCGTTGACCACGATACACGCCGAGCTCCCGCTCCTCTCCTCAGAGTCCGATGCGCCCACCTTTGGCTGCCCCAAGTCCGCCACTTGTGGAGCCCCTCCACACGCACCTCTACCTCACGCCTCCGAATTTCCGCCCCGATTCTACCCCCCTCGGCGCCCTAACACCGAACCCCGCGCGAACACTGCACACGAGGCCGAAACAACGCGGGTCACAACCCATCTGCAACGAGCGGCATGGGAGTACCACCTGCGCGACTACCCAGATCCCGCCTTCGTCGAGACGCTTCTCCGGATCATCGA